TTATTGTTTTTTTTAATGGAGTTGTTCTTGATTTTATGTTACTTTTCTCATCATTTGGTTTGTAGCCTCGCTGATCACCTCTAATATTGCACTATTGAATTAGGTTGAGAATTTCTTTAATATTGTTATGGATTTCACCTGCATATTTTTTGGGACATGCAATTTTTGAAATCAAAGGTATTTCTATTGTATCTTCACTACTTCGTGATATGGGTGTGATGAAGTTTGAGCTTGGAATTTTAAGACAGGTCTTTATTCCATAAATAAATACATCGGAAAACGTCTATTACCTTTAGGGCATACACCATGGAAACCTATGCTGAGGTCAGAATGATTTTTTTGGAAACAAAGGTTATAAATGAGAAGAAACCACTTCTCGCTGATGTAGCTGTAGTACCCAGCCTCTATTCACATCAAACCAGTTAAGGAACTAACCATTTCGGGCACTAAAATTAACAATGTTTCAAGTCAGGATACAAGAATTTTAGCAGTCTGGCCGCATCTTCAGATAACTCACAACCACTAGATCTCCTGAGAAACTAAATCAAAATCTCAATAGCATAGAGTATCCAAAGTCGTGTGAGGTATACATATGCAAACATTTACTGACTATATGCCACACTTTTTTTAAAAAAAAAATAGTAACAAAAGATTTTGCATCCATTTTAATGCACATAGATCTACATTTTGGTCGTGTACTGATGTACAAGATTTGTCACTAACAAAAAATATTCGCAACCAATTGCGAGACGCCTCGTGTTCTATTGTCTGAAGAGATGTTTCATTGTTCTAGCAATTTTTTTCACCAACGGTTGTACCTTCAATTGAACACAAACCTCTTGCGAGACGTACAAAAATAAAAGTGAAGGTCAAGTATCGGAGTTCGTCTTACCGAAGGGAAACTCCGTTTCATTATTACAAGATCTACAAGAAAGGGAATTCTTTTTCAAACAAAAAATATTAACAAAATTTATTAAACAAGAACTGAACCCATAATCTATCTATCTATCCCAAACTATAAACACATGCATAAAAAATCAAATGTAGCATCAAAGCAACTAGTAATTAATTAAAAGCATCTATTTCTTAATAGCAAAACCGAAGAATTCACCAAAGAAAGAACCTTCGAATTTAGTATCGAACTTCTTAGAATTAGCTCTGATTTCTTGCATAATTTGAGCTTCCTTTTCAGCAGCAGTCATTTTGAGAACTGGTTGTTGTGGTTGAGAAATCATTGTGTATATATGTGTATATGTATGTGAATGAGGTGAATTCTAGTAATTAATGTACTGATTGAATATAGAAGAAAGAAAGAATTGAATTTGTAAAACTGATTTTTTGAAGAATTCCAATCGATATTTATATATCGCTCTTTTGACTCAATTAATTCAAAATTTTAGATTTGTTCGGACTAATGGCGAGGGGACCAAAGAGGGGTGAAAATTTCTTTTTTTTGCGAGGCGTTTAGAACAATTTTTTTTCTAAATTAATTCACTCACTCACACTAGTTTTTCCGAATCAACAAATGAAGTTCCCATCCATCCGGACATTGCAAATAGTGAGTGAGTCATTGACCAATTCGATTTGATTACCAATGGCAGACTAAACGACGGGCGTTCACCTATGTTCACATTAAGATCAAGAATTGATTTGGCACCTACAAAAATGGAAACCATGGCTGGGATCAACCTGACTCATCAATTCCACCTTCCTTTTTATTTTTGTTTCACCGCTAACCGATTTTTTTTTACGGATTTATTTTTAGAAAAAAGAATTTTAATCTTAAATTTCATTCTAATTTTGACAGCGGCATATCTTTAATTGGCTCGATGACTTTTTACATGACCCATCAAAGGCAAACAACGCACCGCCCAACATCGTATAGACAGCACAGCCCTAGAAACAATTAAACATGCTAAACATAATCTTGTCCCAACAAATCCAGAGGTTTTCTTCAGTTTTGATGGGTGGGGTACAGGGACTTTGGGGTTTTCTTTAAACTCTCTCATCTCTGTGGAGTTAGATGTTGGGCAATAATACCACATTTTTGACATTGATGAGTTCTAAAATGTGTGAATTTTAGAAGTGCGCGATTTCTCATCCGTTTGCGGACTTTAAGAAAAAGAATTTCGGAAGAATCATAGAAGGAAAAAAAAAGAAATTTAAGAAGTTTTTAGTGCGTCTCGTTTGAAAAAATTGTCAAACGATAACCACACTAGTCTCGGGTCGATGGAATTACAAATTTTGACACAAAATTCGGATTTTAGTGAGGTTCCGTATGTCCAGTTTCTAAAATATAGCGCAAAGTTTCTTGATTACAGTTGCAAGACCAAAACGGTGGTGTGGCGCTATCTTTTACTGTGTGCACTTATCACCGTTTGACAAATATTGTCTGGCGATTAACGATTTTATGATGTCTCAAATCAAGTCGACATAAGAAAATTGGATGATATATAACTCTGAAATGGAGTACATATGCAATTCAGTAAACTTGTAAATCTTTAGAAGAAATTCAACCAAAAATTTTATGAAAAATTGTAAGCCATGATCATGTCATTTGAAGAACATCATTCAATCCTAACTCCCAATTGTATAGAAGTAGAACCGAATGCCATTCAATACTTGGTAAATACCTGAGTTATTTATTTTAATGTTGATGTATTCTTGTTAGAGAAAATACGCCTATAATACCGTTTTTCGCTCCCGCGTCTTTTTTTTTTGCAACCATTTTCCGCGCAATATCCGTTCCCGAAAGGTTTTAATAGTTCGGCATCGTCCAAAAGCAATTCCATAACCGTATGATGAATAGTACTTGCTGAATACGTATAAGTTGAAGAAAATCTACCAAATAGCCGATAGCGAAAAAAAAAACATGACTGGACTCGGTATGCAAAACAACAGGCAATCCCAATACTTTATGTGATCCAGACTGGCTAGTACAACTTATAGATTATATAGAATACCTCAAGTTTTGCATCTAATTGAAACAATCTAATTTCTAATCCTTTTATAGACGTTCGAATTTAGAACGTAGGGAGCGCAAGCTTTTAGGATTTAACGTATGTCTGATTCTGGCAGAATACTATGGGCAATATAAATTTCCAAGACTAATTCAAACTAACCACATATCGTTTTATGGACTACTAGATGACAAATACTATCCATCTTTGCATATAGTCTATGCTTGCCAGATGACAAAGACTACCCATGTACTATCTAAGATCGCCCACTTTAGTATCACCAACTGCAAGTTAGACTGTACAGAGAGGAAACAAAACCAACTTTTACAAAACTGGATCAAAAAATTCCTAGATATCCTTGACAAAAAGATAAGGTTCAAATATCCACCAAAGGAACAATCAAGCGTGGGCCAGTAGCCCACACGTATGGCATTCCAATGGATTGACCAAGGTGTCCAATTTTCAAGAATCTCATGATATTTTCGGAAATGAATCGCAGTGTTTACAAATTCTCCTCGATGAATATAAAGAACAACCAGCTCGAGCATTTACTCATACAGATCCTATAGTGTTGGATTCCTTGTTACTAAAGCAAAACGTATTCGAAACACCTTGTGCTCATGTCTTATATGCACTCCTGATCATTATTTTGTAATCCTTCATCAACAGCAAAAAAAAAAATTGACATTCTCCACTCTTTCCAAGTGTGTTATTCTCCTTTCTCAACCGTACCTGAAAACAATTTAGCATCAGTTAATAAATCTTATATTAACATTGTCATCAAGCGAACGATTATACTTAGTAACCAGCAATGGGAGAATTAGAAGATCTAGACGCACGCTTAGCAGAAGAGGTAGGTCACCTATCTACTAAGTTAGTAACAGCTGTCAATAAACAAGTTGAATTAGAAGAAACGATTCTATCATTACGTAAGACAGTTAATAATTTAAAACAAGAAAACTCAACATTGGTTGAGACTGATCGTAATTATCGAATAATTTTACCAAAATATATGAAATTACAAGATGATTATAAGGAATCTCAAGAATTACGTAATAAAGCTGAAACTGAAAATAGTAAATTATCTGCTGAAGTTGAAGAATTGACCGCTAGTTTATTTGACGAAGCTAATACAATGGTTAGTAATGCGCTGAGAGAGACTCATAATTTCAAGGTTAAGAATCGGAAATTATATGAGGAAATTGAGGAGAAGGATCGTATCATAGAAGATTTACAAGACCAATTACGGGATTTAAAAGATATGTTTGTTAGGATTGAACAACAACAAAGACAATCAAGTGCTAATACACCCAAGATTGAACCAACTCTGGATAGCTTTGATCAAATATCAACAACAACCACTACCGTAGTGACTAATGGCAATAATACCGCCGGGGTTGACAATAATAATAATAATAATAACAATAATGACGACAGTTTTTATCATTGGCAACAATTACAAGCAATTATATATTCACCTCATGTTAATGCTATACGATTTGATTTAGATAATTATAATCAAGATTTCAAACAATTTATTTATACTATAATTAATCCAAATTTCCAATTCGATTTAATTCATTTAAAACCATTACCATTCTTTAAGAAGATTTGGCATGATGAATTAGAAAATAGTTTATCCATAATCCCAGCCTTACCTGCTACATCCACCTTATTAAACCGTTGGCAAAAGGGGAAAACCTTTTGGGGTTCATTGATTGAAGGTCGTGTTTCAATCGAACCAGTTAAAGGAATAAATGAGAGTTTTAAAATAACATATCGAGGTTCAATTCATTCTAATTCGTCACCAGTGGCAATTCAAGATCCATGTGCATTTTGTGGAGAATGTCGGACTGATAATTTGGAACATTGTCGATTATATTGTTTGAAATTATATGAATCTCATAATAATGAAGATTTGATTGTTAGTTATCCATTATGTAATTATTGTGTTATTAAATTAAGAAATTTATGTGATTTCTTTGCAAAATTAAGACTTGTTCATTCAAATGTATTTAAATTAACTGTTACTACACCCAGAATAGGAATAAATGGAGAAACAATTGTAATTCCAAAAGTATTGGATCAAGCTGAAGAATCTAAATTAATTAAGATTTATATTATGTTAATTTTAATCAGAGGGAAGATCTTTTGGAGTAAATTGGGATTTTGGGATAATATAAATCAAATCCATGAAATTAATCTTGATGAAATAGAATATGAAAGTTTTAGTTATTTAATTCCAAAAACAACAAGAAGAGCTAGTGATGAAAATGGTCGTGATTCAATTAACCAAACTCCAATTCCTCTTCAACCTACTGAAGAAGAACAACATGAACTTGAAGAGGAGGAAGCAAAACAAAGGCAGTCACATGAACTTGAAGGCGATGAAGCCAAGCAAAGACAGTCACACGAGGGGACGCCTGAGGAACAACACGAGGAATCTAAAAGTGATGTAGATTCTAATAGTGTTCGAGAATTCGATGGAGATATTCATAATAAGCAAAGTACTGATGAATCAAATGAACCACGTCCGTCGAATGAAGAATCCTCTTTGGATAGATCAAATTCGAGATCGAAAGAGTTCAGAGAAAAGATTGATAATGAATTAGATAAAACATTAGAAATGATTGCAGAGAATCTCGGACAAGTAGACTGATTGTATGATGGATGTAATTCTAGTAGTAATATATATCATTTTTTAGAATTGTATAGGTCATTTGTAACGAATGAGTAGCTATTTATCGTCAATGCAAAAGCGCCGTAGTAAACAAGAATGTAGGTGGATCAAGATGTTGCAAAAACGAATATTGTGCCATGAAATGCAATTTGACGAGAAGGATACATGCATGTCAAAACTTTAAACACAAACAAGAGATCGTTTACGACTGTCAGTTTCCATTTAGATACGACCAATCACCAACAACAGAGAGAAATATGAGGTTGCGGGTTACTGAGTTCTTCATTTTGTTAAAACTTATAGATGTCAGCTGACTATCAAACTGGCAACAACCAAAAAAAAGACCAAGAAAGGACAAGACGCGCAGCGCGTTTGTAGGAGACGTGTTTTGTTATTCGGATAATTGTTATTGGGTAGCGAACATGCATGATTCAGAACACAAAGTTGTTTTTCAACCTTTTGTAGCCTAATTGTCGCTAAGCAAAAGCAACGGGAATCTCGGAATTGTAAATGTTGGAGAGACAATCAGCCATTATCTTCAAATGAATGAATGATGCACAAAGAACACGATTAATTTTTTCCAATTGTTTTATTTTGTAAACTTAATAACTTTATACATCAGGTACCAAGATGGCTTGAATTAATAAGTAATGTTGTTTTATGGTTTGGCATAAGCTTCTTAATTTATAGTGTACCAAGAAATGACATACGTAAGACAAATTAAACCTTGGATTTACATCTTCGAAAAAAAATGCTTGGTGTCATATGAAATAGAAGTATCGAACATTGCCCTTGTTGACTAATTTCATTTTGTTATACAACAATACGGCTTATTATATAGATATGAACATGGGCATTAACTTACGCATGAACAGTTTTCAATACAATAGATCTGAAGTTGTATAAAATCCATTATAAATTGTAGTGATATAACTTTGAGTAGGAAACCGGCACGCGTCTTAAAATTGACAATTAAAGCCTCAGAATAATTTTGTATTTATATACCAAAGCGATTTATTTTACCGGTTAAAGTGTATGAAATGAAGTTGACTATTTCAATAACAAGCCTATTTGGATCTCCTTGTAGTTTTTGCAGGTAGTCATGAGAGAAATAAAAATTGAATTATTTGTTCGGTTCGGCCGTTAGAAATTGTCTCATAAAATAAAATTTTAATAATAAACGATTAAAAAAAATAAAAAATTCAATACACACAAAAAAAAAAAAGATTTATTCTGTCCCGCCCCCCAACAAAATAAATAATACAAATATTTTATTTCTTTGGGGCCAGCAATTTGAGTTACCTAGGCACGAAACCGATCCTTGTTTAAGCTATCAACCAGTAAAAATCAATCCCTCTCTCTCTCTGGATGTATTAAGTTGAAGTCTTCCAACCATACATAATCTAGATTAACCAGATTCATATATATTTAGCATATCTAGCATATCACTACTAGTATTATTAAAGTTTAAACTAAACCGTAATCCTTTTTTTTTTGACAACCACAGCAAAATTCAATTCAACTCTTTCTGCATAAACTAGTTAACACTTCTCATTTTCATACCAAAAATCTCTCCCCCATTCTTTTTTTTTTTTTTTTTACAACACACACTTCAAAATAAAGTTCAATTACTTTTGTACATCTGTAAACCAAAATTTATTCCACATTCACCCTCCCCCCCATACTGAATAAACTGACTAATACGATACCATACATCACACTTATTGGTTATAGAGAAAGGAGATCCTTTTTTATTTATTTATTTTATTTTATTTTTATATTGATTAATTTATAAGTCAGTAATTATGAGAAGGAAACCACTGGATACACCCCTGTTTTCTCTTCAACCATCAATCAATGATGAATTAAATTCATCATTTGCATACAACTCAGTTCCAAGTTCTACACAATCCAATAGTCGCCATCAATCAAATCCCCATCGAATATCGACAAGTTACATTTTTAGTATCAAAAAGAAAGTTCGAACCATCAATGAAAGTCAATCTGATTTATCTTCAAATGATACAGCAAGTATAGCATCATCTGGTACTCAACATTCAACTTCTAGTTCTCGTATAGCGAAAACTTTAACCAATAGATCAACTTCATCTTTAATACCAAATTCAACAACAAGTATCATACCCAATCATCAAATATCACAATCAACCCATAATCGTAATGCATCTGCATTTAGTATATCAACGTCAAATTCAACTGAAACAATAGTAGGCAAAAAGTCATTAAATAAAAAACCAACCCATACGTCAATAATATCTATGCCAATATCTTCTGATGCCACCCTTTTATCTACAGGCTCAAAATTGGAAAAACCAGAATCAATATATGAAATAAATCGTATGTTTAAAGAGTTGATGGAAAAACGAGATTTTAGATCTTTACCTCCACTAGCAAAACAATCAATGATGAATTATCATGAAGACAAGAAATGGACGTTGATTAGTCAAGATATAATTGCCGAGAAAAATCGTCAGGAACGTATGGTTGCAAGTAGAGATGATGCAGGAGCTGTAACTTCTCCTGAATGGTATACTAAAAAATTATTATCAAAAACTATACTGGCTGATCAATTAAAAAATCTTTGGGTGTCTTTAAGAACTGAACCTATAGATTGGGTAAGAAATTTCATTTATGATTGTCAAGGTGATGCATCCTTATCAGCATATTTAATTAAAGTTCAAGAAGAAATTACCAATACAGAACATAATGATATTAATGCCGAAATCTTTGATCGAGAATTTAATACTCTTAAAGCATTAAAATGTATGATGAATCAAAAATTAGGAGCAGAAAGAGTTAGACATGATGTTGATTTATATGTAACTGCCATTTCTGGATCATTATTATCTCCTAGAATAGTCACACGAAAAATAGCGGCGGAATCATTAACATTTATGATTGCTTATTATGGTACTAATAATAATGGTGATCATGGGAAATATTATAAAATATTGAAAGCTTTAGATTCAATACCTAATAAACCTCATTTTGAATTTGAAAATTTCAAACCAGGAGATTCACTCAAGACTCCAAGACGATTGGTTAGAAAACCACCTGCACCAGAACAATATAAAAGATTTGAACTTTGGTTGAAGTTAGTTAGCAAAACAATAGATGGAAGAGGGAAATATATGAATTCATTAGTTGGGGCAAGTGAAGATTTTAAATCCGCTCATGTCGGATCTTCAGCTACAAGTTTGGAGAATCATTTAATCGAATATTGTTTGGGTACTATGTTATTAATAAATACAATTGTCGAGTATGGATCAGATTATAGAATGAGGATTCATTTACGAGCACAATTCAATGCAGCTGGGTTAACTCACTTACTTGACAAGTTTCAAGATTTAGGTTATGATAGTTTGAATCAACAATGTTCTAAATTTATGCAAATGGCTCAAGATGATGAAGAAGAATTAAAGAGTAGAGAACAAATTGATGAGAATTTAGATTTTAATAACCCAGTTGAGTTGATACTGTCAATATGGGAGAATGTACAAGATTCCCAAGCTCAAGGGTATTTGTTAAGTGCAATTCAACATCTTTATTTAACTCAATATGAAAAACATCATGATATAAATGAAATGACGAGGAGTTTACGACTCTTGGATGGATTAATTCAAAAAGTAACTTTGGCACAAACTACAAATGAAGAATCGGCAATGTCTAGAGCCATTCAACAATTAACTTCCATGATGACTACTGATGATATGTATCAAAAAGCCGTGAACGAAGCAAGAAATTATCAACGAATGGCTGAAGAAGCCATTTCTGAACGAGATGAGATTTCAAGACAATTGTCAATGGGTGCAGAAGGAATGATTAGTAGTTTGAGTAATGAATTACAAGAAACTGAAAGTGTATTACTGCGAACAAGAATAAGGGCAGATGAATTAAATGCTGAATTGGATGAATTAAAGCGGAAACATTTACAAGAAAAACAAGAACAAGAATTAGAAATGAGAGAATTATTAATCATGTTGAATAATGCAGAGATTGAAACAAAGCATTCAGATGGTAAAACATCAGTTTCATTAAAGACAACAAATGAAGAATTGGCAAATAAATTAAAGAAACAAATTTATAGAAGACGTACTCAATACAAATTGGATAATAGAAAATTTGGTACTCAAGTTGAACCTCTGAGACGTTTACAAGCATTAAGAGATCAAATGGGTGATATTGAGAATATGGCACGTGAATTAGAAATGACAGAATTTGAAGTCTATTCTGATCCTACAACTCCACGTAATCAATCCGAATCAGAAGATGAATATGAAAGTGAAAGTGAAGAATCCGAATCTGAACCAGAACCAGAACCAGAACCAATATTTTCATCAGAACCTAAACGAGCTGCGAGAAATGATGATTTAGTCAAACTAGATCAATTGCGGAAGAAATTGGCTAGTTTACAGAGTGAATCTAATGATATTATGAAATATAACAATAGCGCCATGTTTAGTCGTCAAAAATATTTGGCTATGGAAAGATTACGTGAATTGGAGAATAATTTCAAAGATTTCAATATTGATTTTTCAACTAATGAAGAAGATAATAAAGTAGTGGAACAAAATCAATCATTTGGAAATGGATCAGATATGGATGCATCTATTCGAGATAAGATCAAAGAAGAATGGGAAGAAGTGGCAAGATTGAATCGTGAACTTAAGAAGAAATTAGAGGAGGTTGATTCTGAGAAGAAAAAGAAACGTGGAAGTAAATCAATCAATAGACGATCCATTATCGATAGAATTGAAGATAAATATATTAGAGGAAAGGTTACGATGGAAAGGGCTGGAGATGTGGTTAGCTCTAGCCCAGGAACTAGTGAACGTAAGAGAAGGAACAGAATGACTAGTATTGGAGCGATGGATCCTAAATTCTTGCAAGAGTTAAGTAGTAAGGTTGCCAAAGCTCCAGCTATACCTACAACCACAGAAGAAGAGGAAGAAGATGGAAAGGGACTGGAAGATCATGAATCTGCAACTACTGCTTCAACTTCTCCTACTGTTACAACTGAAGAGACGGTCGAATCTAAACCTGAAACTACGTCTGCGGCACCACCACCACGACCAGTGACACCAATGCTTGGTGGATCAGATTCATCTTCAGCACCAGCACCACCACCTCCACCACCACCACCTCCTCCTCCATTGCCACCAATGCTTAGTGAATCAAGCTCATCTGATGCACCTCCAGCTCCAGCTCCACCACCACCACCTCCACCATTGCCGCCAATGCTTAGTGGAGCATCGTCGCCATCTGCACCTCCTCCACCTCCACCACCTCCTCCTGGATTCTTGAATGGTGGGGTTATCCCACCAGCCCCTCCATTACCATCTATGAGTAAACCAGGTTCACCAATGATACAACAACAGCCAAGATCTTCGATGATTTTAGACAATATCCCAAGACCAAAGAAAAAATTGAAACAATTGCATTGGGAAAAACTTGATCGTAACCAAGCACAGAATTCCTTCTGGAAAGATCCAAATACTCGTACGATTGCTAATGAATTAATGTCCAAGGGTATTTTCGATGAAATTGAATTAATTTTCTCAGCAAAAGAAATTAAGAAATTGGCAACTAAGAAGAAAGACGAAGTTGATAAAGTTTCTTTCTTATCTCGTGATATGGCACAACAATTTAGTATCAATTTACATGCTTTTAGTTCATTATCTGATGAAGAATTAGTTTCAAAAATCTTAAGATGTGAACGTGATATTTTACATAATACTGCTGTATTGGAATTCTTTAGTCGAGAAGAAATTGTGGAAATTTCAAATACTTTGGCAAGAAATTTGGAACCATATTCTACGGATTATAAGACTGATGGAGAAGTTTCAAAACCTGATAAAGATCCAAATGAATTACAAAGGGCTGATAGAATATATTTGGAATTGATTTATAATTTACAACATTATTGGAAATCCAGAGTTAGAGCCTTGTCGGTTATTGCCAATTATGAGAAAGATTATGAAGATTTAGTTGAAAAGTTAAGATCGATTGATGAAGCAGTTGAAGGAATTAAACATTCTAAACATTTAAAGAGTGTATTTGAGATCATTTTGACGGTTGGTAACTATATGAATGATAGTACCAAACAAGCACATGGGTTTAAATTAAGTTCATTGCAAAGATTGAGTTTTATGAAGGATGATAAGAATAGTATGACTTTCTTGCACTATGTTGAAAAAATTATTAGAACCCAATATCCTGATTTATTGGACTTTATAGAAGAATTAGCCAGGTGTCAAGATATTGCCAAATTTTCAATTGAAAATATTAAGAATGATTGTCGTGATTATGCCGCATCTATCAAGAATGTTCAAAGTTCGCTTGATATTGGTAATTTGAGTGATATTTCCAAGTTCCACCCTGAAGATAGAATCTTGAAAGTAATATTGCCAGTCTTGCCTAGAGCAAAGAGAAAAGCGGAGTTGTTAATTGATCAATCAAAGTATACCATGAAGGAGTTTGATGATTTAATGATTTATTTCGGTGAAGATCCAAATGACCAATTTGTTAAGAATTCGTTTATTTCCAAGTTTTCCAACTTCATTACTGACTTCAAACGTGTACAAAAGGAGAATATGAAACGGGAAGAAGAAATCAGACTCTATGAGCAAAGAAAGAAATTACTTGAAACACCACAAAGACCCAAAACTAATGGCAATGAGGACAACAACAGTGGTGAAGATAGTGAATACAACGTTATGGATTCTCTTTTGGAAAAATTAAAAGCCGGTGGTAATAAAGGTGATGCACCATCAGCTAGGAAACGTGCATTGATTAGAAAACAATTATTGGAGAATCAAAGAAGACCGTCTCCAACTAAGAAACCACAGGAAAATGAAGAACAAGAAAAAGCTACTGGAGAGAACAGCACAGCCGCGGATTCAGAAATTTCAAATACTTCTCAAAGTGAACAAGATACCAGTTCTAATGACCCAGATGTAACCTCAAGAGCAAGAAATCTTTTGCAAGAACTAAGAGGAAGCAATGACGAGATTCAAGCCAGTGAGAAACTTTCTGCGGCACAAAAGTTTAGACAGGAAAGATTAAGACGAAAGATCGCTAATTCAGGAGGGGATCTCATCGATCAGGAAGAGGCAAATGAAGGATAAGAATAGAATCTTCTAAGATAGGCTGGTTTATTTATTATTTTAGATCTATGTTAAATTCATTTCTTTTATAGGTAATATTATAAACTTATTTTTGATATACAAACTTTGGAAACTTCGTTTAAATCGTAATCAACAAGTTTCTCTCTATTCTCACAATAATCAAATATCGGTTTATTCATCGATAACAAACCAGTGCCACCAATTTTATTTGCAAACGGTATTTCCAATTTTCGAAGAGTGCTGTCCCACAGTGATACACTTGAACCTTTTCCATCATGTAAGTTTTCGGACAAAACCAGCAACTCATGATCGTCATGTCTAACACCTCTAAAACTTACCAATTCTCCATTTATCCCAGCGCAAAGAACGGTTAGGTCATTCGTGTCTGTCCAATTATTGTTCAAGTTGGCAAGATAGACACGAGGTATATGCGAGAGTTTAAATTTCCTTCTTGCCGATGAATGTTTCTTATCCTCTAGTTCAATTACAGATATGGAGGAGTGGGTCTTATCGCCTGCCACAATTTGCGAATTGTATTCGACATGGTTGATAAAACTGTTCGGAAACGTATCACTGCTTATATAACCCAATGGGAAACCAGATTTGGGAACTTGATATTTATAGATCGAGTCAACTTTAGTTGTCACCAATAGCAGATCATCTTTTAAGTCCAAAGCTACAATATTACTTGGAAGTGCTTCTAAAAACTTCACTGGAGTTAGCCTTTTTTCATTTTCATTGTAGCTGGTGTGATAAATACGTTTTCCACTTGCAAATATAATATTCTGATTCAGCTGTTGGATATTGGTAACTGGTCCCTCCTGTTCAAATGATGTTAGCTCAACTATGCTTACAACCGTCAGTCCATCAGAAGATTTTGTTTTCTTTAGATCAAGCACTTTGACAGCTCCTTGTTCAGCTCCGCTTTCAGAAATTATCGAACATCCAACTAGGACCTTCTTGGTTGTTCTTTGGTTTCCAACTGGTACCTCCCATATACATGAAGAAATTGGGTATTCATTCTTACCAAATATAGAATCTTCGGGGTTCTTATTTCTTAGTGTGGATTCTCTGGTGGATAAAAGTTTCATAGACTTTCGATCTATACCTTTGAGTCTGTTTTTCGGATTTCTCGATTTACAAAGTATAAGAAATACCTCGATATGCAGAAGGTATCTTAACTTTTTAGCATTCTCTGATATGGAGGTTTGTCTTACTACTGATTCAGCAAATGTAGAAATATTGACAAGAACCAATCCATTCTCACGTATTACAATAAGTTTTATAGACTTGCTATTGTCATTGTCTGCAGCGATCTCCACGGAACATCTCACCAGCCTTTCATAATTATCATCAAAGCAAACTGGAGTCGGGAACAGCGATTCGTAATGATTTACCAACCACAAACTCTTACAATTAATGAATATAAGCTTCGGGTCTTGCAGGACACAAAAAGTTACCTCTCGTTCACCGATTCTTAAAAAGCGCTTACACGATATGAAATCGCCTTGTATTTCAAGTTGGATATAATGACCCTCTTTAGAACCAATATATAGGCTATTCTCTATGACTATAATCTCGTGAGGGATCACTAAATCTAAACTGATGGTTTCATCGTTTGTGTAAGGACAAAGTTGATTTAGGTTGTATGTACGATTCTCCTGAATCGTATTATTATCTATACTGAATGAAATTAGCTCGCCGTCGAATGTACCAATAACAATCCTTGTTTCGTCCTGCATTCTAAAGACTTTCAAAGCCGATGGTTGGAATTGAATTTGTCTACTAGAAATAGGTTCTAGAAATTCAGAAGAAAATGTGCCATCTTCATTTTCTATCACCGAAAGTCTCCAAACTCGCAAATCTATCACTCCTTTAGAATCAGTTATTACAATTAGTAGATCTTGATACTTGTCACAGAAAAGAATAGAAAACTCGTCGAATTTCTTGGTTTCCTTAAAGTCGACTAAATTGGAAATAGTTATAGTCGCGGGGCAAACTTGAAGTATGAGGGAATCATCACCGGTCGGTATAACAGTGGCTAATAGTGTAATTTCTGCGGTATTTATTTTTGGATTTGAGATTTCTGCAAATGACTCCTGGGAATTCTCCTGAAATTCCAATAAAATCGATTCAAAAGGTAATGAACAAATTGTGTACGGAATATCATTATGAATTAGGTAATATATCTTATCAGCCTTCCGTAGTTTGTAATATGTATTACCTTTTCGAATTGCAGAATAGCCGTGTTGAAATTGATTTAATTTAGATTTCTTCCCACATCCACTTATCCCCCAAACTTCTTGTCGTGCTGGAAGTCTGGATCTTTTCGGTCTATTGCAGTCCACTATTTCTACGTCCACTAACGGAGACCAGTTTTTGAAATCTTTCACAAGTCTGGCGTTGGTGTACGGCAATTTACTCAAGCTATCTAGATCACAGAAATCTTCTTTTGTGAAAAGATGAGGAATCAAAAGATCTTTACTAGATCCCGTGTCACTGCTGTAAATGAATCGATATTTATCTTTTTGTTTCTCTAATGTGAAGATGGAGATTTTATCATAAACTCGTAGTATAGGATCATGTGAGACTACGTTATTATTTGAGATTAATATTGAATGTACGATTCCTGCATCGGTGGATATGAATATTTGGTCTATTTTATCAATGTCTGTTGATATGGTGGATTGGTTAGGTATGTGGTAACTAGTGGGAAATGCAGAAGTCCAAGGAGTTCTACTAGAACTGAAATTGTATTGGGCTGATATTATGTGATGTATTGTTACAACTGTAAAGTGGGAGGGAGTCACAAATAAAAAACTTGCATTATTCTTTAATGGAATTATAAATACTGGAATTTCAAATGTATTCATTAATGGTAATATGGATTTTGAAAAACTTTGAGATAATCCTTCAAAATTATTCCAAGAAAACAACTCAATTTGTAATCGTCTATAATGAGTAAATATCAATGTCATAAACATATCTGTCTTTGAATTTGTGTTGGGTTCAATGAAACACCCATCTAACAATTCTCCATCTAGGCTGACATTTACATGATTCCTCAACATTGAGCCATTTTTCGAATTTTGCGTCATATACAATCTGAATGACCTAGATGCAGAGCAAGAAACTGTCGACAAACCGGAAGCCGATGATCTTAAAAGATGACCCGATGATTCTAGGAACGGGGTTGGGATACCACCAGAAGTATTCCACCACTGTACGACAAACGGTTTGAATATTGAATTGCCCTCGGGAGTCACTTCTTTGTACGATTGATATTCATAGTCTGTATCCTTGTAATGCCTGGGAACGTAATATAACTTGAGAAGTAACAAATATCCCGATTTTAATGATATAAATAGCATATCTTCTTCTTCATTAGTTTCATCTTTAAGTCCCTTTATAATACACGACGATCGTATCTCGGATTTTGTCAAAAATTCTATTCCATCAATGAAAAGTGCCAGATGTTTCACTATAACTTGAATCTCTTTTAGGATATTGTGTTTCTTAATTTCAGGTTCGGCAATATTCTGTTGTGTGGTCTCCATTAATAAATCATCATCAAAGTCTTCATTATCACTAAATGCATCCATTTGAGAATCTTCCTCTTTTGGTATCAATGTCTGATATTCTTCATCGTTAAATAGCACACTGGTGACACCCTTAAACGGCTTATTTATTTGTACTCTAAACTTTGGTATAATGTTGGTGATTATGGGTGATGGTAGTAAAGTTTGTTTGATAAATATTTCATTCGGACTTTTCGGTAATTCTTCTTCTTCAGTTAAAAAGTCAAAGCCAATTGACATTTCATCAGGAGAATCGACATCCATGGCAACTCTCTCTATGAATCTATTAAGGTGTAATAGGCGCGTCTTCTTCTATTGCCACTGTTGTTCCCTGTAAAAAGTGTTGTAAAAAATTAGATAGGCAATCAAAAATTGAAATTGCGCGGCGCAACACTCACCAACCAATAAAGGAAAAAACTGGGATTTGTAATTTTGGGGCAATTTGATCTGTTTGTGGATTATTTACAACAATATACTATTATAAAGACAAATTCACAATCAAAATAACTTGAGAGATTGAATGGTAACCAAATTATATAATTCATATGCAATTGGTGTTGTGGTAGCAATTTTCAGTTTCATTGCCGGTATGGAAATGCAATCATTCTTGATTGTTAAAAACTCACAATTATTTGCAGCAATTTATGATCAACCATCAAAGATTGAAAATAATGTTTTGACTTCAAGCAATTCCTTTGGAGCAATATGTATGTACTATTCTATCAATTAATTTAAGGTGATGAATCAGTTTACTAACAATTTTTCTTTAGTTGGAAGTATTATATGTGGAGCTATTTGTGAAAAGTTTGGATATTTGAAAGTATTTCATTGTATATCAGCAACCTGGTTAATTGGTAATATAATAACATTTTTCCTGAATAATGCTTGGGTCCTAATAGGAGGAAGAATTGTAAAAGGTATTGCTATTGGGTTTACCTTCACCAGTATTCCAATTTATGGATATGAAACAATTCCTCATAACAAACGAGGAGCAGTTTTATCACTAACTTTGTTTTCTTGTACACTTGGAAATTTCACAATCTTTATCCTTTATATCATCCTAGATTATTTTGAAGCTCCTCCGATTTGGATGAGGATATTTTGGAGTTTTGAAGTCATACCAGGATTGGTAGCAATGATACTCACATTTTATATTCCAGAATCACCTAAATGGTTGGCTACCAATTGTGAATGGACAACGGCTGCAAATGTTTTACAAAGTATACAATTAAATAATTCTTCACAAGAAGAAAAGAAAATGAAAGATGAGAGGTTGAAATTAGGTGATAAGCATTTCGTGATTAAAGAATATTCGTCAGGAATATGCATCAAGAGTTGTCCTTTGAATCGACTATTTGGAAAGAAATATATCAAAGAAATGGTAACGGGTATATTGGTTCAGGTTTTCTTGGTATTAACAATCATTACTAAATTATCCCAGTCATTTGAAAGCTTATGCAATTCATGTCTCCTTTTCCATAAAAATGATATCAAAATGGCAAATTTCTTTCTACTTTCAATGAGAGTATTATTTTCTGCAATTCCAATTTTGATATCTGATGCAATAAGAAGAAAAGATGCGATATTCTTTTCCATATTTATCATAACTTGTATTATGATCACCTACATTGTGATGTTTGTTTTCTTTTCAAATGAAATAATTCCATCACCTACAGATCTTGATTGGATGGTACCTACCGTTTTCTACGACCAAAGAGCATCTCTTATGATTGGAATAACGGTGGTTGCAGATGTTTTATATCAAGCTATTTTACTTCCTATAAGCTGGTTATTAATTGTGGAAACATTTTCAAGTTCTTCAAGAATACAAGGATGGGTAGTTTCAACAAGCTTATTTTGGTTTTTGGAAACTGTAACGTCAGTGGCATTTCCATTTTTGTTACAACTATTACGTCAATGGTTATTTCTTATAATTGTTGTCATATGTGTTACTGGGGCAATATTTGCAGCCAAATTGACAGAAACAAAAGGTAGATTTGGATTAGATTCAGATTATATTTTGTTAGAATCAAAGCCAGTACTTGAAATCCCAGAAGATATGAAAGAAGACAGTATTCAAAAACTTAAACAAATTAATAAAGAATCTCCTCAAACATCAGTGCTGACTGCCACTGATGCTCCGTTAGAAAAACTTGATAAAAAGTACGAAAGCATAAACCGAATACCAAAGGTACAAGCATTTCATAATCTACAACCACATACAATTCGAAAAGGAGGTGCCCTTGATTGGGAAACAGCTCCAGATCCAACCCGAAATTCCAAAAGAAGTTCCAATGAATTTAATTCTATTCTGAGGAGTAACAATTTATTGTAAAATTCAACAACACCATACAATTTTTTTAAAGGTTTGGCAAATTAAGGAAATAAAGAAAAAATAAATTTAAAGTTTAATTAACACGAAACCCGAAATCAACCAGAAACAATTCAACAACAAACCTAACAGAGAATAGCCACAGATCATGTCGCAACCATATACCAAAGTTCCTGCTGATAATGAAGTAAGTACTATAGAATATAAAGTATAATTCAATTGATTGAGATTTATTAACAATTATTTATTTTTAAAGGAAGATTTATTAAGTACAGATTTCATCCAACCTGATTCACCATTCAACGATACAAATGCATACAATAAGAGCAGGCCATCAGCTCCTCCGATCACTCCCACTGGTGCTGTTCCAGCAGGACCGGCAGGAAGTTCATCCAAGAATGCAACTGAAACAAAGTCCCATATGTTCCAAATCAATTTCTATAGAGCATATTTTGATTTAGATAGTGATACATTTTTCCAAAAGATTCAAAAAGCATTAAATCCGTTTGCAACCAGTATTGGTGGTACTGAGAGTACTACGGATGATGATCAAGATAGTCCTACTGAATTATATGGATTTGTTTGGATAACTGGAACATTGATATTTTTAATGTTTGTAAGTTCAACTGGAGCCAATTTACTTTCTCAATGGTTACATGGGGATGAAAAGAAGAAGTATGAATATAGTTTTGATCTATTGACGAAAGCATTTAGTTTATTTTATGGATATAACTTACTTGCTCCAGGTATATTATGGCTTGTCACGTCATATTTTATTAAATTTCCTTATAGAATTTCATTAACTAAGACTATTTCAATATATGGATATACCAATGTTCTTTGGTTTCCAATTACTATTATTAACATTTTAATTGTTGTATTCATAAGTAATCAGAAACACCATTTAATGTTAAATATTCTTGAATGGATAATTGTTTTGCTTAGTGGGTTGATTACTGGATTAAGTAATCTTTCCAAGTTGTCGCCCGTGATTAAAAAGAATAGTTTAATTATTCATGAAGGAGATGCTAATGCTTCAAAGAGATTATTTTATGGTGTAATGATATCATTGGCAATTGCTCATTTGTTATTTACTGTTATTGTTAAGATTAGCTTCTTTGGTATTAAAGTATGAGAACGAAATAGCCCTAAACCCTGATGGTTGATTTTTAATAGATAGGTTATAGTCGTGTATATGATAACAATTTTTCTTCTATTATAAAATTATTTTTACTACAAAAACCTCAAATTCGTGAATAAAAAAATTTTCACTCTTCTCAAATTCTTCCTCTATTCTACAGTTTTATTAACTAACTAATTATGTGTGCTTTATAGAAACTAACAAGATATAAGAATATTGGAAACAAAGATATTATTATCTATTGAGAATGGTATGTTTATATTTCTTTTAATTGATAATTATAATCAGAATGAAAGAATTGGCGGTGATTATTTGCATTTTACCAATTGTTCCAACTGAATGAACCGGGTTGACAATCGCATTATCGTTAAGTTTCAGCCTTGTATGAGCCATTCTTCATTTATACAGATAAGAAGATTTTTATCAATTAGACGACTCGACATCAAGGAATTTTAATACTAACAATTAATTTATTTAGGTATGTTTTTAAATCAATGAATAATTGATTCGTTGTTGGATGTATTTCTTTTCTATTTTTATTTTATGATGATAGTTGTCGACCGGGCGGACATAATCCACCTTTCTGGTCCCTCTTTTGTACAATTAAGGAGAGGAGCTACATTTCTGTGTACAAATTTATGAAATGTTGATTGGAAAGAGTTGATGACAGGTCGTTTTGCTGATTTATAATGAATTGGAAATATTTATGACAATTTTAATGGGTTGAATTTAGAAATACTAACAAATTCTAGATATTTAATAATTTGTTTTAAATAAGCTTATATTTTGAAAGTTACACTAAAACTGTTAATATTCATTTGTTGGGGTTGTATTTTTATGATGATCTTTTTTATATTCACACTGTACGAGAAGTTGTTTATGACTTCATTGATTACAAAACCAAAAAACTGATTTAATGACTCTGAGAAATACAAACTTCTTTAAATGAATGTTAACTTTTTAATTATAATTAGTAGTACATTTATATAACTATACGTCAGCAATATACAACGCCAATATATGTTTGTCAGTATAAGCTTTTCCCTTCTCCCTCTCTTTGTTTCTTTACGTATTGCATATCAATTCGATCACTCTACCAATTGAGTTCATCGGTGATTCAAGGGGATTTGGCTCAAGTTTACGGCTGGTAGCGCGCTGTTTCTTCCTTTAAAGGAAGAAATTTTTTTATAACGTTTATGGACGTGAAATATCCTCTGTAGACAGTCAGGTTTATCCTCTTTGATAGAGGGGTTTTAGTATATAAATTCAGGCTATTTACATAGTTGGTAGTTTCACAAAATAACTGTTGAAAGTTTACTTAGGGCAATGAACGACTCTTCGCGCGTACTGTACTTGAATCATTCTAGCGAAATATTTTTTTTTCCAGTCTAAAAACGTACCATACAAAACTTCGTCTTACAAATCAACCATTAATTTAATATCATTCTACACTTCAATCCCTATGTCATTAAGGAGGCAATTAGCTGATCTATCAGCTAGCCTGTATGCCCCAATACCCGTGCGGTCAAGTACAGCTTTTCTACGAAAGAGTTTCTCGAGGCTTTCACATCAACTCCCGAAAATTTTTACTCAAATCAAAGTCCGTCAAACATATACCAATCAAGCTTCACTAATATCTACCACAAGGATACGAGCGCACCCACTATGCATTCAATCCAGGTCATACTCAACTATACTTTACAATACTACTTACAGGCCGCATCAAATGAGAATCTTTTTAGAGTATGAGTACATTAGAATTAAAAAGCTATTTCTGAAAGAATTCAGGTCAGAATATCTAGAGCTTATGACCAAGGACAACTTAACCGAAGAGAAAATATCTCAAATAGTGGACGATTTCGATAAGTTAATCAAATGTACTTATGAACTATCAGCTGGATTTGAAGTGTTGCAAGAAATTTGGTATACCATATTTAGAAAAATGGATGCAAATCCTTCTACTGAAATATTACAAAGAGCAATTCTTGAGAAAAGAGATGATTTATCTACACTACTATTAGTCAGAGGTAAATATAGCATATACAAAGATCTCATGTTGATAGTGACAGCGGAACGGAAATTCAACCTAACCCCGAGCGAAACGGATTTTATCATTGGCACCATACAATTGGAGGAACAAACTAAGCCGGACGAGGAACTCCGTGAAAAAGGACCCTACCGCCCTGGGTTTATGTATAATGATGTTGCTATTACCCAAGCACTTGAATCAAACATACTGATTGAATTAAAACGAAAATTGTTGAATACATTAATAAGATCAACCTTTTTCCTTTCAAGAGATACTAGGATGCAAACGGCCATGGTACGAGAATTCTTAAGACTTTCTAATTTAATTGAACAAAGGCAATGGTTTACAGATCCTGATTTCAACAGCTATGATGAATGCCTAGACTTGATATCGTATATTATAGGAAAGATTTCTCCTCGGGAGTATTTAAGATCCTTAGTGGGCATTTGTCAACAAGTGTATGGAGATAGACGCTCGGGGTACATATTAATAACAAGACTCATGAAGATTCTTATACCAAAATGTCCACATTATGTAACTAAGTATTTTGAATTTAAGAGGTTAATGATAGACTTTGAAAGAATTGACCCTAATGTGCTTGTTTGCAGTGACGATTTGACATCGGCAATGACTGCTTGTCTCAGTACCAACAACTATAAGTATTTTGAACAGATATATGCGCAGCATCCACACCTTCATAGTCGTGAACAGGAAGCCCTAATTCTCGAATTCCTATTATACGAAAGAAACTGGGAAGGATTTCAAACCAGATTCCAGGAGCTATATGAGAATGGTAGTTTTCCAAATATTGCTGAATATGGAGTCACTATGAGAGGATTAAACATCCTACGTGCAGACAAACAAATTCGGGCTTTATTCCAAGAGATTTCCAAACGAGGTCTAAAACAGAATAGTACGATCTATGGTTTATTGATGGAATCTTATTCAAGGAAAAATGAACAGATATCTGAATTATTGGAAGAATACATATCATTGTGTAAAGCAGGTAAGGCAGAAATTGAAGGTATTAAAGATTTGGTCGTAAAGGTCCTTGAACAACAAGCAATGAAAAATGATATTCAGCAACTCGTTAAGCTTTTGAAAATATTTCTTGACAGGGAGAAAACTGACGAATTTCCAATGATTTCTGAACAAGCTCTCAAGATGTGTATTGGATATGCCGTAGAGGCGTTGGCATTAAAAGAAATGGAAGAAATAAAAGGTTTAATTACAGAATATGACAAACTTCTGGCGAACGTTTACGAATCTATTATACGGGGTTATACATCTTTTGGACAATTTGAAAAAGCAGATAGATTATGTTTTGAAGCCCATGGAGCTAGTAAAACCCCATTTTCAGAAGGTGCAATCTATGTTACTCAAATTGATAATGCTAGAGAATGGAGGAAAAATGCAACTGATACTACGGCTTTCAATTTTATTGGAAAAAGAATATATTATCTTGAAAGTAGACTCAAGGGCAGTAGATGGCATGTACTTCTTCGTCATGAACCTAGATATATTCGTGAAATCCTCCGAATTAAACTTGAGATAGAAGACAGTTCCAAAGCCAGGGGAGTCTTGAGGAGAATGATTAAATTTAAGCGATATGAATTTATCTTTCTACCATTCTTGCAGTTCCAAAGGAAATGGGGAAAGGAAAAGGAAATAATTAAGAGTTTCTCCTTTATGAATAATTTAGGAGTGACAGTAACTGGGCCTACGTATTTTTATGCCTTGGCCACGCTGTTAAAGATAGATAATAGTGTTGATGATGAATTCCAGAATTCAAAGAAATTTTTTAAGCAAATTCTTCAATCATATGGAATTGCCCAAGCGCAAACTCGTGATCCGAAGCTTAGTCTAAGACAAGACGCAGTAGATGTTGCTAAATGTATACAAGAATTTATTTCATATATTGGAGATCCAGCGCTCCCTGTATTGGATGTATTTGCTTTAAGATTAAAAGAAGTGTATGGGATAATTCCATTCCAAATAAGAAGTATGATATATGGTTGCAGGAAACCAAACCAACGGATCAGTCAAAAGATTAAGAATAGAATTCCAGAATTATGTTTTGATCCAAGTGACGATGCAATTAACGTGTATAAAAAGTTCGTTGAGCAATATCCATACAACGATGAGGTGATTGTTATCCCACCCTTGTTGCAACAAGAAGTCACCAAAGCAATGATATCTCGTCTAGATTCTATCCAAGGTGAAATATCTTCTGAGTCAGCTCATCAATTGGCAGAAATGTTCATTAATGCCATGAGTAATAATTTATATTTTGCCCAGGAAGAATACATCAAAATTTTCAAATTCATCTGCAAATTCCGTGATTTTAAATATTTCAATGATTTACTTCAAATTTGTGAAGAGCAACTCGCTTATGGTTCTTTGGAGTTTATGCATGCATTCTATGAGAAAAGACATTGCTATTCGGTATGTCTTGCCCACAAGACAACGTTTCGCGATCCGAAAGAGATTGACATGAAGTTTCAAGTCTATTCAGATTTTTATAATACGAATGCTTCAAAGTCGTTGGAGTATGTCAAAGCAATTGGTATAAAGGACTTCCCGAGAAGCCGTCATGGAAGATTGTTTCCGATAAAAAGTGAATATGTTAAAAATGTATCAATGGCTAAATGGAGGTTTCTTCGGTTTTTTAACCCGGGACGTGTTCCTAAATACCTCCTAATTGACAAGGAAATGAAATATTTATTAAATGAGCAACTTGAATTTTTCTGTCAAGGTAATAGTGGTAAAACCTTTGCCCTTGCAGACAAATATCCCGATACTCTTAGATGCTTGATTGCAGAACCATATGAATCTAAGTTGGTAGGAGGCACGGTGGGGCCAGGTTTCAGCACGTTAGAATACAAAAGACGAAATTCGGAAACCATCACCGAAATGTATGAAACAATGAGGTCCAATAAAGCCTATGTAGGTATCAGAACTGACGATAAGTTATTTAAACCTTCCTTGCCAATAAATATGGAAGGAAGATACGATCAATTAAAAGCACGTGAGTTAAAACTAAAACATCTTGTTTTACTGCCAAAGTATCCTGCACAATATTATCGGGCCATTGAAGAGGGAAAAGAGTCCCCATTAGACACCATGGATGACCTTCATGAGACAGAAGATATCATGGATGATGACCATATTGAAGTTGAAGAAAAGGGCCTTGAAAATGAAGAAAAAGACCTTGATGATAAAGCAACTCACCTTGAGTATCGGGAACATAATCGTCGACTAAAAGACATTGATTTTGCTAAAAACGATAATGTTGAAAATAAAGAATTCGTTGTCACTAAAGATACTAAAAATGGTATAATGAACGATAAGGAACACAGGGTAAATGTTTCTGCGAGAGAAGTTATCCCGAGATCTAAAGGGGATCAAAAACCTGATGAGATTGATAAGGATAGACGGTTGTATTGAAGAGCCCAGGGGAAAAGTCGAAAATTCTCAATAAGTGCCCCGGATACCAAGCCCATTTTCAATTCCGTTGAGATTTACGAAGTTGAGGTTATTATTTATCAGATTATTCAAAGTTTATGCATTGTAACATTCTACTTGTAAATAGTTTACTTTTGTATATTATAGAACTTATCACATAATTTAAAATACATGTATATAATAAAAATCTAGTTTAGTAATTAAATCAATGAGTTTTCTTATTGATCTCTTCGAATTGAAATTGAGCAGAAGTTTCAGTCAGTCCAAAGATCAATGGACCAATATGAGGTTGTATATTCCATTCGAGTCTAACAGTGGCATTTCTTCCTCTAAATGATTTTTCTACATCCCATACTGAATACTTACCTCTTTGATTGACCAAATGGAGTTTGGCATCATCCTTTGATTTAATGATTTTGTCCCAATAAGTTACTTTATTTGAAGACCCTTCACTCTTACCAGGATATTCAGCTGTCAAATAAACAAATACTTGTTTTGTATTCCAATTGAATAATGGTGTCAAATCAGCATCCAAATCAAATTGAATTTTTGAATTTTCTTTCGGTTTTCTATTGACAGCACCATATTGAAATGAATATTTTATTGAAGCACTTGGTTGTATATTAGTTATTGAAGTAGTATTAATATTCCATACTCCATCATGATTCAATTGTAATAAAGTTAGAGCAATAACAGCTGCTACTATCACAATTGCAGAAGTCAATGCTTGGTTTCCAACTGTTTGAATTCTATTTGTCAAATTGAACATTTTTAATTACCGTTTCAAAATGCTGTATCTAAAGTCCTCTGGAATAAATTCTGTTAAAATGATTTGGTGTTCAATTTGAGATTTTGTTTGTTGATGGCGGATTTTTTATTTTGGCTTCTAAATTAAATTACTATCTACAAAAACTTACACTACCCGTAACTCTACTTCTAAATAATGGATGCGAACAACTGTTATTGTTGAGACTTCAAATATTCTTGATGAAGCTTATCTTGTTGTTGATATTGCTTCAATAATTTCTTCTTCATACTCTTTGTAACTTCTTCTCCCTTAGCATCTTTGGTAGGAATTCCATTTTCATCCCATTCAGAATATAATTCCTTATCTTGGAATAAGTCTTGTGGTCTAACCTTCATCTTAGCCAATCTTTCTTGTTCTTTCTTAGCATTAGCAGCAGCTTGTTCTTGTTTCCGTTTTTCCTTGTCAGCAATAGCCTTCAATTTAGCTTCTTGTTGAGCAATCAATTGTTCCTTTTCTTGAGCATTTAAGAACTTAACTAAGGCACTACCATCTGGTCTGTCATCTAATGAAACACCCAAATTAATCAATTGTGATCTGATTGCATCCGATGCCTTTAAGAATTCATTCAAGTCAGATTTATTGATGGCTAAATTACGGACTGAATCTCTGAATAGGGAAAGTGCTTTTACATAAGGTAATGCAATATCTTCGGCACTTCCAGTTGAATCTTCACTAGATGAGACATCAATCCAACCTAATCTATCTGATCTAGTTTCAAATCCTAAAATATCTAAAACTTTAACTATCCAATTGGTAATCAGTAACAATACTTCGATTCTTAATTCTGTTGTACCAGTGGCAGTAAGTTGAATATAATTGTTTGATTTTGAAACAAGATCTTGAATTGATCTCAAAGCTTGACTACTGGACAAGTTGTCATTGAAGGCAATGTCAACTTCATCTTGAGCCGTAGTTAAATCATCATATAATTGCCTTTCATACTTGGAAATCTTTCTTGAAATAAATTGACCTTCATCTACTTTATGTTTATAATCACTATTTAAGGCACGAACATTTGTGAAGAATTTGGAAAAAGTGGATTCCATAGCTTTTACCTCACTAATCAAAGAATCCTTAAAATCAAGTGGTTTTTCCCATGGAGTCAATGCAAATACTAATCTCAATTGTCTTGAAGAAAAATCATTCAATGCTTCATCAATAGTAATAAAGTTCTTTAAAGATTTTGACATTTTTTGACCTTGAATATGTAAATGGCCATTATGCATAAAATAATTCACCCATTGTTTATTATCGAAATATGCTTCAGATTGAGCTAATTCATTATCATGATGAGGGAAACATAAATCAATACCACCGGAATGAATATCCATAGTTTCACCAGTCATATCAGAAGCCATGACGGAACATTCAATATGCCAACCTGGTCTTCCCTTACCCCATTTAGAATCCCATGAAGGTTCTCCTGGTTTGGAAGCTTTCCAAAGAGCAAAATCGGCGGGATTTTTCTTACTATGTCCAGTACTCAACGATCCTTCACCATCATCAATCAAACTTAAATCTCCTTTATTCCAAGGTTGTAATTTAGCATAAGCATGATGAGAATGTTCATATTTGACAGTATCGAAATAAACTGAACCATCTTCGGTTCTATAAGCATATCCGTTCTCAACGATTTTATCAACGAATTCTATAATATCTGGGATATATTCAGATACTCTTGTAGTAATGGATGGTGGTAAGACATTTAATCTTGCCATGTCTTCATTATATCTCTTTTCCCAATAGGCAGGTAATTTTCTGAAAACAGATGGATCAGTTACAGTATCACCTAATTCCTTATCTAAATGAGGCATAGCTACATCTTTAATATTAGCCAAGAATTGTTCTAAACTGAGTTCGTTAGTTTTGCCATAAATTGATTCATGAGCAGTTCTGGCGGCCTTAATATACATTGGAAACTTTGGCTTTTCTTTGATAATCTCTTGAATATTTTGAATTGAATCAACCCAAGGAATGAATTCTGTTTCAATTGAACTTCCAGTGAATTCTGGTAAATTCTTACCAATATAGCTGGCCAAGTATTCCTTTGATTTCGATAAAAGCTCGTTATTGACTTGCTTATAAACGTCACTAACATGTTGTTCAAATAAGTATTGTTGACGAGCAGCAATGATAATTTTATCATCTATATCAGTAACATTTTGAATGAATTTAATATTAAATCCAAAATAATCTTGTAATATTCTTCTACAAATATCAGTGGAAACATAATTTCTAGCATGTCCCATATGAGAATTGTCATAGACAGTAGGACCACAACTATACCAGGTAATATGGCCTGGTTTGATTGTATGGAAGTCATTCTTGGTACGTGTCAAGGAATTGTATATTTGCAACGTTGGTTTTTCACTGTTTTTATTGACAGGTGGGAACCATTCTGGTTGACGAACTGGTGCCTTCTTCAAAGTAACGGTTGACATTGTGAATAATCTTTTGATTGTTCTTTGAATGTTCATATACTTAAAACCCTTCTGGAGGTATCTTGTATTCAGAAAAATGCACAATCTGTGTTGACGATGTTTGATGATGACTCAATCTATAGGAACGAACATCTGACATCAGGAGAAAATCTATTTTTCCACACCAGTCTTTAACGGCAGTAGGCACAACACAAGTTCATAGAGAAATACAACAAGAGAAGAACATAAATTGATTACAAACTGATTAATTGATCCAGTTTTCTACAAGTGCAAGTATAATTGATTGAAATTGATACTTTAATATTTGATATATGGTATCATTTTCAGAAGGGTAATTAGATGAAGAGTTCTTACAAAGACTATTACCAGTGCTACTGTCAGTTTGGTCGGCCATGATTATTATATAATCCCAGTAACTTTCGCAAATCAGACAATCCCAATGGTAATACTCTTGGTATGAAGTTCGATTACTATAATAATCTATTGTAAAAGTACAAAGTTAGTAAATTCTCTCTCTCTTAGATAAACAACAAAACTGAAGCATGAATTAATACAAAAATATGGAATTGATTCAATTGACATTGGAGTAGTGTAATTATTCAGACAAAAGGTTGGTCGCATATTGCATCTTATCCTATAATGAAACTAGGCGTGTTTCGGATAAGATACTCTAGAACGCAAATTATAAGTCATCATATAAAATTCAATTCCTTCAGAATGGATATTGTAACAACAGTTAAACATACCATTTAGTGATTGTTAACTAACTAGTCATCTTATTTAGGATTAAATAAGCTGGTTAATTCCTTAACTAATAATAAATTTGTTAGCTAAAGAAACTCATTGGAAGAATTCTTTAGATATTCATATTTAACAACAAGAAAATGTTAGACAAACAGTGATGGATCGGGATTTCTGAAAATGATCTAGGTATGGAGCCCTAAGGCTATTTAAATTCACGTGATTACAAATTTTGTATGGAGAAAGATCATTTTTTCTGGTGTGTTTATTTAACCTGAGACTGAGTATTGCAGATTGGATGTTTTTATACTGCATACAAATATCATTCATAGTTAACAAAGTGAACAAAACAAAATAACACAAAGATTAAATAATTTTTCACTAACAAAATTTACTTACTGTTTAGTTTTGGTGGTGAGTAGTAACTGAGCGAGAACGCAATACCATCAATCAAAATTTTTGATACTAACAAAAAAGTTAAAGAAAAAAAAAATTAAAATCTTTTACTTCTTGAAGAGATTAGTTTCATAGTAACCTCAACAATAATACATAAGATGTCTACTGTTAAAGCTTCCAACTGGAGATCCGTTGAATTAGGTCGTATTGTCTTAGTTGACAACAAGGAATTAGCTACCATCGTTGAAATTATTGACCACAAGAGAGTATGTACAAGTGAACCGAAGTGAAAAATTTCACAGACTTAGTAATGGATAAATGGATATTATCAAGAAATAGATTCGAGAAACATGTCAAATAAATATAAAGTGAAGTACAAATGACTCATGAGATATTACTACTACAACGACAGCCTCGACTACTACCCGCAGAGATCATATTCCCCAAAGTTGTATATAACTTTCATTCAATACTAGCAGATATAAGAGAATCTGAAATTTGTCGTACCTGGCACGACCAACTACAGCCATAATCTACTACAGAATTAACAAAGCAAATATTTGTGTTTACCTTTCCCCAACTACCCGAGAAGCGTCCCATCCTTTCATAATCTTGAAGTCGATATATCCATACTATTTTGTTTTACAAGTTTGAATAATTTATACTAACAATTTTATTTTAGGTCTTAATTGATGGTCCAAAGATCCAAAGACAATCTATTGCTTTAGCCAAGGTTGTCTTAACCCCAATCGTCTTATCTAAATTGCCAAGAGGTGCTAGAACTGCCACCGTCCAAAAGAAATGGACTGCTGCTGAAATCGATACCAAATGGGCTTCTACTTCTTGGGCTAAGAAGTTAGCTTCTAAGGAAAGAAGATCTCAATTATCTGACTTCGAAAGATTCCAAGTTTTAGTCTTAAAGAAACAAAGCAGATATGCTACCAAGAAGGCTTTAGCTAAGGCTTAAATTTAACTTTGATTTATTCCAAATATAATTTATCAGATTTTTCATATCATCATATTCCCTGTGTATTCTTAGTTCTTATTTTTTTAATTAGTTTGAAAGGGTATCATAGTTAGGTTTTAATGTTTACGTCTTTCCTTCATAATTTTGTATAAACATGCAAAAGGCTTTTACAATTCATCGAACGAACCATATTTTCCATTTTCTATAGAACTGGAGAATTCCCCCCAACCCCAAAATAATAAATATAAAATAAAGTTATAAAACGTATTTAATTAAAAGATGCATTGTAGATAATTGAACATTTCTCTAACAGGATTTCTATGAAATTTCTATCGTTATCTAGATAACCGATAATGTTTTTACTTTATTGTTTCTAATTAAGTCTTTATATACAAGAGTTTTTTTAAATATTATAAACAAGATCTATATAAATTACTTCTTAGCATTTTTAGCCTTTTGATACTCGGCAATCAATTGCTTTTGTAATTGTTGAGAAGCTTGAGCATACTTGGAGAATTCCAATGTGAATTCACCCTTACCTTGGGTACAAGCTCTTAAGGAAGTTGAGAACCCAAACATAGAGTTCAAACTACATTCAGCACTAATAGTGAATTCATCATCACCGTTAACGGTGTCATTAATAAATCCACCCAATTTGGTGACTAAACCAACAACAGAACCTTGGAATTCATTTGGAGCGCTGACTTCAACATTCATGATTGGTTCCAAAATAACTGGATTAGCATTCAAGAAACCTTGCTTGAAGGCACCATGAGAAGCGGTTCTGAATGCCAATTCAGAAGAATCAACCATATGTGTTTGACCATCAGTGACATGCATATGAACACCTAAAACCTTGTGCCCAATTAATGGACCCTTTTCTAAACAATCTTCAAATCCTCTACTAACAGCAGTCAAGAATTTCTCAGGAATCTTACCACCAACAACACCTTCCGTGAATTTGTTTTCTCCATCTAATGGAGTCATTTCACCGATAACTCTACCATATTGACCAGAACCACCAGTTTGTTTCTTGTGAGTGTAATCAAATTGAGATGGGGTAGTGATGGCTTCACGATAAGAAACTTGTGGCTTACCAGTAGTACATTCAACACCATATTCACGCTTGATTCTTTCAACATAAATTTCTAAATGTAATTCACCCATACCGGAAATAATCGTTTCTTTTGATTCTTCATCAAACTTAACTCTGAAAGTTGGATCTTCCTTTTGGAATCTTTGCATAGCCTTAGAGAAAGCACCATTATCCTTGGATTTTGGAGCAATAGATAATGAAATAACAGCTTCTGGAACAAACATAGAACTCATGGCAATTTGTTTCTCGAGATTTTGTCCAACAAATGTATCACCAGAGGCACAGTCAATACCGAAAGTGGCACAGATTTCACCAGCACCAACTTCAGCAACATCTTCCATATCATTGGAATGCATTCTTACTAATCTAGCAACCTTGACTTTCTTACCAGTCTTAACGTGGGTCATGTAGGCACCTTTCTTTAATTTACCTTGGTAGACTCTGATATAAGTTAATTGACCATATTGACCTTCTTCTAATTTGAAAGCCAAACCAACAAAAGGAGCATTAGATGATGGAATTAAGTTAACTGGAGATTCAGTTCCATCCTTGGCAAGTTCTAAACCAGTATTTAAGACTTCGTTTGGTTGTGGTAAGTAATCAACAACAGCATCTAAAACAGGCTGAACACCTTTATTAGCCAACGCCGAACCCATTAAAACTGGAGTGAATTTTCTTCCGATAGTGGCACGTCTAATGGCACCCTTGATTTGTTCAACAGTTGGTTCTTCACCTTCTAAGTAAACATCGGCAATTTCTTCATCGACATCAGCTAAAGTTTCAATCAATAAAGCTCTCTTTTCTTCAACCAACTCTTTTAATTCTTCAGGAACTTCTCCCTTTCTGATGGTTTCACCTTGAGGTCCTTCATTATATAATGCGACACGATCAATAATATTTACAACACCTTTCAATTGGTCTTCGGCACCAATTGGAACTTGAATAGCAGCAGCTGGGGTTTTTAACTTTTCATTAATTTGTTGAATTGCTCTAAATGGATTAGCACCCATACGATCCATCTTATTAATAAAAGTGACTCTTGGAACATTATAACGACGCATTTGTCTATCAACAGTAACAGTTTGGGATTGGACACCGGCAACGGCACAAACAACCAAAACTGCACCATCTAAGACTCTTAAGGCTCTTTCGACTTCAATAGTAAAATCAATATGTCCTGGAGTATCAATCAAATTGAAATGATAACTCTTATCTTCTTTATCCCAAGAACAGTAAGTAGCAGCAGATTGAATAGTAATACCCTTTTCTCTTTCCAAATCCATATGATCCATCTTGGCACCAACAGCATCACGACCTCTAACTTCGTGAATAGCTTTAATTCTACCAGTATAATACAAAACACGTTCAGTGAAGGTGGTTTTACCGGAATCAATATGGGCCGAGATACCGATATTTCTCATTCTTGAGGCGGCTTCTAAATCAGCGGCTGGTAATTCTGCATTAATTTGATCGATGATTACCTTTTCTTCTTCATAAGTTTCTGGTTGTTTCTCTTCGAAATTGATACGAGAAGTTTGAAATTGTCTTAAGGAAGTGGTTCTGGCAAATGAGGACACCGCTAATGGTGACAGTCTGTTTGCTCTAGAGAATCCGCATCTAAACACTCCACGAAGAACACTGGTCATAGTTAAGATGGTGAATGTTGCTTACCTATGAAAAGTCAATAATAACAAAACGGTTGTAAAAGAATTTAGAAAAATTTTCGATCGTTGAAGGTCGTGTCTCGCTCGATAGAACAATATGAGCCGCACACATATAATAATGGATGTGTAAATCGTCCCACTATTGTTAAAGTCCAGGTCGGTTATATTGTCTTTGATAATGATGCCAGTCTCCTAGGGAGTGACAGAGGTCTACAGTTCTATGCTACTACGTCTTTAATTCTGATGTAATACGTGATATCCTGGTCTATATTCTATAATCTATATTCTAGCTATGTACAATTGAAACCCAAAAGAGCAAGGAGATGAATCCTATGGCTCCAAAAGGGTTCGTTTAATAATAATATTCAATCAAATATAAATAATAAAATTCCGTTGTAGAATTGAAATAAAATCCTCTAATCTCTAGGTTTGACTGGACCAATTCCATTAACGTTTCTGAACATCAAAACACCCTTCGCATCTTCTTTATCGTCATCAACAAATTGACAGCTTCTAACACACTTCCATAACGAGACCCACATATTTTCACCTTCATATCTGTAATGTTCACCCATAACTTTTTGGATGGCTGCACTGGCTTCTCTGGCATTATAGAATGGGATTCTGGAAACATAGTGGTGTAAGACGTGAGTTTCAATAATGTCATGGAAGATGTGTTGACCAATAAATCCAAAGTTACGGTCAATAGTAGCAGCAGCACCACGGGCAAAGGTCCATTCTTCAGCTCTGTAATGAGGCATGGTTGGATCAGTGTGTTGTAAGAAAGTAACAAAGACTAACCAATGATTAACCCATAACCATGGAACAAACCAGTAAACCATCATGTTGAACAAACCAAAGGTCTTGTACCATTGATAAACAACAGTGAAAGTGGTAAGAATACCAATATCGGATAAAACAATGTACCAGTATTGATTCTTGTCAAAGACAGGGGAGCTTGGAGCGTAATGAGATCTAGCATACCAAGATACACCAGGATAAACTTGACCAGTAGCATTGTTGGCTAAATATAATTGTAAACCACCTAATTGTTGGAAAACCAAAACCAAGAAAGTATAGATTGGAGATTCTTCCATTAATTCAGCGACTTTTGAAACACCCTTTACTTCCAAGTATTCTTCCTTGGTATAAGGAACAAAAACCATATCTTTAGTCAAGTGACCAGTAGCCTTGTGGTGCTTAGCATGGGAGAATTTCCAAGAAAAATATGGAACTACCAAGTAAGAATGTAACACCCAACCAATGAAATCGTTAATGTTTTGGTAGTCAGAGAAAGCACCGTGACCACATTCATGAGCTAAAATCCATAACCCGAATCCAAATAAACCAATCAAGTAAGATTGGAACATCCATAAACCACCTCTAATGTAAGTACTTAAAGTAGGATGATCAGCAATTTCTACTAATGGAATGACTTGTTTAGCGGTGTAACCAATAATAGTCATCATAGTGATATCTCTAACAACATAACCTAAAGATCTGATTAAAGATCTTTCATAACAGTGCTTTGGAATAGCAGATAAGATATCTTTGATGGAATAATCTGGAACCTTGAAGACTTTACCATTAGTGTCAATGGTGGTTAAGTTAGTTCTAGCAGTGGTAGTTGCAAATGAAGAAATGTTACCTTTTTGAACAATGGTAGGTTCTTCAATATTGTCCAAATTGTTACTGGTTTGGACACCAGATGCTACAGCACTCATTATGGAAGGTGGAAGGGGGGGTATGGAGGGAAAGGGAGTTGTCTAGAGAAGAAGAAGAAGAAAGAAAGAAAGAAACAAAGTGTAAATCTGCTAATCTAAAAAATTTTCTGATAAAGCTACAAAAAAAAACACGATGGAAGAAAAACCAAAAAAAGCCCAATTGAATAAAAGAAAAAAGAAATTTCGTAAAATTCAAAACAAATTTGCATCTTAAATTTATTTTTTGGGGTTTGGTTGAAAAAAAACCGTCGTTTTGAAGTCTAACGGTTTTCGCTAACCCCAAAGCCCGAAATCGTAACTCCTGATCTGACAAGACACTTTTATAGTTCAATCAATTCCAAACCTTCTTCTAAACATTCACGTTGTAATCGTCAGGCGGATGGAATGTTAGATGGACCATGAGGTATTGGTTGCATTACTAATCCTCCTGTTTTCACTGGCCTAGATGCAGGTGCAACGCATGTCGTTGTTTGGGGAGATATTTATATTGCGACATTTTTGCAGTCAAAAAAAAATGAGATTCACAATGCATGTGATAATACTCTTATCTCCAATTTGACCACAATTTATGCCAATATTGAAGTATATTTGGGCATGTAAATAATTGCAACATGTTTGCCTAATCTTTTCGAACAGCTAGGATATGTGTAGGTTGCAAGTGAGTCGAATCTACTTTTCTTTTTCATTTTGTGATTATTGGACGCAGAACGGCAAACTTTTACTTGATTTCTTGCCAATTTTGCAGTAAAATGCAAGTAATTATTTTGAATATGTAATTTTAATGTCATCTCAAAGAGCTTCCAGTTTGAGTTATTTGGGTTGTACATTCTAAGAGTATATTATTCGCTGGAGAACTGGAAATTGATTCATTCCTGGTTGTTGCAACTTTACGAGTTTTCCGTTATTCAATAATTATATTTAATTAATTGTTACTGGAAAGCCTCGAAATAGCACAGACGAACAATTAGCAAGGGTCAAGGCGGTGGAACAACGACTAGTTAGGAATGTAATAGAAATAATTTCCTTAACCTGACAAAGACCTATCAAAGCCTCTTACTTTATTTGGAGAAGAAATAATGAGGGTTGCATACTTTGGTTCGTAAATCTGAATATGACAATGGAAAATTCTTAAAAATCCCCTTACAATCCCTAATCGGAGTGTCTTCGAGAGCATGTGATTCTCCTTTCTCTGCGAAGCGACTCCGCATATTCTCCACTCGTAAACTAACCAGTTCGAATAATGTTGGAACCATATGAATTCATTATTGAAACATTGCATACAATGGTTGGAACATAGTAGTTCTTTGTGTTGATGACAATTCTTCTAGGGGGTTGCAAATTAGTTCCATTTCATGTCAGAACCCTAATTTGCTTGGCAAAAATTAGCGAAGAGGTAGCAACTTGTATACTTAATTAAGAAGATTCTGAAAAGTCTAAATTTAGATTGGCAAATTCATATTCCAGTAAATCAGAGCAGATCGAGGGATTGCCCGGAAGAGTAAATTCTCCTTACCAAACTCCTTTTACCTTCCTTAAAGATTTCCAAAAACTCTGAAACTAAATCTATCTGGAACCACGAATCTTTTTCGGTACATCGTCTTGCAGGCAACTCTGACGACTTCAAGGGATCGATTCCTTCTAGAATTATTTTGTGATGCACCTAATTTACTTCTCTGAGTTCAAGACTATTGTCAAACTGAAACCCACAATCCCATACAATATAATTTTCTTGATGATTGTGGATAAGAAATAACCAAATATTGTATTTCGGGAAAAGAATATGAATTCCATGGTTAACATCCAAATTGGTAGACTGTTTTCTTTGTTCAAGAGAACGTAGAAGCAATTGTTGGCGAGATTTCTGAATTCTGTAAATAGAATTAATGCAGGTTTTCGTTATCCCTGAACCTCCTTATGAGATATTTTACTACTTTAACCCCAATTCGAAGTTCTGTAACAATCAAAATTATCAAGAAAATGAAACACCAATTAGATAGAAGAAAAAAACAATGAAACTCATAGAAACCTGTGATTTTCTACACAAAAAATATAATAAAGAACCCCCTAGGGGTTCAAATATACTTCTCTTACAGCCTTATGTTAATGAACCTTAGCTATTCTATCATTTAATTAGGCTTAAACCTGACTATTTTACGAGGGGGATGCCGTTTTGTGTAAAGTTCACACCAAATGGGAATCAACTTAAGAATTTCATATAAGGAAGAGGCACCTTTTTTAAAAAAAACTATTAGATGTTTACTATTGTCAGTTCTTTATTTGGTAATATGCCAGTTCCAGTAATTGCTTCTATGTATATCTAAAATTGTATGCCCATTTAAAGCTGATGGTAAGATCTTTGCAACCTTTTTTTTCCCTAATCGAGTAATCTGAGATTTTTGCACAGGAAAAATTTCCCAATCTAGTAAACTGCAAATTGCGAAAAATAGTATACGAAACGTATAGTTCTGTAGAATATTTTGAAGGGTACCTTTCTATTGTTCTGTTTCTTTCCTAACCAAGTTAAGAAATCTAATAACAGTTATGAAACATTTACCTCTCAGTTGCCTTGTTCTGATGTTTATAAATATGTTAAAGAATTCTTTCTTTTGAAAATTGTTCTTCTTCTCAATTCCTCATCCAAATCCTTTCAATCAATCATCCCTTAATAACAACAATAAAAAATGAAGTTAACTAATGCCACCTTACTTGCTATTGTAGCATCCTCGGCCTTTGTTTCAGCTGCTCCTATTAATGTTCCAGTTGGAAACGAATTAATGGTCAAAAGAAGTGACGCAAATGAAGTCTTAGAAATCTTAAATGAATTAAACACCTTAAAGGCTAAGAGAGAATATATTGAAGGTGAAGATGCTTTATTAGATTTACAAAGAAGAGAAGACAGTGCCATTGGTCAATTAATCACTGCATTGATTAACTCAGGTATTATTGGTGATGTTTACTCTAAACTTACTACCGATCCACAAATCAGTGCCAGTGTCAAAGCTATTGTTAAAGCTGCTATCCAAACAGCTGTCGTTCAAGGTCCAGCTTTGATTAAGGCTGTCTGGAACTCAGGAATGTTAGGTGATATTTTCAACAAGTTCTTAAATGATACCGATTTAAGAACCGCTTTATTAAACGTTGCCAAATCTCTTTTTGGTACTGCTGTCAACTTGTTGAAATCTTATGCTTCTGGTGCTTCTTCTTCATCATCATCCAGTACTACTTCTTCTAAGAGAGATGTAGCTCCAGTTGTTGCTCGTCGTTCTACTGTCGACGCTGATCTTGATGAATACTTGGACAAGAGAGATGTTGCTGATATCGTTGCCTACGTTGCCAAGGCCATCTACAGTTCTGGTTTAGTTCAAAACTTCGTCAGTAAGATCATGGCAAACCCACAACAATCTATTGACTTCATGACTACTGCCTTCAAGACTGGTTTAGCTGTCAGTGAAGAAGTCTACAGCTGGGCTAAGAGCAATGGTCTTTGGGATGCTTCCTTGAAATACATCAGTGAAAATGCTGGTACCTGGGCCTCTCGTATCGCCAGTGTTCTTGGTCCTATGATTTCAGGTGGTTCAGTTTCTGCAAGCGATATTGACAATGCTTCTGCAACTACTGCTGCTGCCACAAAGACTGCTATTGCTACTACTACTGCATCTACCGTTGTTGCTACTACTACTGCTACTGCTTCTTCTAATGCTGCCATTGATTATGTGGACTCATTGGCTGCTCAAAAGAGACAACTTTATTAGAGTCTATGTTTACGAATAAAGAACGCTATAAATCTTATATACCGCCGCAATAGTTCGGTTATTTATTTCTTAGATATTGATATCAATTCGGTATAGCTTAAGTTATGGACTGCAGTTTCATAATTTGATATAGAGCAAAGGTTTGTTTATTTCGTTGGTTGTCCTTAGCCATTTTTTTCGCAGCAACTGAATGGTTGCAATTGGTTTTATTTTTTATTCTTGTTAGTTTATAGTTTGTTCATAATGTAAACAAATAGTGTCGTTTGTTAATTTAAAATATTTAACTTTTTAACTTTGTAATTATAAATTGCTTTTGAGAAAAGTCTCGGACGTATTAGTCTATTCACAAGAATGGTCCTAATTTCTCAAACGGAAAACCGAGGCTCTTTACGCTTTTAAAGAAATAAATAGTGGTTGATTGAGGGGATTCAGAGAGAACTTCGATCACTAGCTATTTACAACTTAGAACAAAAACTACAAATCGATTTGAAAGCCTTTAAAACCCTTAACAGCATTTTTTGTTTTAAACGTGAAGAAAAATATAAGCAAGCATCAATTGTCCTCCAAACATGAAAGAATCCTTCCAGATTAGTGTCCATGAAGGGCCCTCCCTTCTCTGTAGATAGATTCTTCTTGCTTTCGCGAACTTTACGCGTTTGTGGGGTGGTTAAGTTACGGGGGATTTTGCCAACGCAACCACTGAATCTCAACTCTTGGTAGAAGATTCAGGATTTCAGTTTGGAATGCCAAGGCTGTATTCGCCTCGACGTTTTATGTTCAATGTAAAAAGAGGGCGTATGATCATGCTGCATTAGTATACTTTCAGCTAGTCTACCTTGTAACAAACCGGTTGCAATTGCTAGAGTTACGTGAATATTTCGTACAACTAGACTATTCAGATGTAGGCAATCTAAAAATAAACGTTCGTTAGAATGCATCATTAGTAATTAATCTTTAGATAATAAATCTATGACCCCACAAAGAAATAATGTTGGGGAGACGATGTACGATCGCATTATTCTTCTGTATATATATAATCCAAGATTCTGCACTTATTAATTTTGAGATAAATTATTAGAGTAAGTCAAAATATCATGCCTTCAGCTTTAACTCCTATAGTATCTCACAGATCAAGTTCCTTTTCAATTGATTCTGCTGCGAAATTCAGCATATCCAACAGCATCATCACAGATTATCCCTTTGGAAAAGGAGATAGGAATAGAACAAAACTAAAGTTATCTTGGAGATTGTACAAATATAGGGATATGTACATGCAAGCACTGATCGAACAAGACATAGGCAGTTATTACCAAGGGCAGTCGTGATTCGCGTTCGCGGTTCATTGGACCAATTCTGGTGTCAATTGGTTATCAACCCCCAAATAGACAAAGGACCTACTGTGTTCTGAGTATTGGTTAGCGATATTGCTTCATTGCGGTTGATGTTTATTGCACTTATGCATCTGTCAGGAGTGTGCAGTGTAGAATGCTTCCAGTTCGTGCATTTGTAGTTTATAATTGTATATTTATTTAGTTGTACAGCCTTGTCCCATCAATGTAAGATCACCTTGAATTCGTGAAATGCAGCTAGTTGTGATTGGATCGACGTAGTTCCTATCATTTCCATACTGCTATTTATTTGCTGGGAAGATCAGTTCTTGCGTATTATGTGTGTAAAAAGCAAATACGAGAAGTAGGAATACGAAAAGTAAATACGAATAAAACTTTGTTTGCCGTATAAACAGAATAAAAACATAACTCTATCTAATAAAATATAAAACACTAAAATAACAAATGTTCCTTAATTTGAACCCGAAGATGACCCTTGTGAATATTGATCTATCAAACGTTCATTATTAGCAGGGTTCCATGCAGCACTAGGTATACTTAAATTACCACCTTGTCCTCCAACATTACTCAATAATTTCAGTTCGTCATTTCTACGATCTCTTTCCCATTCTCTCCATCTCTTCATACGAATTCTTGATGGGTCGAATTTGCCTTCAATTCCACCATGTGATTCTCCCTTAGCTTCACCTACAACAGTTCTGGTTTCACCCCAACTGAAATCATCAAATTTCCAATAAGCATAACTTGGTAACACGAAATTCCAAATTGGTAATGCAATCAAATAAATGAAGAAATAAATGATATAACTCAAACTGGAGACCGTAATGACAATAAGACAACCAGGTAAACCGAAAATAACAGCTAATAAGACCAAGGACATAATTGGGGTAGGTTTGGAAATAATGGCAACAATAATAACATAAATAGTAAACGAGATGGCAGCTGGTAAAACCAATGTACCAACCAATTCAATGAAAATAACAAACTGCATTGAGAAACAGAAAGTACCACACAAATCATTAACCAAAACCAATTCCATCAAATTATGAACAGTAGAATTAATCCATCTACGACGTTGTGACAATAAAACAGAGAATTTATCAGGAACAACTGTCTTACAAGCAGCTTTTGGAACAAAGATTTGTTTTCTCTTTGGGAAAGTTCTCAACATCAATGATGATAAATATCTATCTTCACCCAATAATAATAAATTCTTTTTATGTAAAGTATCAACAACATTATCAGAATAACGTTCCACAATATCTGGATTAGCCAAAATTGGAACCCAATAACCATCAGATCCCTTTGGAGCTTTGATTCTATACATACAGAAACAACCTGGTAAACAAGTTACACCACCAAAAATGGATTCGAAAGCCTTGGCTTGATGATGAGAAATATAGTATTCAAACACTTGAATGGCAGTAACCCAAGTTTGAGCCTTATTGGAGATTTTAGTTTCACCACATAAACCCATAATCATAGGATCCTTAACCATTTCAGCAACCATATGAGTCAAAGAATCTGGGAAAACCTTAGTATCGGCATCCACCATCAATACAATTTCATAAAATTCAGCCATTAGACCAGTAACTCTCCAAATAGATTGCAACATTTCATATTCTAAACTTGTCATTCTTTCATCAAAGACAACCTTTTGTAAAAAGGACATTAAAATGATTTGAGAATCACGCTTACCTCTATTACCTGGTTTTGGAGCACCGGCTTCTTCAGGAGTACCACATTTGACAATGGTAATCATTGGAACACGTTGTTGCTTTTCTTGTGGGACAGTAGCATCATCGTATTTATAGAAACCAGCATAGACTTTAGCCATGTTATGACGTTTGGAACCTTGGGCAACTGCGACATATGAATATGGTTTAACTTCTTCTCTTGGGATAGTAAAATCAGACATCATATCTAAGACAATATCTGGAGTAGTTTCATCATTTCCTGAACCTTTAATGATACCATCACAAATGACAAGGATCAACTTGTGAGAATTTGGATAATCAGTAGTGGCAACAGAATCTAAGGTAGTTCTAATACCTGCTTCATCTTCAGAATAACAAGTGACTAAATTGATAGTATGGGCCAATGGGTAACAGAATGGTTGGTATTCAACAGGTGGTTGAGGAACAACATCAGGATGGATAATATCTGGGGATAATCCATTAACGACTAATGATTCATCAAAACCTTCAAATGGATTATAAGTAGTCAATGGACGATTTAACAAATCAGTGGAAGAGCCTTGGTCAGTCAAATAAAGAGCGGATGGTTGTCTAGTACGTGGTGGGACTGCCCCAACACCTGCTTTCTTGGAATATCCACTACGACCTAATAATGCAGCTTGAGTAGACATGGTAGTGTATTTGAATGTCTTTGAAAGAGCTTCTGGATTATCATAGTATTGGGATAAATCAGAATTTGGAGCTAATGATAATTTTTGGGCACGATTGAACACATTTTGTCTGTTAGTTTTGGAAGATTTACAATTAGCTCTAGCTTTTGGTGGAACAATTTTAATTGGACCCGCAGTAGGATCACTATTATCTACCCAATTTTCAATTTGTTTATTTCTACTAGCCATTGATTTCTTGTCATATTCGGTAGCACCTTGCTTTTTAGAAGTGACCCATCTGAAATAACAAGCCATGATAAACTTACAGACAACAACAGACAAGATGAAAACCAAAGAAACGTACAACACAATTTTAGATGCAATACAACCAATAGTATCGGAATCAATGACACCAACTTTAACAATTTCAGACAAACATCTGGCAGCTCTACGTTCATCTGCATTAGTCAAAACCAAAGAAACATCCAATCCTCTATAAGTGGTATCTTCTCTCAATTTGTCAAATAAGTCAGGGTATGTAAGATCATCAGTTTGAATCCAATTAAGTAAATCTAAATCAATGACATTTCCAGAATAAACAACCAAATTTCTTGAGCTATTTCTGATATCGTCCCAAGTAAAATAAACATCACCATCGACTTTTAATTTATAATATGCTTCACGAGCTGCTTGAGTTGTGTGACAGGCCCAACCTTCATAATACAATGTAGTAAAATTTGGTTGTGAACTTCCATCTTGGTTGACAAGTCTACATGGCATATACCATGCTAATTCATTATCGTCATTCTTTGGAATGGTACAGTTATCTCTTGGCATAATCAAATCCTTACAGTTACCATTAACATTTTGAAAAAGGAATGAGGCATCCATTCCACCGGCATCGACAGGAGGATATAAAACGTTAGAACCCAGAGGAACACCTGCAGCTGGAGGATGTTGCGATTGTGTTAAATCGAATGTTCTTCCGTTAATAATCAAGGACCCTGAATTGACATCATTGATTCTTGTTCTGATTTTAGTTGAAGAACAGACTGTTCTGGTGAACCCAAAAGTTAAATAAGCAACAAGTGTACCAATATAAAGAATACAAGAAATTAAACCGATTTTTTCTCTCCAAGCAAATTGACGATCTTTAGTCTTTAATCCGAATAATCTTAATAATGGAGGTGGAGCCCAAAAGGTAATAATATAACAATACACTTTCCAAAAGTAAATATCATGTTTTGGTTTCAAATCGTCGTCATCATTGGCTAACATTGGTTTTGAAGAAATGACGTTATTTTTACGCTTAACTTCATCATTTAATCCATAAATTTCACGTCCCGTTTTGGGATCCTCTGGAGGCGGAGGTGGTGGCATACCACCAACACCAGGTGCACCAGCTAATTCAGGAGGATTATCAATATCCATTAATGGGATACCTTCATCTTCTTCAACAACTTTATGACGACTTAATTGAGATCTTGATCTACTTAAATCATTTGTTATGGTGGGGTCTAATCCAGTAGATGAAGGTAATACTTTAATATGATGAGATTCTTGATTTGCAACTTGAGTATAATGAAATCTTGGATTATTTCTATTCATTCTAGATCTTTCTGGTCTAACTAATGACTTTTTTCTTGAGATAGCAGAAGCGTCTTGAGCTTCAGAATCAAATTCATGATAGCCTTGAAAGCTTGAACTATCCTTATAAGACATGTTCTTTGTGTGTGTGTCTGTATGGGAAAGATCTATGTGGTTTGTATACCAATACCTTTAATAAAAACAACTATGAATGTAAGATGAGATACCTAGTTAATGGCGTTATACCTATGACTTGGATTATATATATGAATGAAATGATGATTAGCAAATAAAAGCGATTGTTTGAAGTTGAAATATTTCTTTGTCAAAAATTAACAAAAGGTGGTGATTTCTTGTCTTTTTTGGAAAACTAAAATTAGAAATTTTATTTCTTTCTATTAAAGAAAAAAATTATTAAAATTTTTTTTGGTTGAATGATTTTCTTTTCTTTCTTTTTTTTTGGTTGTTTTGTTTGTTTGATTTTGTAACTTTTTAATTTAAAACTGAAAGGAGACAAATTTATGGTATTGTGTTTTACAATTAATTAATTAATTACAATGTGCACTACCCCCCTAAAATAACTCCTTTTTTAAAATATTACACGTGTAATGTAGAATTGGACGTGTTCTTGTATCTAATTGATTGACTAGTGGATGAATATGTTATCTCTTGTATTTGAGAAAGATCAACTGATAAAAAGTTGAAATTACGGTAAAGAAAAAGACAACCATCAATGGTGGTTGTAAAAAAAAAGAATACAAAATTAATTTTAACGTGTTTTGAATTGGTCGTGTATTCAGGTTCAAAACATGAAACATCCACTCAAATTGTTTGTAACACACACACACATTTATATGTATCGAATTACATCCATGCTATATGTCAATGTTAAAATACATTGTTTAAAGACTATGCAACTGATTAAACGGCTTGCTTTGATACTTACCCGAGACAATCTACTACTTCTCACGATCTGACCAAGATCTCAAAACAAAATCGAAGAAGGATCTGAGAAGGGGTGCAGTGGGCTAAGATGGATGTTGGTCCGGGTTCTCCGTCTCTAAGATCTGTCAAACCATGTAATATGGATGTCATTCTCAGGTGGCACAGCTTCTTATTCAGCCTTACAACCCAACTACAATAACTATAAAAATATAAGCACTTCATATAGTGGCGGTACACTTCGTTGGCCTTGTTCATCTTATTTTCTTAGCAACAGTCAAAGCCTTCTTTCTTGATTTAGCCTGATTTCATTGTTTCCAAAAATAGATTTATTTTTTTCGGCTTCGCCATACAACCAAGCCTGAAAAAAAAGAAATTGATATACTGGATGATGACTTAGTAGGCGGAACACTTTCTACTTTTTTGGGAATAACCTATTTCTAATAAGCGAGAAAATAATACTAATTAGAGATCTATTTGACCTAAAAAAAATCAATGCCTATTCAAAATATCTATTAATGTATAAACTTTTTACTCAATACTTGAGGTAACAATGTATCAATATCTGGAATTGCAGCCAATCTACCAACATATGGAACTATTTTAATTAATAAACAATATATCTTTTTATAATTCTCTTTATTCATACTTGCTTCCGCATCATTCGTATATACTTCACTGATACCATTCAATCCTTGCAAAATAACCTTTAATTCACGTTGTTGAATATTTGATATTGGACGTTTATATAATAATTTCAGATCATTTAAGAATCTTCTCAAACCAAAACTAATTCTCTTTATCAAATATCCTTGACTTATACTCTGTAATTCATTCTTTTCCATCTGGGCAAACTTAATCAATTCTTGTAGACAATGTATCCTAATTCGGAAATTTGGAAATTTAACTAATGGTTCCGTGCTGGTAAATGTTTCATTAAAATCAAATTGAGTCAATTTATCAATTATATCCCCCTCTCCTTCTTCAAGCATTCCCTTTTCAATGTCGTTAAACTCGTAGAAATAACAATTCTCATAAATGCTTCCTATAAAATCATTTAACATTTTAGTTTGACCACAGTCAATTAATTTAGGTATTATCAACTCAACCAACTCGTCATATTGTTTAATATGAACATCTTGATTCTCTTCATCCTTGTTGGTATAATGAATCTTAATACTTTGTACCATCAATTTCCAAATCTCCTGATCTAACAATTCAGTATTATTCAATAATTTCTTAATCAAATCCTTTAATAATTGATTTGCTTCAATCCAAAGTGGCGTTTCCTTGGCGGGTATACCTTGAGATTTATTTTCAATCACTTCAATCAAAGATTTAAGACACTTAATTATCCCTCGATCTTTGATCAACACAGTAAAATCAGTTAAATTATGGAATATCTTCTCCTTCATGGATTCAAGACTGAAATGACTAATAGCAACGAAGCTAGTTAATTTAAGTTTATATTCTGTGATAATTTTGTTCAATTTCTGTTCAATTCTGGCCCTGGTTCCGTACGGATATACAATCATACTACTTAACTGTTGAATAATTAAAGATTGGATATCATCATTCCCATTTTCCATAAGATTCAAATTCTCAATAATTGATAGTTGTAACTTAGTTGGTTTATTATTATCCAAATAATTACTTGGTAAAATTGGATATCTTGCACAAATATTAAATAAATTAATAACAGTTTGTGCTTCTTTATATGTAAAGCTGGGCTTTACTATCTTATATAATGCTGGGAAACATTGCATTAATTCAACTAACCCATCTTGATATTTCATATTCACGACATTATATTCAATAGGAACATCACACCATAATTTAAATATCAAATCTCTAATCTCATTGTTGACAAGTTTGTATGGACCTAACAAATCACGTAAGGATTTAAAGATACATAAATTCAATTCTACCCATTGTAAGTCAAGTAGCTTATAATAATAATCGATCAAATCTTTCCATTTTGGGAATAAAGCCAACCCTGCTTCCTCTTCTTCATTCATCATGAATTTAGTATATAATGAAACAAACCCAGTTAAAATCAAATTTATACTTTCAATCCGTTCTTTTTCCTCTTTGATAGGAACAATCTCGAATAGTTTGGAAAACACAATAGTATAAATCAAATCCCAGGATCTATGTAATAACCCACCATGAACATCAATGATTTGGAAAAAGGTCTGAATGGCACTATCTCTAACTTGAATCCTTTGTTCTTCCTGTTTAGATAACTTACTCAAGGTCAATAATAAATAAATATCTAAGTAAATATACATCATATATGACTCTTGCTTTTGGTTATTTATTAAGTCATTCAAATCTTGTTCCAGTTTTAAAGTAGGTCCACCGAGTTTATTTTTTTCACTATTGAATAATCCAATTCTTGATTTTATACAATCACTAATCATCCAGAAATAACTAATGGAACTAAAGGAAATATTTAAATCATATTTCTGATCCACGAAATTACCTAAAGTGTCGGTTAATAATTTGATTTGATCAAATGATAAGTTCAACAAGAATTCATCAAGGATTAATTTCAAGGAATTGAAAGATTTCTCAATCAATAATCTATACTTTTCGTCTATTGAAGTATGACTAGTCTCGTTATTATTATTGATTATAACAAACGGGGTATTTAAAATCAAAAATACCTTGTTCCAACATTTTTGATAGTATGTATCATATTTATCAATTAATTCATATAAAGTGGTTAACATAGACAACAATATTTCAATCTCACAGTTAATCAATAACAATTCTTGGGCTGGTTCTAGTTTAAATAATGCATTTAGATATTCTGTAATTGCGTCCAACGACTTATTCGATACCACTTCAATAAGCATTTGGTTGCTGTCCTCGATGGGAGATTGGAACCCTTTATCGACGATGGATCTGATGATTTTCGTGAATGTTTCGATTATATAGATTCTGAGTTTATTGCTTAAATCACGACGAGTTCCCGATTTAATAAAATACTCAACTATAAGTTCCCAAGACTTATTATTCGGATCAATTAGGTATTTATTCGACTCAATTTCAATGAGCTGATACATCTTATTAATAAAATAAGTCTTATTGAAAGGACATATAGGTAAATTTATCTTTTCTTTTGTATTGTCAGCAGTGTCATCAAATATGGTTTCATTCAATTTAATCAAACATGCAAATAATTCGTAATGCGACGAAATAGGAAATTCTCCAATACTTTCCAATAGTTTCTTCACCGAATTTTCAACATTTTGATAATCTGAATGGGTTAGGTTAGGTTTCATGGAATCTGGGAAACTAAATTTATTCTTATTATAACCAGAATATTCATCTGGACCATTGATGAAATATCCACACCACAGAAGTGTAATCCATACAATTGACCATGATGATTGTAAGGTCGAACCTAAAGTAATTGCAAGGTTTGCCATTGCGCGGACGCAAACGACATGACGAGAATTGAAGTAACGTGAACGTAATACTGGCTGTGGCGTCGTTGAAGTTGTAGATGTAGGCGTGCCTGGAAATACCGTGCTTTCACTAATTTCAGTGCCAGGTGTATGGATTGTAGAACTTAATGATCCAACAATTGATCCACCTAAGGCCAAGAGGTGCTTTCCCTGCTCTTGAAAACTTGAACTCTCTTCTTGTTGATGCTGAATACTTTCTTTGATACTGACATTGTTTATGATTGCTCGGGATATAATTAGTAATAATTCATCTCGAATTGAATCCATTCCAAGTAATCCACTGGTATGGGTAAATCTTTGTAAAGATCGAATCAATAAATGGAAACTTTCGTCATCCATAGCTGTATATATGAATCTTTCATAAATCGTACTAACTTCACTTGAACAAGTTTCAATGAATGAATTAGCTAACTCTATGTCTCGTTCAATGGTTTCAACTGAAACTTCAGTTACTGTATCATTAGATAAAGTACTTACAAAATTTGCTATACCTTCAGAATAAGACCAAAGAATGTTCAAGATCAAATAAATTGGATATGTAGGTGGAATATTTGTTGGTGGTTCTATTCTATCTAAATGATCAATGCTATTTGTTTTGACCCCTGAATTGGCTTTTGATAAAAATGCCTTATGTTCAGGTATTCCGGAAGATGTTGGAGCAGCAGAAGCCGCAACGGTAGATGGAGTAGTTGATGGATTAAGCCAAGCTTTGGGTACTGGTTTCACTATATCATTTACCAATTGATTATTATTCAATAAATAAGCCTTCAAAATTGTGAATAACTCTCTAACAACATGTTTCTTTTGTGGATTGTAATCATACTTTTCATAAATCAACTTGATTGTTGAAAAATCCTTAAAGACTGCTCTAAACATTTCTAAAACTAATATCCTTTCCCAGTGGGCGTCCTCTTGTGGGTCTGTAAGGTTACTTCCAGAACCTTCAAGCAAAATGTGATTGACGAATGATAAGACAAGTTCAATTTCAATTTCTAAATTTTCTAATTGTGTGGTCAACAACACAAGAATAATTCTCATTGTACGAGTCATTAGAGGGAAGCTCTTGACTGGAGAATTTAATATCCTTAACATTGAAGGAACTATTTTACTTCGCAATAAGTATGCCAATTCTTTATGGGTTCGGAAAGTTTCAGCGTGACTGTGAATAATGCTTTCAATAATTTCTAGTAACGATAATAATTTAATCCTGATTGATTCTCCAAGGTACGTAGGCTTTTCATTTTCGATAAAGTGACATAAGTCTTGAAAAATTTCAAAAGCTTCATATGATAATGGATCTACCAAAATCACTTCATCATTCTCAATAGTTATTCGTTTAGTCTTTTCAAGCTCGGAATTATCTTTTAACTTATCATAAATGGTACTAAATAATTGTTGTAAAGTGGCCAGGGCTGTATTTATCACTATAGTTGACTTGTTGCTTGCTGTCAAACTTGAACATATTTCCAATAATTGTAATAAGGTCTCGCCAGTAAACTCATTATTATAGCTTTGCATAAACGAGGGTAAACATTGTAAAATTCTAAATTGAATATCCACAGTTAAATGTGAAGCCTCTCGTAATGATATCAATAATTCTTGTAAATGATCAACCAGAATTAATCGAGTCATAATTAATTTATGAATAGCTGGTAATGAAATAGTCGTCAATTTAGCATTTCCTGATTTACATGCTAGCATCAATGGAGTCAATATGTCTTGCTTGTGTTGTTCATTTTTGATTTCAGAAATTGGCATATTTGGTGAATATATTTTTAGGTGAGCAATTGCCTTGTCACAAGCATGTCTCGTTTCTGCAAATCTTCTCTTGGACTCGGATGAAAGGTTAACCAAATCTCCTATCAATTGATTAACATTACTCATTGTGACCAATTTCTTTCTTGATTGAATAATTTGCAAATATAATAAGGTGGGAAAAGGACAACTGATTTTTGACAACCAAAACTGTCAAGATCGATAAAAATTAAAATACGGTTTGGGGCACGTGCAACGATCACTTCCAACACCTGAATTCCGGGCAATACAAAAAACTTACAATATTAAATTTTTAATATACAAATCTACTATACAATATACATGTCCATAAATACGTTTGTCATAAAACAATAAACCTTTAAATCAGCACCAAGTATTAAAGAAACGGTAGTACCATGGCTTAGTCTTCCATCTTGCAGCTTCTTCAATAGCTTCTTGCTTCATCCATTCGGTATCAACGACATTTCTACCAGTAACTAAATCCATATCTTCAGCTTTAATATAAAGGCTCCAATTTCTGGTCCAAATTTTATGTCCAAGATAGGATACCAACACAATTGGAGCTGCAAGGTATGCTTGGAAAAAGTTTAATGCCGGTAATGGTTCACCTCCAATTGGATATAATGCGACGTAAAATTGCGCAATCAAGATCAACACGACAATAAACATGGAAAAGTAAGCACCATAATCACCACCAATTGCCTTGAAAGCAGTTTCTGTAGAAATTCCTTGGACTTTGCATGCATAATTAACTCTAATTTGGGCTAAAGAAATCGAGAACCAGATAAACAAACATGATAATCCACTAATGGCTAACAACCAAAGGAATACAGTCTCTTGGTTCTTAGAAGCACCAATGAAACCAAGTAAACCGGATCCTAAAGCAATCATAATTGAAAAGACTGGCCTTCCCTTTTGATCGACATAGGCTAAGAATTTTGGTCCATGTCCCGCTTCAGCAATTGCAACCAAAGGTTTATAAGTTGCGAAAACTGATGCATTGGCTACAGATAAAACAGCAAGTAAAATAACAACGTTGAAGATATCTGGTAATATTTTAATACCACCATTAGCAATAGCAATCACAAATGGAGAAGCGGAAGAACCTGAGTTACCAATCAATCTTGGATCATTAAAAGGAACCAAGAAACAGATCATAATGACTGCCAAAACATAAAAGATGGCAATTCTCCAGAAAACTTGCTTAATAGCTTTACTCAATGCACGACGAGGATTAGCGGATTCACCAGCAGCGATTGCCACCAACTCAGTACCAGCAAAACTGAATGCAGCATTAACTAAAGTATTACAAGTACCTCTGAATCCATTGGCAAATGGGGGATGCCAGTTGCTTCCTCCAATATACCCTTGAGCACCTCCTCCAGAAATAAGAACAATAGCAAGTATACAGAACCCGACAATAGCGATCACTTTGACCATTGAGAAAAATGATTCCCCATAACCATAACCTTTGACACCAAAAATATTAATACAACAGATAAGCACAAAGAACATGGAAACCCAAACAGCAGCATTGATTTCTTCGTTCCAATATCCAATGGTCAACGAGGCGGAAACTAAGGATAATGGAATAGTAACAATCCATTGTAAAGCGTAATTCCAATTCATGGCAAAAGCCCAAGATTCATCAATAAATCTTGTATTATAAATTAAAAAATTTCCTCTAACTGGATATGCACTAGTTAATTCACCCAAAGCTTGTGTTACAAAGAAGATCAAAACCGCCACTATACAATAACCAATAACAGTACCTGCTGGACCAGCAGATGATAATACAGCAGCACTACTAATAAATAAACCAGAACCAATACATGATGCAATCGCAATTAATTTAACTTGATATTCCTTTAATGTGTCTTCGGGTGTGATGATATCTGCTCCTCCCACTTCCAAGTCCTTATTTAATTTGAAAGATTTGAAGAAGCTTGAAACTGGTGATGATTTGGTGGTGGTAGTGGTTGAAGTTGGAGTCTTGGTTTCCTGGATTTGGAGACTTGACAAGGAGTAATTATCCTCTTTTTTAGATTCTGTATATGACATGATGGCAACTTATGAACCCTTGTTTGAATGCAGTTGCAAAAAAGTTAATATTGATGGATTTTATAGTTCAACCACGAAGGTATTTATCTGATTAGGTTGCAAAATCTAAACTGGACAGAACCGATAAGTTCAAGAATACTCTCCTTCCATTAGGAGAAATGTGTTTATATTTGAAACCTGAAAATTTTTCCTCTAAAGGCAAGTCCTACTAAAAAAATTTCACCTTTAGTGAATGAAATAAGGCGATTGGAGTGGTTAGATGAACCTCGAGGTACTACCTCGCTTAGAAATGGCAATTGAAACGGCAAAAAATATTGTAATGCCGCATTTCGAAAAAAGCTTTTCAGTGAAGGCTTTTTTTTTTCCTTACAACATTTCGCAACCTCTTTCCAAATGGAAAGTTTCTTTTTGCGGGAAGGAGTCAATAGTTTTGCAACCGCACTTGGTAAAGGTAAAGGAACATGAACTTCCTTAGTTTACCCCACAAGCCATCCGAAACACGTACATGATTCGTTATTGCTTTCTGATTGTTCTTAAATTAATTTAACAAAGGTGCATTTTTTGGAAATCTGAGTAAGAGATTTATCAAACGAAAGTGTTAACCCTTTCGTGATATTATGAAGTTCTCGGTTAACAATGGAAATCAACGGGGGTGGTCGCCCGCGGCTCCGACAGTTTGGTTCCACGGCTATGCTTCAGATAAAATAACTAATTACACTAAAAAAAAGATCTGCCATGTGTCAATCTTGTTAGAGTTGGTTTAATACTATAAATAAAACTGGTTCGATTTCATCGTAGTATTTAAGGGTACCGTGTGATGTAATATGTCTTTAATTATGGTGTGATTTATTCTTCGAGGGAGAGAAAACGAATAGAAACCTAATCATCCCAAGACTGTAGATCGATGTTTCTATGTATAAGGAACATATCATTTTGTGAGCCAAATTTTTTGCCCTCTGCTCCCCTTAAAAGCGTAGTTACGCGGAGTTAAATGCCCGTTCAATGATTGTAATCTCAAAAGGCGGGATGAAGTTCATCGCAATGATGGAAAGAGGCATCGGAAAAATTGGGTTATTTTTTAACCTTAGATTCTCGGCGATGAAAAAATAAGTTGATGATTTGCGCGTTTGCTTACGGCAATTGAAGTATTTTTGCAGCCATTTGATGCGCCAAATGCCCAGTGGACATCTGTAATTGGGTGCGTAGAAGAATTAGGGACTTCCAAATCTAAATCTTGTGCATGTGTTGTATCGTGAATCCACTTTATAGTTTATCTCTGGGGCTCTCATTTTCTTGGCATAATTTCCACATAGATAAGAATATACACAACCTAATGGCAGGGTCTTCTGAATCTTGCAATTTTTCATTCTTCAAAATTAATATACCGCAGTTGACATGGATTTATAGTAGCTTTTTATTTTGAGCTCTTGATAACTTTCTGTTAATGTGTGTGTCAAAGTAATATTGAGTAGTTTTAAGCTCAGGGTTCGTTCATTTTAATAATAGCCTGATCCCACTTGCAAGGGTCTTTCATGAGGTGCTCCCGTAATTTACAAAACATTCATTTTAAAAAAAAGTTGACAGAAAATATCGCATGCTAGGATGACGATTATAAAGAGTTGTCTTCAGGCTGTTTAATTATCAGATCAATACTAAGCTTGTCTAGGATTAATGTCGATTTTGCAAAATATTCGCGACTGAACAACTTTTGTTGCGACATGGTGCTGTATATAAAATTTTCAGTCACACGACCAAACATACCTCATCGCATAATTAAGTAATGGAGGGGGCCAGAAAGTGCCACAGAATACTCGCACGAGGTAGTCTCGGAAACATCATAAGCATCCCTGACCGTATACTAATATCCAATGATTTCAGGGTGGTTCCACCTAAGGGTTTTAAGAATGATCTGCAGTAATTCTTAAAAGCTTGTTCGACAAGAAAAATATGAGGGTTCCAGATGGAGAAGTTAGGTTTTTTTTTTCATCTATGTTCTTACACCTTCTGATGCATCGGTATATTCATATTCTAGGTATAGACACAGCTTATACATACTAAACGTTCACAGATGCCATCAGAATTAAATAATATGACAACCATAGAGTTAGCGAAGTTTACCCATCCTTCTATCTCCAAACATCATGATAAACTTTGGTTTCATGAGATTTCCGAATCTTCCTTTCCAGGGCAATCATTCGCTTTAGAAGTCAAAGAAATTTTATATCATACCAAAACTCTATATCAAGATATCTTGATCTTTGAATCAGCTACTTTTGGTAATGTTCTTGTCTTAAATGGTATTATTCAATGTACTGAGCGCGATGAGTTTGCATATCAGGAGTTGATTACTCATGTTCCAATCATGTCGCATCCAAACCCTCGAAAAGTGCTAGTTATAGGTGGAGGTGATTGCGGTGTTATCAGAGAGTTGATTAAGCATGTTGAAGATGAGACTATTGAAGAAATCACTATGGTTGAAATAGATGATATGGTTATCAAATTACTGGCTAAATACTTACCGGAGATGGCTAAATATCATAATCATCCAAAGTTGAATTTGATTATAGATGATGGATTTAAGTTTCTAAAAGAAACCACTGAAAAGTTTGATGTTATAATTACTGATTCTTCCGATCCTGAAGGTCCAGCTGAAGAATTCTTTCAAATAAATTATTTCAATCTTTTAAATAATACATTGAACAAGAATGGTATTGTCATTATGCAATCACTGGAAAATATTTGGCTTAATTTACCTTATTTAAAGGATTTACTTTTAAAAGCCAAAACTGTCTTTAAAAATGTCGAATATTGTCAATGTTATATGCCAAGTTATACATCTGGTCAATTAGGATTGGTGGTTGCAACCATGAATAAAGATACCGACTTAAGATCCCCAGTAAGAAAGTTTACTAAAGAAAAGGAATCAAAACTATTTAAATATTATAGTCAGCAAATTCATTCAAGTTCGTTTGTACTACCAACTTGGGCTGATAATTATTTGAATGAAAGTACATAGACACATTTGTATAAATATTGTAAAACACAAGCAAGGGTTGGTTGAATATATATATCAATGACGTAATATCCTGTATATAATTTCTAATCACATGATTGGGTCGTGTACAACTGACCAATTAAATTACGTCGGTGAGTGGTGTGTGTGTGTCCATCATCAAAAAAAAAAACACCAAAACAAATATTCCTAACCATATTTACACTACCCAATTTTAATTAATCTTTACCAACTAACACGACTAATTTAAAAACTAAAGAAGTGTAGTGTATAAGTTACCAAATTTATAAGATTAGTTTGCAACCAAAATTTAATTAAATTAAATAGCCACCCATCCATTGTTTAATCAGATAAATACACACAAAACACTCCACTTACTCATCCGCCTACCCACAGGATAATTCCATATTTTATTCATTTTAATTTGTTTTTACATTTTAAAAAGATATCGAAAAGATAAACAACTTCTGTTATATTTTAAAGGCTAAGGGAATAACCAATTATGTCAGCTACTGAAGATTATGCAAGTAACATCGATGATCAGTTATTGAATGTTAAAGGTGATGATGCAGATTCCGATGTTGAAAGAGTCAAATTGGAACAAATAGCTCATGCTGCTGCGGTATCAGCATCTTCATTAGGAACAAAGAAACAACCTTATAAACAAAGAAAGAAGGACTTGGGTTCTGATGGCTTGAAATCGTTCCATGAATTGCAACAACAACATGAGCAACAGCATCAACAACAGCAACACCATCAGCAACAACTAGCCGCTGCAGCTGCTGCCGCTGCGGTAGCCAGTGGGGCCCTTCACCATCACAATCCACATCAACAACTCTCACAACATCAAAACCATTTGGCTGAGTTGACAGGTGGGGATGGGGTTGAATTATCCGAATATAATATTCAGATTCCCGAACCTATGGTAGACGAAAAACTGAGGAAAATTTATCCCGTAAATGAAAATACTATTACCGCAGATGGGAACTTGATTACTCGTCCTTATCCAGAACAAATCTTCCATTCCCGTGAGGGCCTTAATGATTTCATCCTGGAGTTCGCTAGGGATAATGGCTTTGGCGTTGTCATTGCCCATTCTAACAAAAAGGCGATTTATTATACTTGTGAATTAGGTGGTCGTTATCGTCACAAGAAATCTAAAAAGGAAACTATTGAAGAAGCCAGACAAGTTGAAGAAGGTTATTTAATCGATCCAAACGTTAGAACCAAGAAATTAAAGTGTCCATTCTCAATGACTGCTTCATATAAGAAATCTACCAATATATGGACCCTTCGTACAACTTGCAATGAACATAATCATCCACAATTGGATCCTATGAGTAATCACCCGATGTTACGCAAACGCAGCGATGAGTTGAACTTGTTGATATTAGATTTATACAAGGTCGGAACAAAACCATCCCATATCGAATCTAAAATTAAGGAACAATATCCTGATGTTCTAATTAAGCGTGAAGATATTTATAATGAAATCAGAGGATATAAGCGCAAACTCAAGAAACAAAGTGCAAGGTTGGGAATGATGAATCCGGCTTCCCGTATAGCGGGCCATAAGAGAAGGGCTCTTGCTGCTGCTGAAGCTACCCTTGCTGCTGCCGCTTCCGGTCAAGGTGTTAATCATCATGATGATGCGGCTGCCGTGGCTGCAGTTGCTGCCGCTGCAAGTGCAAATGCCTTCTTACATAACGATGATAACTCTGAAGTGTTACGATACGATTTAAATCACCATACTCAACACCAACAGCAACATCATATACAATCCCATAAGTCTCAGAACCAGGTAGAACATCAACAACAGCACCATCACCAGGTTTCTCAACACCAACATCAACACCAACACCTGCAAGAAGATTTCCAAAGACAGTTGAACGAAGCTTCTGCAGCTGCGGCTGTGATTCAGTATCAAAATCAATTAGGATTGAATGAGAGTGATAGTGCTGCGGCTGGATCAATTCTTGATGTCGCAAATGCTGCTGTCAGAGAACATTATAGGGAGACTGCTAGACAGTATAATGAGAGTGGTGACTTATCAATGGATAATATTGACAGTAGGTTAGTTGGAGAATAATTATAAAAAAGGCATATCTGTGTCTTCTTCTACTTCGTTTTTTATATTTACGTTAATTTTTTGATGTTTTCGAACTTCTTTGTAATTGTATATTAGTTGTTTTAATAAATAGTTTATGTTTTGGATTAATGTTGTTTTTACATCCCATTTAAGATCTCTATAGCTTGACTTCTTTCTTCAAATAGCTTTGCGAGTTCGCTTACTTTCCTTCCCCGGATTACCGGCTTCTTTATTGGAATTGGTGGTAGTTTCTTTGCCTTCGGCTCTGTCTCTTTCCTTTGGACCTGGACCTGCTTGACGGGTGGTAAGAACTTGTACTTTTGTGGCGGAAATTGTAATTGAACATTGTTAGTTTGGGCTGTTTGTAGCTTCGTGTCTGCTAAAGTCTCGCTTGACCGGACTAGGGTCCTGACAGATGATGTGGAGGATGTCAGACTTGAAGAATTGTCCACTAGAGTGTTCGCTGGGCTTGTATCTCTAGACGACGGCAATATACTGGCAGTGTTGCTGTTCACTCTATCAACTTCGTTTTTCTGTAAAGAAATATCATAGTTCATACTGTAGGATGTATCATATTCTTTTTCCTGGTGTGAACGAAGGTCTATTGGTGCTCCCTCTATGGATTCATTTATACTGCAAAATGTAAATCTTGGCTTTAGACTTTCCCAATGCTCCAATGTATTCTTCGTGAATCTACTTACTATCAATATGTGATCCTTATTTGTGTTGGATATTGGTTCATGACTGAGACAGTGTGAGAGACATCTGGAAATTGTAGTTGAAGTATGTTTGGTTATTTCATTATTCAAAATAAAATGATGGAAAGTATCAATTAACTGTAGGAGAAGTTGATCATAATTCTTGGTTTCGTGGTTTGACTGCAAATGAACTATGATCATCTGAAGTACACATAATGTGTATTCGTAGTCATCGCGTATGGGTAATTGAATGCTCTCTAATGGTATTAAAGGAAACGGTAATTCCATCAATATCTTTTTGAAAGCAGTCGAGATGCAATATAAGTCCCAATCATTTATGGAAATTAACTGATTCCTTAGTATACATTGATATAGAATTTCCGTGGCAGCCTTATTCCCTGGTTTATGAAATATTAATTCAACTTTGTCACCATTTTGGTGGATGATGTTGAAGATTTGGTAAAGATGATGGTGGAATACTTCATGAGTTTCTTTGTCTATCCTAATGAGTGGATTTATAATTGGTATTACCCTCATTGATAATTGAATACTTGGTTCTAACAATAAATCATGTTTATAAACACTCAATGAAATCTTCAACCTGGTAATATCTAAATAATGGCTTAGTTCACTTAAGTTCTTACAATATATGACATGAGTGTTTCTTTCATCTTTGGAGTTTACCAAGGAAAATGTATCCAACAATCGAGTAATCTGATCAAGGTTCTTCTTGGTGGAATTATAATTATGAACAATTTGAGTTATAGATTTAACAAACCAGCTATCATGAACCGGGAAGATCTTAATCAAGTTATTCAAATTATGAGCATTATCTAAGAAGGCTTTAAGAAATTTAATTCCCCATACCCAACTAATCTTATTAAGTCCGCAACTAAACATTATACACACATATGGTCTAGTAGGTACATGAGACATTAACACCGGGATAAAATCGTCATAGTCTATAGTATCCGGAGATGGTAAGTATGAGGTGTCGAATATATAGATCGGATAGTTTGTTATTGGATCTCTAAAGGAGCATGCTCTATAAAATATTCTATCCATGATGAAAATCGTATGGTTTTCTGGTCTTTGATAAAAAAGTGTAGTAAAAAGGGAACGCGTTTATTTGGCGTAGATGAATATTTGCTGAATTGTAGAGACTAGCTTTCTCAGGAACGGAAATCAGTTAAAGGATCAGAGGAGTGTGTTGATGGTTTAAGGTTGGATTTAATGTGTTTGGTGAAAGGGTAAAATCTTTCAAGGTTTCCTGCAAAATAAAGTTTTGGTGGGATTTGTGTCTTAAAGTGTAAACACTACGACATTTTTCGTAAACAACAGGGGGAAACGCGGAATACGCGACATTTTTGGTAAGACATTTACCACCCCCATCGGAAGAAGGCCCCCCATGTTGCCAACATCTCCACTTCAGAGCTTGTTGCAGTTCCCCGTAACACAGACGGATCTTACCAAAGGTTTGCAGAAATTGGCTTCCTTTAAAGATGAAATGTACAAACGTTTTCGCTGAGGTTCGTAGCAAGAAAGGCTCTGAATCACACTTGCCATTCCCAATCAGGTTGAAAATAAATAGTAACTATTTTCTACCATTAGCAAATCTTTCAATACCCTTGAATCCTGTACTGCTACCAACAGCGATGGCTTTGCATTGTTTCCTTCTCCATAACAAGGTAGGTAGGAACATTGGCAAGGTAGGTAGAGGGCGGAGCTACCACTTGTATGTTTATATGCAGTCGTTTTTGCCATCCAATTTTTTTCCTGTGGTTTTTTTTTTTACAACCAACCACCAAATCCACCAGCAATTGAAAAACTTGGAAAAGAAGGCAAATCGATTTGTAACCAATTGTAACATATTTCACTATATATCATCTGACATACCTCACACACTCACCAACCCAACCAAATCATTCTAGATCCAAATATATTAGAAAATAAAAACTTATTCTTTATAGATTTCCACTAATATTAGAAAATATGGCACCAGCACAAGAACAATCTACAACCAAAGAGCAACATGCTCCGGTGAACAAAGATGCTGAAGGTTCAACATCCAAGAAAGAAAAAGAAGAAGAAGAATTATCTGAAGAAGATCAACATTTGAAAGAAGAATTGGAAATGTTGGTTGAAAGATTAAATGAATCAAATCAACAAGTAGATTTATATAATAAATATTTAGATGCCCTTAAGACATTTATTAAAGAATCTACTACTTCTATGACTGCTGTTCCAAAACCATTGAAATTCTTAAGACCTCATTTCACTACATTGACTGATTTATATTCCAATTGGACTGAACGATTCCAACCTAAAGATGAAATTGTTGTAAAATTAGCTGACATATTATCAGTGTTGGCTATGACTTATGATGATGGTAAACGTGAATCCTTGAAATATAGATTATTGGCATCTGATAGTACCATTGCTGATTGGGGTCATGAATACATGCGTCATTTAGCTTTAGAAATTGGTGAATCATATCAAGAGAATTTGGGTGTTGATGAAGCTAATGTGGCACAATTGATTAGATTATCTTTACAAATTGTACCATTCTTTTTAAAACATAATGCTGAAGCTGATGCTGTCGATTTATTATTGGAAATTGAATGTATTGATAAATTACCGGAATTTGTTGATGAAAGTACATATGCCAGAGTTTGTCTTTATATGGTTAGTTGTGTACCTTTATTGGCTCCACCTGATGATGTTTCATTCTTAAATACTGCTTATGCTATTTATTTGGCTCATGGTCAATTGACCCAAGCTTTAACTTTAGCTATCAAGTTGGATAATGAAGATTTGATTAAACAAGTATTCAATTCCACTGAAGATGAATTAATTCATAAACAATTAGGATTCATTTTATCTCAACAAAACAGTAGTTTTAAATATCCAGGTGAAAATCCAGAAGTACAAGAAACTATTTCAAATGTTAAATTGGCAGAATATTTCAATTTTTTGATTAAGGAATTGAATTTATTAGATCCAAAAGTCCCTGAAGATATTTATAAATCTCATTTAGAAAATACTAAATTTGGATTAGGAACTTCTGGATCAATTGATTCTGCAAAACAAAATTTAGCTGCTGGATTTGTTAATGCCTTTATTAATTTAGGTTTTGGTACTGATAAATTAATTCAAACTGAAGAAGATAATAAATCTTGGATTTATAGAACTAAATCTTCGGGTATGGCTTCCACCACTGCTTCCTTAGGTTCAATTCATCAATGGAATATTAATGAAGGTTTACAAGTATTGGATAAGTATACTTATTCTGATGATCCTGAAGTTAAGGCTGGTGCATTGTTAGGTACTGGTATTGTTTCAGCCAATGTTCATGATGAAGTAGAAGCTGCTTTCGCTTTATTACAAGAATATGTCAATGAACCAGTTAAGATTTATCAAACTGCTGCTATTAATGGTTTAGGTATAGCATTTGCAGGCTCTGCAAATGAAGAAGTTTTGAACTTATTATTACCATTAGTTTCTGATTCGGAAATTTCTTTGGAAATTTCATGTCTTGCTGCATTGGCATTAGGTCATGTCTTTGTAGGAACATGTCATGGTGATATTACTTCCACTATTTTACAAACCTTATTAGAAAGGGATTTCACTCAATTGACTAATAAATTTATCAAATTTATGTCGCTTGGTTTAGGTTTGTTATACATGGGAAAGACAGAACAAGCTGAAGATGTTTTAGAAACAATTGATGCTATTGAACATCCAATAAGTAAAACTTTGAAAGTCTTGGTGAATATTTGTGCATACGCCGGCACTGGTAATGTATTACAAATTCAAGCATTGTTACAAATGTGTACTGCCAAACCAAAAGATACAACTGATGATGAGAAGAAGTTGGAACAATCCGAAGAAGATCAACAAAAGGAACAAGCCAAGGCTGAACAAGATGGTGATGAGGCTGCTGCTGGTGCCGCTGACGGCGCCGCTGCCGCCGCCAATGAAGATGTAGAAATGGAAGATGCTGAAAAACCAAAGGAAGAAAGTACCAAGCCAAAAGAAGAGCCAGAAAAGACTGAAGAAGATGAAGAAGAAGAAGACGAAGACGAATTACATCAAGGGATTGCCGTCTTGGGATTAGCTTGTATTGCTATGGGTGAAGATATTGGTCAAGATATGTCATTACGTCATTTCGGTCATTTAATGCATTATGGTAATTCATTAATTCGTAGAGCAGTTCCATTGGCAATGGGTTTAGTGTCTGTTTCTAATCCACAAATGAAAGTATTTGAAACATTGTCACGTTATTCCCATGATCCAGATTTAGAAGTTGCCCAAAATGCAATTTATTCCATGGGATTAGTTGGTGCAGGTACTAATAATGCAAGATTAGCTCAATTATTAAGACAATTGGCTTCTTATTATATCAAATCTCCAGAATCTTTATTTATGGTTAGAATTGCCCAAGGTATTTTACATTTAGGTAAAGGAACTTTAACTTTAACTCCATTCAATACTGAAAGAACTATATTATCTAAAGTTTCTTTAGCATCCTTATTGACTATTGCAGTTGCCTTGTTAGATCCAAAAGCATTTATATTAGGTGATTCATCCACTGAAACAACTCATCAATTATTATACTACTTGACTCCAGCAGTTAAGCCACGTATGTTGGTTACTGTAGATGAAGACTTAAAACCACTCAAGGTAAATGTAAGAGTAGGTCAAGCAGTGGATATTGTTGGACAAGCAGGTAAGCCGAAGACAATCACTGGATGGGTTACTCAATCCACTCCAGTATTATTAAATTATGGTGAACGTGCCGAACTTGAAAATACTGATGAATGGATAAGTTTAAGTAGTAATTTAGAAGGGATTGTTATTTTAAGGAAGAATCCTGACTATATGGAAGTTGATAATTAGTTTTAGTTTTTAGTTTTTATACAATCAAAAATGTACAAAAGAAGATAAAACTTGAAATCTCTATTATGATATAGATATGTACACTAACTATATAGTTCTCTGTTCTTTTATGAATGAAATATTGTACGCTGATGTAATGAGCCTATAAAGAGTTGATTTGGTGGAGGGTAAGGGAGGACTTTTTAGCTAAATTCTTGAGCTTTACCAGTCATCAATAATCCAACAATCAATCCGAATAAACCTAAAACAGATCCAAAGATTTCAACCACCAAAATCTTGACGAAAAGTGAAGAATCAGCAGCATCACTGATAGCAGCAGTTGAACCAGTAATCCCCACCGCAACACCACAAATTAAATTTGAGATACCAACAGTTAAACCAGCCCAAAATAATGAATATCCAGTATATAAATTCTCTTTCGTAAATAAATCTTTTGAAGGTACACTTGTCAATTTTGATGAAAACACAATTGCCATAATTAATCCATAAATAGCCACAACTTCACAAAAAATAATTGAAATTAAATTCTTAGTAGTGATTCTAGGTGCTTTAACACCAGCACCAAGAATTGAAGAACCAGTAACGAAAATCCCCCATGCCGCACCAACTACTGAAAGACCTATTGAACATGCAATACCTAAACTGGCCCACATGTATGGTGATGTAGTTTCTAGAAATTCTCCAACATTGAATGCTTCACCTGAACCTGTGAATAACATATATCCTCCTACTGTCAATAGGGATGCTATGACAAGCGTTGATGTGTATGCCATTGTGAGTATGTGAAAATGAAATCGAAATTGGGGATGAATTGACTTGTTACCAACTTCTAGAAAAGCTGAAATATCTTGAAGCTAGAATCCCGTTCTAAGATTTTGAAGATGTTGAAGAGACACGGAAAAAATGTAAAAATATGAATTTTGCAGGTTGAGCGGTTTTGCAGGTTATCTACCAAAAGTTGCAAATCTCATTCAAGTAGGTGATTGTCACATCCTGGAATCATTTATTGTAGAGTGAGTCGTGTCTTATCTATATAGAAGAGTAATTGGCTTTCCAGATGGCAGACACAATGAATGCTTTATAAAGGTATAAGAAATACTTCGGCATTGAATTGTTTCGACCTCTGAGCATTACAATTTTGTATTCGTGGCTTCACATCAAATGGTAAGAGTCAGTGATATATACAGACAGCTCTATGAGCTTATCTTTGCAAGAGTAAGAGGCGACAGGGGATCTTTCTTAATTTAAGCATTTGTCAATTGAGGCAACAACAGGACATTAAGTTCCCCATGTATGGCGAATTTCATCATAGTTTTACTATGGCGTAACTAAATTCTCTAGATATCTTCATGCAAATAGAAATAATGCAGATAAGGTTTTTCTGTAACTTTCTTCTATGAGACATATTATAATAATATTCTTTATATTCAAAAAAAATTTAGGGAAATTTAGAACCTTTCTTACAAATAAATTTTTGGGTGCAAAAAAAACTCATAGCATTGCAAAAAAACTAATTTTGTTTTAATTTATAAAGGCGTCAAAAACATATAAATTGTGTTCTTCACAAATTTTTCTTTTCCTTTCCCCCCTACAAGAACCACAAGATTGAGTTTTAACCAAAATTTACAAAATGAAACCAATAACCCTAATCTTATCTATCATTTATGCCTCAGCGGTTGTCATTGCTGAAGAAGCTTTATCCCATCAACGTATGTTACTCCCCATTTTGCTTTTCCACAAAAAACTTTTTTTGCATCCATTTACTAACCGTATTTATAGAGCATGTTGTTCTGCAAGAGAATTTAGTTCAAGTTAATGTCACAACCCCAGCTCCTGTTCCTCCTGAATCACCGCCGCTGCCACTACCTTCAAAAGAGCCTAAAGTAGAACCATATCCTGATCTGAATGTTCCATCTCGACCAGATGTCACTGGTGTTGAAATTCCATTTCATTGTAAACAAGATGAATTTGTGATTCATTCCAAGAAGGACCTTGATTCAATTATTGATTGTGAAGTTATTGTTGGAGATATTAAAATTTCAGAATATAATTATCCTATTATTACATTCCCTCAATTGTTTAAACTTGTTGGGAATTTGATTATTAAGAAATCTCCAGAACTTGTTCGGATTGAATTACCGGTTTTAGAAACTATTACTTCTAGTTTTATTGTTAATGAATTAACTTCATTGGCCCTTATTTCATCACCAAATTTGAAATCTTTGAGAGTTTTAGATTGGACAATTTTACCTATTTTAAGTAATGTTCATTTTAATAATGAAATTGAAGGATTGGAAAGTATTACCCTTTCAGATACTTCATTGACAGGATTTTCTGGGTTTGTTGCTGATACTTTGGAAACTTTGGATATTAATAATAATCGATTTTTGGATAATATTGAATGTAATGTTAGAGTTGTTAGAGGAAAATTACATATTGCTTCCAATGCAAATGATGTTAAAGTATCTTTACCTCATTTAAGACAAGTTAATAAATTGAGTATCAATAGTGTTGAAACATTAACTTTGGATGAATTGGAAAATGTTCAAAGTTCATTAAGTTTAAGTAATAATTATTTCCAACAATTAAGATTTCCAAAATTAAGTGAAATTGGTGGTACTTTAAGTCTTTTAAAGAATGAAAATGTTAATCATCTTGAATTTCCCGTTCTAAATGAAATTGGTGGTGGATTAATGTTTATAAATAATACCAAGATTGAACGAATTAATTTCTTTCCCAAGTTGACAATTATTGGTGGTGCTTTGGAATTGATTGGTAGTATTAAAGAGATTCATTTCAAACAATTGAAATTGGTTAAAGGAAGTGCAATTGTTAAGTCATCTTCATATGTATTTGATTGTTCTGTATGGGCCAAGAGTGAGATTTTATTTGTTGTTAGAGGCGGTAAGATTGAATGTACTAATGCCAATAATGAAGTTATTACTTCCAAGACTAGAAAGGATGGTGGTGAAGTTAGAAGTGGTGGTAGTGGAAGCAATGGTGGCAGTAGTAGTGGTGGAAATGGTAAGAGTCATACACAAGGAGGTACTCTTGATGATCTTAGAGAACAAAGTGGACATCATCATAATCAAACAACTTCCAATCCAGAATTTGAACCAGAATCAAGTGGAGGACATAAATCTCTTGCAATTACCCTTTCCACTATTCTTATTACTATATTTATTACTCTGACTTTATAAGACATTGACTATGTGCTCTTTGTCGTTTTTTTCTTACAACCAAACCTTTTACATAGAATATGTAACTAATTAATTAATTATAATAACTAGAAGAAACTTTATTTAGATAAAAATATACAAACATCATAAAAACTTTGCTTAATCTTTTTTATATAACTTTTGATTTATAATAAAATCTCGAATTTCTGATACAACTTTTGGTTTCCAATTTTCATCATTTGATGCAATTTTTAATCTAATATCTGAAGAACTATAATTAGCAACATCATCACCAAAATTTTCAACCATATAAATATTATCAGTCCAATGAGATGGAATATCCTCATGTCTACCCTTTTTAATTTCTTCTAAATATCTTGATTGTTGATCATTGGTAATTTCTTTATTTGTTCTTGTTAAACAAAATAAATCAGTTGATTTCATAAATTGTTCTAAAGAAGTTGATAATTTATCAGGTAAATAATATTTTGGATTTAATATCCGAATTAAAGTATCAAATCCAATTAAAAATGTTAATTTAACATCTTTTCTATTATCAATATAATTTAATATTGAAATTGATTTATCAACAAATTTAGCATGTTTTGTTAAACCAATTGATACATTTACAGTATATCGATTAGAAATATCATTAGCCATAATATACATCATTTCTAATCGATTACTTAAAGAAATTGGATCAGGGGCAACTTTATCAGCATTTTTAATTGATAATAATAAAAGGACTACTTTTGATTTATGATCAATTGATTTCTTTAATGATTCTTCAACTAAAGCATAATGACCTAAATGTGGTGGATTAAATGATGAATCTAATACACAAACTCTTTGAGTTGTTGGAGTAAGAAACTCATGTGATGTGTTGTAAATTATATTGAAGTCTTTTTGTGATTTAATGAATTCTTGTATCGGTTTAACAAATCTTGAAGTCATATTGTCGTTGTAAGCTGTAAGTTGTAAGCTGTTAGTTTGTAAGTTGTTAGTTTGTAAGTTGTAAGTTGTAAGTTGAAATATGGGGGGGGCTATGAATAACTATTTTGATAAGAAAAAAAAGCCTCTTAGATCAATCTATAGATGTTTTATTAATTGCAATAAATGGTGTGTTAGGTATACTTGGTGATGTAATGTGTAAATACCAAAGTATAACGTCAAATAATAATAAAATTAGATTCAATTGGTTAAAAGGGGGTTGCAATGAATTTAAATATAAAAGTGAAAAAAAAAAAAGGTCTGACGAGAAAACAAAAATTGTCACTTTATTACAGTTTATTTCTATTCCCCCTTAAGAATTTAAATTAATTACGTAGAATCACAAAATCTAAAATGCCTTGAACTGATTTTATTTTATATAATTATATATACAACATAGACAATGTCATACGAAATATAAATAGACCTTAAAAAAACATCTACAATTCATCCTTTGGAACATCTTCTTCTACTGGTTCTTGTTCTGGTTCTCCTTCATCATCTTCTTGTTCACCTTCATCTTCTTCGGCTTGTTCTTCTGTCTTTGGTTCAGCAACATCAACTCCAGCAATATCAACCAATTCAGCCTTAAAGATCAAAACAGCATTAGGTGGAATTGGACCGATTCCTCTTTCACCATAAGCAGCACTAGGTTGACAAGTTAATTCCCTAACTTCTCCAGGACACATATTTAATAATCCTTGTTCCCAACATGGAATAACACGTCTTTGTCCAATTGGGAATGATAATGGTTGTCCTCTACCATAAGAAGAATCAAACACAGTACCATCTTCTAATTTACCTTCATAATGGACACTAATGGTATCCCCAACTTGGGTCTTACGATGACACTGAGCATCTTGAAGAATTTCTAAAAGGGTTAGTATACTATGATTTTCTCCTGAACAGATTTAAACATGAGAGGGACACATACTGATTTTGATATCATCCGAGATTATAGTTTCTCCTTCTGCTGCAGAAACTCCAGTGAAGAATTGAGATAATGCAATTGCACCAAGGGATAATAATGAAGTCTTCATAATGATTGGGCTATTACTGGTATTGACGTTTGTTGAGCTAAAGAGAGTGAGAAAAGATTCGTTGGAAATTAAATTAAATTAGATCCGGAACCAACTTTTCTCCACGTAGTCCTTTTTTCCGCTGTCGAACTTAATGTAACATAGACTAGCATAAACCGACACGTATCCAAAGAAAAAGCCACCCGCCAATTTAGAAATGTAAACACAATAAGTGGAATCTACAATCAAGTATTCAATTTTTTACAAGTCTCGTTTCTATTATACATAAACGATATATAGAAGATTAAACCATAGAAAGTAACAACCCACAAGATTTGAATCCCCAAAATACAAAAGTATATGTATATTTTTATATATATAATGCTGAATTAAATATTTTCAGACCCTATGTATATCTTTCTCAATAATACGTTACATAATAAAAGTTTCATAATCAAATCCCCAAAAATAATAATTAAAACAAAATATGAAAAGCCAAAAACAACTTCCATATCTAATACCCAATAATATCAAACAAATAATAACAATAAAAAAAAAATCATAAAAAACACCTTTGGTTAATATAAAGCAAATATTATAATAATAATAATGACATAATAAAACCTCTCTCTCGCTTAATCTCTGTACCTAATTTACAAATAAACGACCAGCTTCTAATTCTTCAATGGTAGTTTCAACAACTTCATCATCGTCATCATCTTCAACTAATTCAATAGTAGCATATTTGATCATATCCCATCTCTTCCAAAATGAAGAAACTTCATTATAATCTTCAGAATCAACTAAATCTTGTAAATAATATTTAGCTTTAGTTAAACGATCTTTTAATGCTTGTAATTGACAAGATGATGGATCATCTTTAGATGAACTGACCGAAGTAATAGAACTGGATGATGCTAATCTGGGTCTGAATGCAGGAGTAGGTTTATGTGGTTGTGGATGTTGTAATGTATAGTGTTGTTGTTTAGTTTCAGGAACGGTGGTGGTGGTAGTATGTTCATAGTCTGAATCTTCATAATCGGTGATGTCGGTAGTGTTGTCAAACATATCTTCTTCTTCTTCTTCCTCATCGTCGGTAGCTACTGATTGTGGTGTATTGTAACCATATACCTCATCTTCAACATTAGCAGTAGCATCACAATATCTAGCCCATGCTTCATCAATAGCACCAACTAAATATTCAAAGCAACGAGATCTAGCAGATCTATCAGTGGATGGTATGAAGCATTTACCTTCATCTTCAAGTTGATGAATATTCATCAAAGAAATGCTATTGGAAATTGGACTAGTTGCTAATTTGCAATCCAAATTTTCAACTTCATCATCAGATAATAAAGTTGATCTGAGTGAATCAGAACGACGATGGTTAAGATGGTCCTGTATCACTTGTTGTTGTTGTTCTTCATCATCTTCATCATCATCACTATATTGTGAAATGGCTCTAGATAATTCTTTATTCAAAGAAAAAGATATCCTATTAGACGCCCTTCTTTTAGCTCTTATTTGGTCAGCATTATAACAAGATTGTTCATCAGCAGAATCTTCATCTTCATCAGAAGAAGAATAAATAACAACCGACTTTTTCAACTTTGGAACAGTAGCAGCAACATCATCATCAACATCATTGGTGATACACATCCTCTTGGTAGCTGGGGTTCTAAACACTTGACAACTACTACGCTTGGTAGGACCAGTAAACATTTGTGAACATAAAGCCATGGTGGGTGGGTAAAAAACTATGTATAAGTAATATAAATTTGAGTCACGTGAATAAAAAGGTAGTGTATTGGTAAAATCACGTGTTTTTGGCACAAGGGAAGAAATTAACAAACGTTTGTTTCTTGGTGCTTGTGCGGGAAGTAAAAAAAGTTTTTTCTGAAAATCAACCAATCAAGGTGTCAGAAATTAGTTATGTGCAGGAAATTCTAATTTGTTGGAAGGCAAATTCAAAAAAACCAGCTGACTTTTTTTTTGTAATGGAATGGACTTAACTTAACTGATATTCAAATAAGCAGTAAACTTGTTGTTTTATATTCCAAATAAGTACAGTATATGTTCTTTCTTCTTTTTCAATAACTTAATACAAAAAGAAAAAAAGAAATAAAGGGTAAAACCAAAGAAAACTGTGTAATTAGTTAAGTATTTGGAAATGTTGTTGGTGTGTGTGTTTGGTGAGTATGTTGTAAACCAAAAAAAAAAAGTTGTGTGTGTTGAGAAAGAGTGTTACAAAAAAAAAAATGACTTGAGTTATTTTAAATAAAAAAAAAATTTCAAATTCCCGAATTTTAAAAAAGGAATTTGACGAAGAAAAAAAAAAGGAAAATTAATATTTGGGTAATACACTACCCGGCATTGTTACAATCGCTTTTGTGAAACGTGTAAATTTATCCGTCAGCATAGAATATTCTATGATTCTACTCCTATTTTTTTTGTGTACTTCCCAATTGGGAAAAATTAATTTATTTTTAGACAATGTCGTTCAATTTGATTGGTCAAGACAAAACCTTCATCCGGGTAATCCACTTTGCCAACCCTTATTTGTTGCAGAAATGTTTTTGAATATTTTTCGCGCCATGGAAGTATGCCAAAAAACAATCCCCCCATTATCTTAACAATGCGTAATTGAACACCTCACAATAATCAACGTTTTTAATATTACAGCACAAAACCCTCTTTTCATTATAGGGGGGTGGTTCGTGCAGCGATTTCATCATGAGAACAATGGACTCAGATTATCTAAAAATCGTATGTTAAGATTGTGAGATACGTCAGGTTGCTATTTTCTTATCATCTAGGGTTATGTTTGAGATTATGTTGCAGATCTATCTAACCCCTTTAAATTGAATCTTATAATCTGATACATAGTCTCTATAGGTTGCATTGAGTCTATAAACTATTAATAGAATGTGTAGAAAGAAATAGTAATATCTATGGTTGCAATAGAGAATTTTTGTTTAAGGGTTTGTAAAAGATTTGCAACAATTTTCTTCAAATTTAACACCATAAACAGTTGTCATCAAAATTCAACACTGAAAATCAGAGTACTGTAACATTCAATAAGAAGAACCTCTCCATATTGTTATTAAACACATTTGGAAGTATCTCTTATATTATATATCTGTAATTGCATGTTCATGTTGGGTAAACTTTGATTCTCAGAAAAATCACCAGAATTTTCTCACATGACTTCCGCATGACATTCACATGACTTTTATCTCGATATTACACAAAAGTAAACAAGCTTTTTATAAATTTTGCAACCAAGATCTTGTTGTTATCAATAGACACACACACAGCCTAGTTTTTCATAAAGATCAATGATACCTCGGTTATATCTTGGCTCTTACCTAAAACGATATAATTCTAAAACAAGTTACAATTATTAAATTCTTATAATATTAAAATTAAAACAAAACATTAAAAACTAATTATAGAAAATGTGTATAAACTGAAAAGTAACGTCTTTGAAATTAAATATGATCCATGGCACTATTTGGCAATTAACCACTGTTATATGTAAACCGAAATGAAAAAAAAAAGATATCCACCTAATGTAGATATTGTCCTCTATAATACTATTGTCCTTCTATGTCCTCCTCTATCACCCTTTGTATAAATTGGTTTGTAATCTCTATCAATTTTTACTATATTAATGACAAAGTAGAACAAGAATCTATACCGAGTCTATACCGAATCTATACTCTTACCGGAGTTTCAAAATATTGTTTTGCATCTGAGAAATTGTTGCCACCATTACCACTGATTGAACTTGTAGTTGAACTTCTTTTCATTGATGATTGTTTGTTTGAAAAATACATTGAATATTTTGGATCTTGAACATACGAGTCCTTGTCCTTTCTACTTAAATTATTCAAAAAATATTCAAACAAACTTCGAGTCAATTGATCATCTTTGGGTATGAATTTATCAAGTAATTTCTTTGGATTGATTAATTCTGAAGTATAAGTTGTAAATTCTTGATATAATTTATCTAATTGGGCTTCAGATTGATGATAATCATGTTGAGAAATCTTTTCAATAACAACTCCATGAGTATCTAATTTGGCTTCAAGATAACTCATGAATTTTAAAATATAGTCCCATAAACTACTTAAATTGTTATTATTGAAAAAGTATAGTTGATTGTTACGGAATTTATGATATAAATATTTGCAAATGGGTATGAACAATTTCACACCCACAATTGTTAATTTAATGGAAATGATTAAAAAAGCTTGTATTTTATCTAATGTAGTTGCATTTTTAAGATCATTCACCGTTTCGAAATCTTGTTTTAAGAAACTGTATAATCCGACTTTGGTTCTATCATCTAATGACTTAACAAATGTATCAATTTGTGCCTCATCATTTAATCCAAATTCAAATTTACCATCATCATTGTCTTCAAATACAGGATCAAATTCGGTGTCCGGGAATACTCCATCATTATCATCAGACATAAATGGACTATTCAATGTAGCCTCGTCATCCAATTTGGAACTAAAACTATTCGACCTACTTATCCAGGGTGAGTAATTCCGTAAGACAGGTACTTTATTTAATACTCGAACAGTCATCGAAGACATTATTGTTGTACGATTCTTATAAATAAACCGAACTAATGAAGGATCTTCGATATTTCCATTATCTTGATCAGGTAATAATTCAGCAGCAATATTATTACTTATCAACTCATCAAACCTTTCATTCTGTTGATTTATAAAATGTCTATAATCTTCTTGATCATCAGTCTGAATATAGTTATCATCAGTCTGAATATAATCATTGTTATCATATTCACCTTCATGCATGTGTATGCTAGATGCACAAGAAGAAACCAAAGAATTTTCTACCAAGGTATCAGTATTATCATAAGTTGTCAAAGTCCCTGTACGTTTAATCTCCGTAAGCCGGACTGATACCGGAATAACGGGTGCATTGTCAACATAACTTAAATGTCTTAGTCTTGGTTGTTGCAGATCTGCATAAAATACTTGGTCTTCATTATATCGATTATTTAATAGTTTAGAATGAATCTTTTGTTGTGGACTTTGAGACATGTCAGTGTCTATAGATTCAAGATCTGTATCTGATTGTTGTTCTACTTCTTGGCCAGATTTCTTATGTGCTCCTTTAACGATGGGTATATGTTCCGTAAAAGGAATTCGTCTAATAATCCCCTTTATTAGTGACCTCACAACCATCTTATATATAAGAATGTCAACTAAGTAAACTTAAAATAAATAAATAAATAAATAAAATAAAAAATTGGCTAATGTCTTGTTAATTTATGTGATTTTATAATTATAATTCATAAGCTTATGATATTTTAAGTTTTATATTTATAAATCTATAAATCTAATAAGATTCGGGATATCTAAGTGATATGGATGTGTATGAGTGTGTGTGTGTAACATTTGAAATTTTATTTTCTATTTTTTATTTTGCCTATTTCAGATAATATTATATAAATTATCACATGCAAAACAATAAGAATCTTTTGAAAAATCAATTTATCCGAAGAGAAAGCAACAAAGCAAAAAAAATGCAAGAGAAGAAAGTCGCATTTTTTTCTGCTGATAATTAATTGCTTGCTTTTATACGATGACTATGGGTTGCTTCAAGAATTAATCAATTTCATCATCATAAGCATTAATGTGCTTGCAAAATTATTTATTTAAGATCACACCATCTCTCATCTTTCAATTTTTTTTGATAATTATTTGATTCTTTAAGTATTAATTAACATTGTTTGACTTCGTATAACAAACAATGTCTTCAATTATTGCAAAATTCATTCTTAATCGTCTTCTAAAAGATAATCAATGGAATAAAATAGGAGTAGAAAATCCTTATTATCAATTAGTTCCCATTGAAGAAGATTCAAAAGGTAATATTAAATATAAGAAAATCCCTAGGGCTGTTCCTGATGGTATTTCAGTTAATGATTTAACTATTTTAGAATCTTTCAAAAGAAAAGCTTATAGATATGATTATTGGTTTTCAATTTTGGGTATAAGTTTTGGTTGGTGTAATATTATAAGTTTAATCCCAATTGTTGGAACGGTAATTTCTACTTATTGGTCTTTAAAATTATTAAGATTAACTTGGAGATTAGATTATGGTTTCCCGTTGGATTTACAAATTTTATTTATAATCAATATCGTGATTGATTTCGTATTAGGATTAATACCATTTGTTGGAACAATAATTGAAATTGGTTATAAAGCAAATTCAAGAAATTATCTTCTTTTAGAAAAACATTTACAAAGAGTGGGTGAAGAGAAATTAGGTTATATAACTAAAGAAGAGATAAGACCAGGTTTCATTAATGACAAAATTCAACCATTTGTTGAAGATAAAATAAAACCAATGGCACTTAAATCAAGTGAACAAGTCTTGGAGTTATTACATCATCGTGGTAACAATAATAAACCAAGATCTGCTAGTTCTGATGACTCAGCATCAGTATATTCAGTACCTGGGTCAACCACTCAAACTACTACAACCTCAGTACTTACATCCGCTTCTCCAGTAGGTACCGCAACCCCCATCGAAGTTGAGGATCTTATTACTGAAAAATATGCTCATAGTTTGAATGGTAATAGTGAAGATCCTAGTGGGGATTCTACCCCAGAAGCTGTGGCTTCTGGAATATTACGACACAAAAACCTCGAAACTTCTCCATAAGATTATGTGATGTAAGTTTTGAAAATGTACTAAAAACACCCAAATATGCTAATTTGTCAAGGGCAGGTAAATAGCTTATATAGGTTAATTGAATATAGGGAATTCAACCTTCATAATCTCTCTCGTCAAGCCTACAAGGGAGGAGTTTACGACTAGATACACCTTGCTATCTTTGTGGATCGTTTCTTGCCGTACAACTGGGCTGAGCAAAATTAGTTGTCGTGCGGCTCACTATCACTTTGAAAAAAAAAATGATTTGAAGTGGATGTAATTAATTAGTGATCAATTAAAGTTCTTTCTTTCACAAACTTCTATTTTATTTCAATTGGATTCTTTATAGAATATGTCTAACGAGACTAATAAGCGAAGTATCCCGAATGGTATATTATCTCAACATATAGAGGATGACTCACCTATACCAACTGGGTATTCTATAGACGATATCAGCACCACCAATGGCTCTGAGAAAGTTAGTCGTCAACCCGAACCACCAATCAAAAGTACACAATCAATTGCTGCATCAAAGAATATATTATCCGATGATTTGGACAATGAGAATACTGCATCCGGGTCTCTTTTAGATGATTTTGAGAACGAAGCTGAAAATGAATCTAAACCGATACATTCCAAGGAGGTGGAGGAACCAATAGTGCCACTCGAAACTATCGTAAGGGATAAAGAAAGCGAAGCCCCAGAGGCTGCAGTTGAAGAAGAAGAAGGTACCACATCTTCCATTCCGGCACATGCGACACCAAACTTCGACTCAATTACTGATGATATTATGGAAAACGAAATCGAAGCAATTGTGGAAGACAAAGAAGAAATCAAAGAAGATTTCCAACCAGCAGATTCAGTTGCGGAACCAGAAACGACAAGAGCCGCTTTAGAAACGCCTAAAGACGGTCATCTTGCATCTTCAAATCTAGAATACGTGGAATTTAACCTCGAATCAATTGCTGATAATGGAATTGAAAAGACCGAAGTAGATTTGTCTAAAGAAATCTTGGAAGACAATGAAGAAATCGAAGAAAATTCAAAATTGGCATATTCAGGTTTGGTTCTGGAAACAGCCAAAGCGGCCTCGGTGCCGTTTGTGATAGGAAGTCCCGGGGCCACAGAAGAGGCATTTTCCCCATACGAGATTAATGGCTCGGAACAACCAGCTACTACATCCAATTCAGAGGATCAAGAAAATAACGATACTGTTAGATCTCTAATTGATGTACCATTACACGAAGAAGATGTCGACGAAAGACTCGTTGGTGATATCTCAGTAAATGAAGAAATCGGAATTGAGGAAACACCAGAATTTGAAACAGCATCGATCAAATCAACAGACGCAATCATAGAAACAAACACCAATAAAGCCGAGACTGACTTCGACGGCAAGACCGCAGAACAACTTGAATTAGAATCCAATCCTACATTAGCCAAATTCATGTCCGCCTGTCAAGATGGGAACTTAACGATCGTCAAAGAATTGATAAATTCCCAACAAGTCAATCCTAATGATTCATTCAACGATGGAATAACTGGATTACATTGGGCATGTATTAACAATCGTCTCACATTGGTTCGTTTCTTGGTTGAAAACGGAGCCGATCCTAATCAATTAGGCGGAGAATTGAAGGCCAGTCCATTACATTGGGCATGCCGGAATGGATTGGTATATATTGTTGATTATTTGATTACTAGTTCTGAAGCCGATCCATCAATTCGTGATTCACAATCATATAATTCATTACATTTAGCAGTTCATAGTTCAAATATTACGTTGGTTATTTATCTTTTGTTAAGTTGTTGTGATGCAAATTCGAAAAAGAAATTATATGTTGATGAACCGGATAGTTTTCATAGGACATGTTTACATTGGGCTGCTTATCAAGGTGATATATATACCGTGAATGCGTTATTAAGATTCGGAGCTGATGTTTCTAAAGTTGATAATACTTTGTTTATACCTATTCATTGGGCATTTATGAAAGGTTATAAGACTGTTCTTAAGGCGTTATTAGAAGCTGGATCAAATATTCATTCCAAGAATGATCAGAATAAGGATACGTTTGATATTGCCAAAGATATGGGTTGTACAAATACTTGGATAAGAGTTTTGAAAGAATGTGGAAGAGATCCAAATAATAACTGGGCTCCAAAAAAACGATGGATCCTGCCAAAAGTTGGAAAATTAATGACTTTCCTTGCTCCATATGTTTTACTTCCTGTCCTGTTGAATATAATTTCTGCATATCAAGGATTTGGAATCCCTAAGATTTTCTTAGCCATTGGATTGTTTGCCGGAGGTATACTTGCTGTTAATAAAGTGATTATCCCAACGTATCTAATAGATGATAAAGCGCTTGCAAAATCTCCCTTATTGGCTGGAGTTTTCTCAGCAACTGCATTTTGGGCAATTGTGGTGTGGTTAACGGCCATGTTCCCAGTTACCTTTTTCAAAGAATTCTTGACGAATGTTATTTTGGGGTTTTTTATTGGTGTATTTACTTGGACATTTTTTAAGTCAATGTTCATCAATCCAGGATTTGTGCCAACTCCAAGTGATAATTCTGTGATTTTGGCTCAAGTTACTGATTTAGTTAAGTTGGGTAAATTTGACACTGATCATTTCTGTGTGAATTCATTTGTTAGGAAACCATTGAGATCGAGATATTCAAGATATAATAAAAAGTTAATTGCCAGATTTGATCATTATTGTCCATGGGTGTATAATGATATTGGAGTTAGAAATCATAAATTATTTATGGCATTTATTTATTCATTAAATTTAGCAATTCTTGCGTTTGTTCATTTATCATATAGGTATTTTGATAGATTACAAGATGCTTATGATTCAGACGATGACGAATATGGATTATGCGGATTATTTGGAGATGAATTGTGTTATGGATATAAGAATCATCACTTCCATTTCAATTTAATCATTTGGTGTTTATTCCAATATATTTGGGTGACAGTCTTATGTATTGTCCAGACTTTCCAAATATTAAAAGGGTTAACAACTTGGGAATTCAGTACCTTAAACAACAAGATCCAATCTAGTCGATTTAATCATTCTACGGTTCCTATGGATTTTGGTGATTCTACTTTGGAGCCAATACCCAACCAACCAACCGCCACAGCTCATCGTCATGACGAGTTTAAGACATGTTTGAATTTGTTGGGAATAGACCAATTTTGGATGACGATAAAACTTAGTATAATGTCTTTATTTTCAAAAAGAGGTGCTTCATCTTATGAATCTTTGAATACTGTAGATATCCCAACTGATTATGGAATAAAGCAGAATTGGTTAGATTTTTGGGTTATTGGTGAAGAAAAGTTAAGAAATGTATTTTATTTACCTATTGAAGGGGAAAATAATTTGAATGGAGAAGTTGTTGATTATTATAAGTTGTATGAGTATCCATCAAAAGCAGCAGCAGCGGTAGTTTAAGTATGAGGTATATAGATATTTAATACTTTATAGATTTTCATACATCTCGTCACTTTTCGGCTCTTCGGAGAGAAACGATGTCAACAATTCGTTAGTTCCTTAATACATTATTACGGTTTAGATATCAAAAACTATACGATCATACAATGTCTTATTAAAATGAATGAGACAAAGGGTTCTCTATACACTATTCTATTGTTCAATAAATCGAAACACGATCCATTAATCATCCATCAAAACACCTTTATCTCGTAAGACAAAGTGTGCCCAGATAAGTGATTTTAGATCTTCTTCCATGAGAAGAATTCCATCTAGATACCTTCCAAGATCATACGAATATAATCATGGAAGCCACTAAGTTTGTTTGGCCGACCCACAACATAAGGTTAACTATAAAGTCACAAAATATTCCAAGGAATAAATGTAACTTGTCAGACAGCCACTTATACCCACCCAAATCAAAGTCTTCCGAAGAAGCATAATGAAAAGGGTAAAGATCATCGCTCCTTTTAATAACAACAAATTGTCGAAACAAATGTAATAAAAAAGGCAAATATAAAAGTAGATGACCAGATTGCAAAGAATCACAGTCAAGCTAAATTGTATTCTCACTTTGAGGGTATAAGGGTAATCTCACTCATCAACCAAGTTGGATTCAGTGGCTCTTTTGAAGAGTCAAAGAGGGACGTGACCTATAGAAATGATCCTATGAAGTACGTCGACAGAGAAAAGAAAAGAAGAAGGGAAGAAAAATTGAAAAGAAAATTTTCATTCTCATCGGCCTTTTATAGTTGAATTTTTTCTGGCTAAGCAGAGATGAGTTTCGCGTTTCACTAAGAATTTTTTATTATATCCGGGTAACACTTTGTTGGTATTTTTCCGGTAAGAGATTTTCCTTATTGGGGTTTTTGATTATCATCTTGATTTGAGTTACAACCCTAAGAAACACACTAAGGTATCTATAAAATCATAGTGGAATTGCTATACATTCGATGAATCGAAGTTATTTTCAACAGTTCGAGTGTCCCTCGACCAGAAATAATAAGATATGTGATAATCCTGACTGTATGTTTTCCCATCGACCAATTCAGTCTAACATAGCTGACACGAAATCCAACAGTCAAACCAAAGAATCGACTCAACCAAACCGTTCATCTGCAACTCCTATAGATTTAACTAAGGAAGGTAATACGAATAATATACCAACCATAGATTTAACAGTGGAAAGTGAGGAGGAATACGAGCCTCTGGTCAATGTTGTTGTTTCAAGGAAGGATATCGAGAAACCAACTATCATTAGTCCTCACCTGGTCAGCAGTACACCTTTAGGAGAGGAGGTCAACCCGTCAGTTCCAAGACCAGATGGAGTTATAAGTCATAGCATTCAAACTAGACCGACCGCTGCGAACTATAATTCCGAGTTTGATGATTTACAGATTCTTAGTTCAACTGACAAAGCAAAGCCCCGAACTACCTATTACCAACGATCGACATCAGAAGGAATAACCCTTCCCGAAGGGAAGCCACCAATCCCTCTGCCAGTCGCATCTGCCCAAGGTTCTATCAATAATGTGACTCCTTCGACAACGAAACCAACAATTCAAGTTATACATGGTGGTCCACCAAAACCAGCGATAGATTTTAGATCACCCGAAGTAATTAATATTTTAATCAGGGCGGCGGAAAAAGACCAAGCAGTGAATGAGTTGATGAATCTGGTTGCGACTGGACGTGCAACCAAAGAAGATATGAATAGACTTAAGGAGATCATATTACTAGAAAAACAAGCGGAGCCATCTGTGTCAATAACCAGGTCTGAGAAACCAATTAGAAATAAGAAAGAAGATAATATGTCTTTGTTAAAGAAGAAAAAGGCTGAAGATGTTGACAATCCAGCTCTAAAGAAGCAAAGGGCCGAAGTTCTTGACCATCCAGCTCCAAAGAAGCAAAGGGCCGAAGTTCTTGACAATCCACATCCAAAGAAGAGAACCGCCGAAGTTCTTGACAATCCACCTCCAAAGAAGCAAATGGCTTCGCCAATACCCAAGAAGCAAGATGAAATGACGCCAGTGGAGACCAAGACAGAAGATTCTTCTAGCGCATGGGAAATTTTTAGGAGAGAAAGAGAAGGTCTTTACAATCTTCCTTCAAAGAAGCAAAAAATTATACCGTCTGACCAAAAAGAAAACGATAACAAGTCAACTGAACCTGAAGCTACTGAAGATCCCAAATATATTACACCAAAACAAGTTAAGAATAATCCTGCCACCATTCAAGTCCGTAAGCAATTTATAGAAATGATTGTTACAACATTGCTTAAAAAGGATCCGACAATCAAGCTTCCGAAAACGAAAGCAATTGAATATGAATTTGATCTTGCTCAAAAAGCTACCTCGGGAACATATACAGTGTTAATGAAGCAATTAATTCATCGTCTTTCTAAGGCAGAGAAACCCACGGCAAGCCAAGAGAATACTTCACGGAAACACGGTGATTTAGACAAATGGATTATTCCGGTGCAAAAACTTGAAAAGTTCGGATATATCATGAAGAAACCCGAACCATCGACCGAAAAGCCGTTTATAAGGACATGTGTAAGATGTCGATCTCAGTTCAGGGCGGATCAACAATCTAATAATACAATATGTAATTATCATCTGGGGAAAATAATGAAAAATGATAGAAATGAAAGAGTATATGAATGTTGTTTGGGTAATGAAAATGAATCTTATTGTGAAACGGCCAAGCATCATGTATTTATACTAGATACACCAGAATTAAAGCATGCATTTATACCGTATCAATTCACCCGAGATATCTTTAAGAAAAAGAGCCAGTATATTGCCCTTGGACTTGATTGTGAAATGGGATATACTACCAATGGATTCGAATTATTGAGAATAACTGCAGTAGATTATTTTACGACCAAGATTGTATTGGATGTTTATGTGAATCCAAAGGGAAGAGTAGTTGATTTTAATACTAAATTTTCCGGGATTTCAGAATTAACTGATGATTTTGTACTGTTTGAAGAACTGATTAAGAAGTTAGGTGAAGTAATGGATGCAAACACGATTCTTATAGGACATGGATTAGAGAATGATTTGAATGCGTTGAGATTAATTCATGAAAATGTCATTGATACTGCGATTTTGTTTCCAAAATATGAAGCAAGTCCGAAGTTTAGATGGAGTCTTAAGAGATTGGCATTTAAATATTTAAGTCGAAATATTCAGACTGGTGAACATGATAGTACAGAAGATGCAATTGCTGCAATTGATATTGTCAAACATTTTGCTGCAAGATGAGATTGTTAACATTTCTATTCCGGTTTAGTTAGTTAGAATACATATTTATACATACTAGATAGATTCAATTCAAATCGTATTGTAAATCAACTTCCCCAGAAATTAATTAATTTCTGGATGTGCGGCGTGGGCTCTCAAATTGGTTATCTATTTTTGTTACCAAAGTTTATTTTTCAAATTTGTGTTGCATTGTTTGTCTGCCGAACAAATAAAAAATAAGGGGGACGGGGGGTGGAATGGTGGGAAGAAATTCAGCGACCAAAGGAAAAACCATTTGAACCTTTTTTGTAGAAGGAGGTGGAATTTTCTTAGCTTTCTTTCTTTCTTTCTTTCTTTCTTTCTTCTATTTCTATTTTTAACTCTTTTCTACACATTTATAAAACTCAATTGAATAGATATAACTTACTGTAATTGATCAATACAAGTTAAACAAGTAACACAAACAAACAAAACAAAATGGCATTGAAAGTTCTTATTTTAGTTGGTGGTGAAACAACTGGTACTAGATTTAGACCACTTACTATGGATGAACCAAAATTATTATTTCCAATTTGTGGTAAACCACTTATTTCTCATATAATTGATAGTTTAGTTGAACAATTGAGTCCTACTAATGGCTTGGAGATTTTATTAATGGGATTTTTCAAAGATTCACTGAAATTTCAAGCTTATGTTAAACACGCCAATGACACTTATCCTGATTTAAAGATTGAATATTTATCAGAACCGGAAGCAATGGGAACTGCTGGTGGTCTTTATCATTTTAGAGATAAGATTTTCACTGATGCTGATAGTAAAGTGTTAATGATTCATGGGGATGTTATTTGTAATTATCCTTTCAAAGATATGTTAAAGGCTAATTTGGAACAAAAGTCTAATATTACTATTTTGGGAATTGATCCAGTTTCTTTGATTAAAACTCCAAGAATTCAAGTTCTGAATGGTGGTGGAGAAGGTAATACTCTTCCCTCAGATGAAGAACTTTTACAGAATTATGGTGCTATTGTTGCCAATAAGAATGATTGTGGAGTTATTCATTATGTTGAGAAACCTAGTTCAAAGATTTCCATGTTTAGACAAGATACTACTTATAGTATTTTATTAAATGGTGGTATTTATATATTTGATAGATCTATTTTAGATTTGTTACAAGAAGCCAAGGTTAGTAAAGAACGTGGAGCTACTTTTGACTTTGAAGAAGAAGATTTAGATAATGAATTGGATAAGAGTGATTCCCTTTCCTTAGAATTAGACGTTTTCAAGATTTTGCCCCTGATTAAACAAACAAAATTCTCAGTTTATAAATCTAACGATTTCTGGTATCAATTAAAGACTCCAGTTTCTGCATTACTTGCCAATAGTCTTTTCCTTTCTCAAGGTCCTTGTAATGGTGGTAATTTTGATAATATTGAAATTTTGAAACCAGTTCAAATTGGAAATTCAGATTTATCGAATTCAAGTTCATCTAAGATTGGTCCAAATGTTTCAATTGGAAATAATGTCACCTTAGGTAAAGGTGTTAGATTATCAAATTGTATTATTGCTGATGATGTAACTATTGGAGATAATACAATAATTAAAAATGCAATTGTATCTCGTGGAGCTATTATTGGAAAATGGTGTAGACTTGAAGGTACTATAACTGCCGAAACATTGGCACAAAATGTTAATGTTGTTAGTGGATATTTGAAATTACTTAATAATATTGTGATTTTATGTCAAGGCACTACAGTTGCGAATCAAGTGTTTGTTTACAATTCAGTTGTGTTACCACATAAGGAATTGAAAAAGGATGTTAAATATGAGATTATAATGTAAATTAACTACTTAAAATAAGAAACCATTTATAAAAATTGTGTATTTTTTGATATATAAAATATAATACTAAGTCCAGCTATTTGATTTTTTACTAACTTTACAGATCAATTAATTTATATCTTGAGTTTTTATATTCAGCAATTGCTCGATTACAAGTTTTAGATTTCCCCTTGTGACAATAAAATGTTCCATTAACAGGTAAATGTACTGGAACATGATCATACAGGAACCCTGGAAATTGAGGATTTAATCTCTTGAACTGACAAGTTTCATCAACTTCCACCTTTCTTTCTAATGTAACTTCAATTATTGTTTCTTTAAATCCAACTTGCATTAATTCTTGATAATCTATAACACATTGTAAATCATAATTCAAATTATTGAAATCATTAAATTTATAATCTTTAAATTGTTCATAATGACCAAAATGATCCATTAAATTAGTAATCAATTGAGAATCAACTGGATCAGGATTCCTTAATAATAAATTATGAATATTAGGAGAAGGCTGTAGAATACTTTGAAAATTTGGATTAGTGTTTGTCCTACATTCAGAAGCTTCAAATATTTTATCAGTTAATTTAATTGTACGAAGGAAATATTTGATATTTGAATTCTCAATACATGTTCTTTCACTTTCTATTGTCCACAGTTGAAATCGAGATAAATTTGATGGACTTAATGTTACTTTATTTGCAACATCTTGAAGTGCTTCAATGATGATTTGTTTATTGTAATTTCTTGTTGATACTTTGAGTATTGGTTTATCTAGATCTCTATGATCAGGAACTACAGCCAATGTCTTTGCTAAGTATAATAAGATTAATAACAGATATGGCTTCATTGTCTTTTGTTTGCAAAAAGTCAAGTTGGGAAGATTGATTGCAAAAAAAGTAGTCACAAAGTAGAATTCAATTTTTGTGTTGCAAGAGTAAAAAAACACGCGCCTGTTGCAAAAAAATAAAACAAAAATAAAAACCACAAAAAAATGACGCGTTGAAATATTGTGCCCCCCAAAAAAGATCCCCCAAATCATGAATTGAATTTTTCTCCAATTCACGTTTTCTTTTTTACAACCAATTTTTCATAACATTCAATATTCATTGATTAGATTAACCCCATTGAACTTACTTTTGCTGGTAGTAGATAGATCAATAGAAAGATGAAACCACAAACACCACTGAAGACACCTACTTCCAAGAAGTTGGGATCTTCTGCCGGTGGAAGTACCAATTCCAAGAAAAAACAATCATCCTTAATGTCGTTCTTTAAACCCATGGCTGCCAAATCAACAGACCCTGTACCACCAAAACAATCGGTTACCCAAGCACCTCCACCTTCGTCATCTCCATTGCAATCGAGATCCACCAAACTTGATACGAACAGTGATAAAGAGAATGAAAGTAGAATAGACCAAGATGGAGATACAACAATGATGACTTCATCACAACCGGAAGCTCATACAGAAACTCCTAGTAGACCTCCAGTAAAAGCAAAAGCTCCAACTAGATCATCTCCAGAGTATAGTAAACGACCATTGGCTGAAAATAATATGAATTCCAGTCCAGTTGCAAATCGTCGGTCAGCAGGTCGTAACAAAGGAATCAATTACGCTGAATCCGATAGTGAAGATGAAGTGCTTAGCAAAAGAAAGAGAAGAAAAGTTATGCCTAGTGATAGTGAAGATGAACCTGATTTCAAACCTTCTGATGTGGAATCTGATGATGATATGAGTGATTTCATAGTTGATGATGATAAAGAAAGTGATGCAGAAATACTGGCAGATGACGATGAAGATGCTGATGATGTGCCTATAAGTAAATCCAAAAGGAAAGCCAAGCGTAGTACATCTCCTCCTACGAAAAGGTCCACACCAGTTAAATCATCAATGACAACTTCCAACGTCCTTGGAAATAAATTTAATGCAAATTCATCTTATACATCTGCTCCAATCTCAACTCCATTAGCTAAGAAAACCATCGCTAAGGGTACCTTCACCCCACCATCATCAACCAAAAAATCATTTGCCAAAGAAAATGAAGAAAGGTACCATTGGCTAGTTGACATCAAAGATGGAGAAAAGCGTCCAATGTCGGACCCAAATTATGATCCCCGGACATTATACGTCCCCCAATCAGCCTGGTCAAAATTCACCCCATTTGAAAAACAATATTGGGAAATTAAATCACAAATGTATAATACAGTTGTATTTTTCAAAAAGGGGAAATTTTATGAATTATATGAAAATGATGCCATGATTGCCAATACTGAATTTGATTTAAAAATTGCTGGTGGTGGGAGAGCAAATATGAAATTGGCGGGGATTCCGGAAATGTCATTTGAATACTGGGCGAAAGAATTCATTAGTCATGGATATAAAGTCGCTAAAGTAGATCAAAAGGAGACTTTGTTGGCTAAAGAAATGAGAGGGGGTGCAACTAAGGAAGAAAAGATCATTAAGCGTGAATTAACTGGTATTTTAACTGCTGGGACATTGACGGATTTGGATATGATTAGTGATGATATGTCGACTTATTGTTTAAGTATTAAAGAAGAAGAAAGTGAAGATGGAAACACCAAGATATTTGGAGTTGCATTTGTGGATACATCCACTTCAGAATTAAATCTTATTGAATTTGAAGATGACCAAGAATGTACTAGATTAGATACATTAATTACTCAAGTTAAACCAAAAGAAATTATTTGTGAAAAGGGGAATCTTTGTAATATTGCCACTAAGATCTTGAAATTTAGTGCTCATAATTCTCATCAAATCTGGAATCAATTGAATCCAATTACGGAATTTTGGGATTGTGATATAACTTTGGAAAATCTCGTGAGTGGTAAATATTATAATGCGGTTGATTTGGATGATTATTCCAAGTTTCCTAAAACATTAGTTACATTTAAAGAAAATCATCAAGTAGCATTCAATGCATTTGGAGGATTGTTATATTATTTGAAAACTTTGAAACTTGATTCAAGTATAATGAGTCTTGGGAATATCAATGAATATAAAATATCCAAGAATGAAACTTCTCATTTGATTTTGGATGGTATAACTTTAAATAATTTAGAAGTCTTAAATAATAATTCTGATGGTGGTGATAAAGGAACCATATTCAAACTATTGAATAGAGCCACTACTTCCTTCGGTAAAAGACATTTGAAAAGATGGGTCTTACATCCACTTATGAGAATCGATGAAATTGATCAAAGATATGATACAATTGATTATTTAATGAATGATGGATTGGAATTAAGAGCTAAGCTTCAAGATTGTTTGAGTATTTTACCTGATTTGGAAAGATTATTAGCCAGAATTCATGCTGGTACATTAAAATTCCGCGATTTCTTAAGAGTGATTGAAAGTTTCGAACATATTGCTCGATTCCTGAAACAATTCGAGGGATTTATTAGTACTGATTGTGGAGCATTATATAAGTATTTGAAGGAATTTCCTCAACAAATGGTGGAATTGACATTGGAATGGGATGATGCATTCGATAGAGAAAAAGCCAAGACTGATATTACTATCCCTGCTACTGGTGTAGATGAAGAATTTGATGATTCACAAGCAAAAATAACGGCTTTGGAACAACAGTTAGATCAATATTTGAAGGAATATAAGAAGCGATTCAAATCTCAAGAAATATTCTATCGTGATTCAGGAAAGGAAATCTATCTTATTGAATTCCCAAACAAATTAGTTAAACAAGTTCCTCATGATTGGCAACAAATGGGTGCCACATCAAAAGTGAAAAGATATTGGTCACCAGAAGTTCGGAAATTAGTTCGTGAATTGATGGAACAACGAGAATTACATAAAATGGTTTGTGAAACATTGAAGAGTAGAATGTATGGTAAATTTGATGCCCATTATTCAGTTTGGATGAAGGTAATCCAATGTATGGCCAATATTGATTGTTTATTAGCTTTAACTAAAGTTTCTGAAACTATTGGATATCCTTCATGTCGTCCAAAATTCGTGAAAGGAGATCGAGGATATATCAATTTTAAAGAATTAAGACATCCATGTTTTATAAGTACAAAAGAATTTATTCCTAACGATATTATGCTTGGTGGAAATGAACCTCATTTTGGATTATTAACTGGAGCAAATGCAGCTGGTAAATCTACATTAATGAGAACAACCGCACTTGCGGTGATTCTAAGTCAAATTGGATGTTATTTACCAGCTGAATCGGCCGAATTAACTCCCGTAGATAGAATTATGACAAGATTGGGTGCAAATGATAATATCATGCAAGGAAAATCAACATTTTTTGTTGAATTATCGGAAACAAAGAAGATTTTGAGTAATGCAACCCCGAAATCATTGGTGATATTAGATGAATTAGGTAGAGGTGGTTCAAGTAGTGATGGTTTTGCTATTGCTGAATCTGTATTATATCATTTAGCTACTCATTTACAATCATTAGGATTTTTCGCAACCCATTATGGAACATTGGGTCATTCATTCCAAAACCATCCACAAATAAAACCACTTAGAATGGGGATTATTATTGATAATCATTCTCGAAATATTACATTTTTATATAAATTAGAGGAAGGTACAGCACCTGGTTCATTTGGGATGAATGTTGCATCAATGTGTGGAATTGCTGATTCTATTGTGGATAATGCAGAATTGGCAGCAAAACATTATGAACAAACTTCAAAATTGAAGAAATCGTCTAATGAAGATGTTGCAATTGATAATGAATTAAGTTTGGGGTTACAAAGTGATTTTGTTTGGTTAAGTAAAGATCAATTGAATGTCTTGTCAAAAGATATTTTGAATTATGAAGAACCAGTTAGACAACATGCACTTGAGAATATCTTTAAAATGATAGAGAAGTTGTAGAGTAGTAGTTATAGTTAGATTGTTCTTATTTATATTTATAGTCAATAGATGATGGGATATCATTTTATTTTTTTTTGGTGCCCAGGGGGACCAATCATGGTTACTCCATTGTTGATTATGGAGCAGTTTAGTTTAAACGAGATATCAGCAGATCAAATAACACAAAATACAATGAGAGATGAGTACATATCAATTGAAACGTTAATCTTGACATATATTGTTTATCAGTAAGTTTATGTTAAAGAATACCGATAAGTCCGAAGGGGGATACTTTTTGAGGAAGATACTTCACATCGTATGGTTTTTTCCTCTTAATTAAATTCAAATTGAAATCATACCATTGGGAGAGGGAGAAACAAACTTTTTCATATAAAGATCAATTAAGTTTTTCATATTTTTTTGCCACTAATCAAAGTCAATTCTTCTTGAAGACCATAGTTACTACTACTACTATTATTACTACAAATTACAAAACAATTTCACAATGATTAACAGATTAGGATTAAACACTGGTGCTCCATATCATTTATTATTTTATTCAGTTGCTTTTGGTGGATCATTTTATTATTCATTTATTGTATCACCATTAGTGTTTAAGAAATTAACAAGAGAAGAATTTAGTCACTTACAAAATAAAGTGTTTCCAACTTATTTTGTTGGTCAAACGCTTGCTCCAATTATTTTGGGATTAACTAGCCCAATTAAGACTTGTCGAAAGGGATTAGGTGCTGTATTGGCAGTTTCCTCAGTTGCTGGTGCTTTGAACTATTTTGTCTTATTACCAATTTGTAAAGGAATTAAAGAAGAAAGAAATCAATTGGTTGAACAAAATAAAGATAAAGATGACAAGGGCGAACCTACCCAAGAATTTACCGCCTTATCCAAGAAATTTGGTAAATATCATGGAATTTCTTCCTTACTCAATTTAATCTCCATCGTTTCTCTTGGTCTTTACGGTGCCGCCTTGGCTAAGGGGTTAAGTAAGTTATAAAATTGATTCGATGAGGTAACAAGAAGAATATGCGTGCTGTCATCTCTGGGGAACATTTGGTTGGAAGCTAAACCCCGCATCTGTTGGCAAGTGACTGTGGTTCCTTTTTATGAAATTTCTTGTGTATAATATTTCAATTTAAAGTGTTTATATATGAATTAAATATTTACTAAATTTATGAACTTAATTAATAAATTTTACTAATACATTGTATCAGCTGAGGTTACATTAGAGTCAAATATAGAGATATCAAAAAGTCGAGAACCATCTATTCTTTCTTTTTCAATCTTTGTTCTTGTTCCGCTTGTCTTAATTGTTCAGTTTCTGCTTTCTCTTGAGCAATTTCTTCGGCATAAACTATTGGATAAGCTTTCCATAATAACAAATAGCCCAAAAAGATAACATTAACAAGAAATACGATAACCAATGGTATTAATCTCTTTTTTTCCATATATGGATCTAACACTAATTGCCTCATTATATAGGCATAGTGGAAGATTCCAATGCACATAAGCACGAATGCTACGGCACCAAATTTTAAATCTTTTTTGAATTTTGGAGTCACATAAGTTTCAATTAAAGATTTCTTTTGTCTAACTTGTTTCCTTGGAACTCTGACTTTACTGGTTGAATCTGACATAGTTATGAATTGCGCTAATGATGTAAATAGATGGAATTAATTTGAATATAGATTTAGCAAACTCCTAATTTCATGAAAAGAGTACAATCAAGATTGTTCTCTTTTTTTTTTTCGGTGATGTTTAAAAAAAAAGATTGATGTTGCAAAGGAGGCAAAACGGAAAATAAAATCCATCATTCTTTTAAGGCTGGAAGATATACAAAAATTAAAAATAGAAAATACCAAGAACTGCAAACAAGAAAAACTGTTACCAAATACGCCTTAAAGCATTGAATGACTAGGTCCCCTATGGGAGGCGTTAGTATCATTTTTTAACAAGGCTATCTCGTATTATCTCCAAGATTTGTTCTTTATTTCTTTCACTTGGTGGGGGAAATTCTCAACTCTTTTGAGCCGTGCGTTTCCCACAGTTCCAAATAAGAAGTTCTATTCGATCTAAAAGAGGTCCCTCATTTCGGTTAACAAGTTAAAATAAATGAGATGAGATCAGAGATGAATCATTAGTATTTCAGAACATCGAACTAAAAAGAAATCGTGAACAATAAAATGGGCTAAATATTTGAATCTAAGATGAAAATGCAACCTTTAATCAATGGAAAAAAATTTTTGACTGCGAAATTTGCAACTTCCTAAAATTTCATGTTTGAAATAAATGTAACATACTTTTTGACAAAATTTCATCAACAACTTTCATTGGAAAGTCATTATCTGATTTCCGTTAACAAGACGTACAAGAGAAGTTCTAATCTCATCAGCATCATCGATTTTGTATTCTTGCCCCGCCCCCCCTTCTCAGTAGACCAAGATCTGTCGACTTTAAGAACTTATATCGGAGAAATTCTTGGGTTCATCTACATGACAAGAATACGAAATTGAATGGAGATGACTATCTCCCATATTAGGTAGTATTCTTGTCAAAGTATTCTATAAACGAAAGTTCCAAGAGTTTTTTTCTTATTTTATATTTTTCTTGTAAACTTGACCAAATTAGAAAATTAAAAAAAAACGTGTGTCTAGTGTTGGAACTCTGACATCAATTTTATCTAATCTTGGGCAACTCATACGATTCTTTTAATAAACATACCATCTATCCAGCGATGACGTATCTATCTATTGTTAAAGAAGTTTAGCCATTTCATATCGACTAGTTGCAAATTGGGGATTTCCTTTGTTTATTTTGGACTTAGACGGAAATGGTGTAAAATCCAGAAAAAAGAATTATTTTTTAAAAGAATGCACTAAAATCCGGAAAAAACTGCCGGTGTGCAGCGCAAAAATAGAAAAAAATTATTCCGCAAAGAAAAAATAAATTCAGTTACAATAAAAAAAATAAAAATAAAAATAGAAAAAACTAGAAATATGCTTTATGGAATAATAAAATAGCCTGTCCAATGTGACACATTTTTGAATCAAGAAAAAAACACGATGCAAGAAAATTTTCCACTAATTACGAAAAGTGAGGTGATTCTTTTTTCCTTTTTCTTTATGAGATTCTAGGCAGCCCAGTGTTCCTTAAGCTTTTTTTTATTTTTTTATTTTTTTAATGTTTTTCTTAGCGAAAGAAAAATAGAATGATTACCCATGAACAGGTTTGTAGCTGTAACCTGAAAAATCCACTTTCAATCTAGAAACCATTATGATATTTAAACATGAGAATTATCCCCTTTATCAGTTTTTTCCAAAAAGTTTAAGTTGGTTTTTGTTTTCTTCTTTTGTTTTGTATAACTATCAATTACCATCAATTACTAATAATGAGCTCACTTAACAACAAGAACTATCAACCTAACAATTTCAACATAAACTACGGATTAATGGAAGCCACATATACCGCTCCCCTAATGCAAGTACAGTCCAATGTAAGTGACAATGTCAATGAATGGATGACCGACTTTATAGTACACTCAGCACCAGTCACAACTATCAATAGCCCTTCAGGAACACACGCAATGTTGGCCCCACCACAACACTTATCACAACCAATTAACTTCTCACAGTATTTCGATGACGATGCCATATTCAGCCAACCAGAATCTGCAAACTCATCTAAGCAAACTTCCATTACTAATAGCCCATCCAACTTCGGAGTTGCTACCAATGGAAACGTTTATAATACCCCTGCTTCCAATGCAGTTGTTAATGATGTCATACTTCCAAATTTGGCAGAAGCAAATATGAAACTTAGCCAAAGAGAAAACCTAAACCTTGAAACCTTAGAAACAATATTTGATACCAAAGATATATTAAAAACTGAACCAGTCGATGTCAAAATAAAACTCAATAATACTCCACAATCATATCTTACAACCCCAGTAATGTCACCTAGTATTTCTAATGCTGAAGCTACTCCATTATCTGGAAATTCATCAGTGGCATCCAGTACCAACACATCACCAACTAGAGGTAACGGAAAAACACCTACTGGTAAACCTAAAAGAAGAGCACCTAGAAAGAAGTTAACCGAAGTACAAAAGAAAGCCCATAACAAGATAGAAAAGAGATATAGAATAAATATTAATGCAAAGATAGCTGGCATTCAAAAGATCATTCCTTGGGTGGCATTGGAAAAGACAGCATTTGAAACTGGTGAAAAGACTGACGAAGCCGACAATGGATGTGCCAGACTTAATAAGTCAATGATCTTAGAAAAGGCAACTGATTATATTCTTTATTTACAAGAAAGAGAAAAACAAATAATGGACGAAAATGAAATACTAAAACAAAAGGTTATTTCTTTAGGTGGTTCCATATAATAGCTTTCGGTTGGTTTATTATTGATTGATGTTTGCTGTTTTAATTTGTTATTACTATCGATTGATTTTGCATAGATATGTAGAAATTTAGTTTAGATACATATAGATTATTTTATTATTATTATTGATTAATTCAATACGTTTTATTTTTTTTTTATTATTATTATTGTTGTTCGGAAAATAATTAACATTCTCTACATTATTGCGCATAATAAAATAATTGACGTTATGTCTATTGTTCAGTTTAGCCGTAGTTTTTCCGAAGACACAACCCCCCCGAAAATATGGAACCATTTTTAAATTTTAAAAAAAGAAAGGGTAAAGATAGGCTTATACTTTCTGAATAAGCTTTACATCCAACTAACCTAAAAATTCAAATGGAGTAAAAAGAAATTGTAGAGGTTTGGTAGAGCTGGCTTGTGATTTCTTGTTTCAATTTTTATCACGGCATCAACTACCCCGAATGCCGAAATCTTCGATTGCTCAGCTAGCAAGCACCATCAAGTGCCATGGGAGGAGAAGAGAAGTCTCCAAGAAGTGAAGGAAATGTTTTAGTAAATTGCCAAGAATGTCACATCTTCACTTTTCCCACAAGAAAATTAGGCGGAGGGGTGGAAGTTAAGACCCTCGGATTAAGCTTTTCGTTTCAGAATTTTAAATGTTTTCTTGGGATGAAAATTGTACGGCTATGGGTTATCAAGGGCCACAAAGTGAAACACCAAAGGAGACATACGGCAAAGTTCATATTGGGGGCTGATAAGCATTTTCAATATTAGCTACAAAAGCACTCTCAGCATGAAGCAAACCACTATAGAATTCACTGGTTGAAGACCAGTTACATTGCATACTCTTCAACATTGACACTTTTACTCCAAATATATGCATTGCTTGTAGAAGAGCAAAGAGATTTTCCAAAACAGGATTTGCCAAACTTTATTCGGCCCTTAGAGACAACCTAGCTTTTACCAAAACAGCCAACCTTTGCAACAGACAATGACGATTTTACAACAGCCTTTTCTTCTAACATTCCCCATATTTCTATTTGTGTGACATCAATTAACTCCTCCCCGAGAGAGTAGAAAATCACAAGACATCTCCCTCTGGAACGTGCCGCATCTTATGTTAAAGTTTCTTTACAAATCTCTAGACGGACGGACTTGATGACCTGTAGACTGGAGTACTTTCAATACTTTTCAGCAACCCCTCATCTCAGATATCTGATCATTAATACTCATCTAATTATTTTATGAGTATTTGAGTGTAAATTTTTCTATTTCTGGTAAGGCTAATTTTGATTATAATCAAAAAATGGCCAGTTCTTAATTTTTCTGTATAAAGGGTTCGTTTTGACTTTGTGTCAAATATTTTTTGTGATGAATAGAATAAATAATTTTGTGATTATTATTTTAAAAGTTGTTCCGTTTAAGCCTTTTTAGTTTTTCCGATCGAACCATGCAGAATAAATGATCGACAGATTGTGGAATATTCGTGCCGCAAGGATATCTTGCATTATCTCAAATAAATTAATTACTAATAATTAAAAAGCAAAGTGAGATGACCATTGTAGTCGTTGAAATGGGCTTCTTATGCACGTGATCTACACCGTGACGATTTACGTTATCGGTTGACTCGGGTGCCTGAGTTTCCTACAATTAAGTTTGAAATAGAATATTGGGAATCAGTTTTATTAGTAATGATTATGTTTAAATTTCCCTGCTAAGTGGTATTCGCCTTCAACAAACGCCTGTTATGTTAAAAAACATACGTTTTAGTGCCCAAAAGGGCAAATGTCACCCCATTAGATTGGAACACACACACACCCATCGTTAATGCGGGAAAAAAGCTTTGTGACTTATTCGAAGTTAATTACATAAAAAATACTCGCGGAATAATTAAGGGGTTTTCATTGTTAGTGGTCATTATGTGCCAAGAAATCACCCGTTCTTATTAAAAATAATACTAAAAACATTTAAAATTTAGAAGCCTTTGTTTTCAACGGTCGTAAACGTTTTTTTTAGAGTAATCTAACCGGAAAATTGCTGAAGGATTTTATTTTATGAAGCTGCAGTTGTAAGGATTAATAATTCTTTGGATCATGTACCTACCTCAATAGGGAAAATCAATTTGCTCATTCAATGAAGTTAGTTGAATACTCTCAAAATTTCAAGTCGAAGTTAGAATAGCAAACTCATTAAACCCTTACACATAGATGGCTCCAATCAATAATATGTGCCAGTGTAAGTTTATATTGGCTCCTTGGCTTAGAAAAGCTTCACCTCAACTAGAATACAGCATTGGGTAGTATTCCCATTAAAAGTTTAATAACGTAACGCATGAGTCCTTGTGCCACTTATTTGGCAGTATAATCAAATTGTAAACATTGATCGGTTGTTTGTCGCCCGTCGTACGATATCGTCCAGGATGGAGTGTGCAAAGCGATAGGTGTTTCTGTATCTAGAACTTATCTAACCTTTGGCCTTTGGTTGAATGTCGTAAAATACCTGCTAGTAGTATTACGTTTAGCTTAGTCATTAGTTTAAACTCCGAGATAATGATCAAGCACATACGGTATTTTTCATAGGCCGGGTAACATCCAGATTCTTTTCCGTTGCGATGCGTGCGTGACCCAAATTCTAAGGAAACTATTGATAACAGGGTGTGACCCCTTAATCTTTTCTGATAATACCATTCATTCTAGTTCTTGTACACATCAACATACAGAAATATAATGAAAAACCCGAGTCGTCATGAAAGTAACGGTTAAGCACAAATAATTGACAAGGGGATAAATCTGCATTGCAAATAAATTGGCGAAGTTTCCGGGGGGAGATTAACCGGGTAGAATTGCTCCCAACTGATATTGGTGATGGGACATTTACTATAAAACTGGTGGAAATAATTCCGTCCTATTGCAGGGAGGGAGTTGAAGGTGACAGCGGAGAGGAAGTTGAAGAGGGTGGGTGGAAGCAGTATCATATTGTGGTAGTAGTTGGATGATTTGCAAGTTGAATGGTAGATTGGTTATCCTCATAAATAGTAACAGGTAGTCTTACAGTGATGTCAAATTGATTGAATAGTTGTAATAACCAAAGCGCTTCCTTAGTGGTCTCAGCTAAGGCCATCTACTCAGCTTCAGTAGGCACTATTAATGTCTTCAATCAGGTTCGGATCTTTGCTCATGAGTGGTTTAGTAAGTAAGTCGGCTAGCATCCTTTTCTGGCCCTTGTCTATTCAATGTGCTGCATTTATTCGCAACCGTCTTCCACCAACTTCCACAGGTAAACTCCCATGCAGCTTTGGTCAAACTATCCACCTTCTTTGAACGTTCTTCAACTAATTGGTTGTGTTCGTTTTCCGTTGGGACCCTCCTAGTTACGTCAATCGAAACTACAGCTTGCTGCTGCTCCATGTTTAATGGTTGGTTATGCCACTGATGGGAAAGCATATAAGCTCTTAGAGATTCAACAGAAACGGTTTATTGTCTGCAATCATGTTCGGTTCTCTAAAGGGAACGTCCACAGAACTCAGAATGGCGCGTGCCATGAACCAAATTGAAGTGACAGAGTATATCTAATCCATCAGCATAATGATGTTTAGCTTTCAGTAGCTTGGCAAAGAATTTGGCCCAAGAATCAATCCTAACCTAAGCCGTATAAAGAAGACCAACCGTTGTAATACTTTTGCTCTTAGTTAAATTGAATTGCTTCGAACGACTATGGAATGAGCCTTCATCAAGTTGTTAAAAAAGCTTAACTAAAGGTGGAGCAGTAGATGGGTTAAGAAGATTCAAATAGTCGAGGTGTGTAAGCTATTGGCTGAGCAACGAATTGACATCGAATCACGCGCGCAATTTCAAACGAAGCCGATAAATACGCTTTTTCAGTAGGGTTAAATATCACGGAGTTCGGAATAAACTGATCTTGACCTTTGTAGTTAATTGTCAACCGAATCAGAAAAGCATACCATGGAATTGTAGTGGTACAAAATGAGTTGGTGTAGTAGGAGTCAGATGTTTCGTTGACGAACTGTTGTAATTTCGACCGGAAAATAATAAAATTCCAATCCGTAACATTGGATAAAGACTCCCATACATATTTGGCGCGACGACCTTTAAGTTGTTGCCCCAAATCAAGTAAACCAAACCCCCCCTGAGAAGGTAGGGAGGTTAAAGTATTATACCCAATGCCTTTAAAGAATGTCTTAATTCGTGCTTTCAAATATTTAATGTCATGTGTGGTAGTGATCTATAACTCGAAGCATCACATGACGCAAGCTGTTCATTAATTGGACCGAAACTATCATTTGGACTTGCAGGAACATTTGAGTGATTGAGTTTGACACTTTGTTGTTTTTCAAATTGCAATACCATCTTGCCAATATAATCTCGGTTTATGTTGTATATTCATTCCCAAAAATTTCTTTGCTAGACCAAGATCCTTCATTTGAAACTTCAGCTTGAGGAGAGACTTGGCCTTATTAATGTCTTCAATCAGGCTACCTGCTATGAGTAAATCATCCACATATAGACCAATATAAACCTTACCATTTGAGTATAGACCAAGTTCACCAGTTAATCTGTTATAACCATTGTTGACCAATAAATCGTTCATTGTGATATTCCAGCATAGAGGTGCTTGCTTTAAACCATAGGCTATATAATGCAGCCTACGTATGTACTAATGTCGTCGGTCTTGTAGGGTTTGGGTTGTTGTCTGTTGATCAGAGAGCCCGTTATGTGCGTAAGGTCGACTACAAACTATAAAAGGGAAATCGTATATTAATATATATATCTCCCAGATTCCTCAATAATAAATATTGGAGAAAGGGATAGTTATGTGTGATAACGTTAGTTGATATATACTTATGAGACGACTGATGGATGGAAGATTTATATGTTGTTGTCGAATAAGTTCTATTCAAGCTTCTTATTCAAAGTATTTCCGAGTTTTCTGAATTTTCTGAATATGCTGAATTTTCAGAATTATTTGCTACAGCTTCTGCATATGGTCTCAAGAAGATCCATTCCCTCTGTTTGAAGAGAAGGACATATATCACAAAAACAATGATACTGAACTCCAATATGCTAAGGCTTGGAGTTTAATTTAGAGTTTAACATTCGATGGTATATGTGGACACTAAGGCTGCCTTATTGGCCAACCATTCACTATAACACTTCCTCATAAATTTGAAGAAATTCTTGTCATTTTTTCTCCTGAGATTCCCGAATATACATAAACAACAACATCGGATAACTTAATGACAAATTCAATATAGGTATTGGATCTACCTAATTCTTCGAAACTTCTCCAGATCTTTTCAAATCTCGATTGAAAATCAATTAGCTTAGTCGTGATGTCTGGATCACGACGACCGTTGATTTTTTTCATCTTCAGTAATGATATACACTGCATCGCGGAGTTGATTGAATGTTCACATCTCGTTCAACTTTATTCATCTTGATGGGTGGTAAAAATCGTGCTATTAATTGCTCCAAATTATTCCGTGCTCAGATAACTTTCCAATTGATTTGGATATTTGAATTTAGGGATTCCTACCCCTTTGATTGGGAATTCATCCCATAAATTAGAAGTGATATTTTCCGTTAACAATAATCAGAGATGGTCTTATTCTTTAGAAGTGGTTTCGCTTTCAAATTGGTTAGCTTAAATTATTCATCTACACCTTATTTTCCCGTTTTTTGTGTTTCGTAGTGTATCCAGTGAGCATATGGCTCCATTGCGTTACAATTTAGGAAAATGAGGTCATTTCCACCACTTGATATTCAATAAGCTATATATTTAGGTTATGTATAAGAAACATAATATAAGGGGTTTCTTCTACCAAGAGTTATGTTTCCCCCAGAGCGGTTTTATATGTGTATAGAAATATGTAACCTATGTTAAGACATATATATCTGCGGTGAATCAATCAATATTGTGATAGCCTGTTGTGAGATGGACTATTTATGTCTAATTAGAAGTGTAAGCGATCTAACAAGCACTGAACACGGTGAAAGTGTTGTATAGTTACATTCAAACAGAGATCATGTCACATGTAAATGGAGTGCAACATTGGAGCCTAGTAATTGACATTTGAAACAAGTTGTTAAATAGGTATTATCATATAATACACATTGGAGGAGGTCTCAAGATCTATTTAGTACCTTCATTCACAAGTCAACCAACAGGTTCGCATGAGGACCAGACGCTTCCTTGCATCCTTACATCAAATGTATTACATTTTATGACAGACTATCTCAATATTAGACCGCTCTCTCTCTCTACTGGTCAAAACTATCCGGTAATCATCTTACGACAACAGTTTGTTGCCCTTATCCCTCTCATTAGACATCAGATCTTGAAAATACGAATGCAAGTGGGTTGTACTTTTGTCCTTCTTTAGATCAGCCAAGAAATCAACAAGCTGAGCCCTGTTGTTGTGGGCGCATTACGTAGAATTACTAATAATTCCCAAAAAGCGCATCTTCGATTTGCAGCCTACTATGGAATAGATGCCTCGTTTCTGGATACGAGATGGTCTAGGCTTACGTTATTGTAAAGATGTTTTCTTTTTGGATATTATGTGCTGTTTAGAGGAACCATTCAAAATCATCGGGCAAGATGAGGAAACCAACAATTTGATCTCAGATACCTAGCTAGATATTAAATTAAGATTCCAGATAGTTATATAATTACATTCAATCAACCTTGCATAACCTTTTCACTAGGCATTGACAACTGCCTTCTTTTCAATAGAATTTAAGTTTTAGTCATCAACTAAGACAAACCAAATTCAGACTAAAGTTTTTAATCTAAAACTTCCCAATTAGATAACTGATGCCGAGAGTTTAATTTAATTATCGAATGATTATCATAGATCTACCCCTGATAATGCACTTCTTGGCCAAAAGTTTTATTCTACTCGTAAACTAACTAACTGTTCTTATACGATGAATAATCAGGTGAGATGTGGGAGAGATAAATACAGGAATACGATATCGTTTTAGGGGATGAGGGAGGGATGATACTTCTTTTTTATAATTAGCGAATTGAGTTATCAAGAGGATATACTCCATCAACTGCGTAGAACAATTCAGTTAAAGGCAGATTGAAATATGATTCATAATTGTGGATTTACAACAATAAGATTTAGAGACAATTTTTGATTTGTTTTGTTGCATATTTGATTCACGTTTGCCCCTCCTTTATGTAAAATTATGGTGGCTAAAATTTTCTTTATTTGTTTTGTTTGTTGGGATGTTCAATTGATATACGATGATTATTGTTGAGGGGGGGAGGTTAGGAGAGGAAGGGGGTGGAATAGTGGTTTATCTATAGTCTTAGTCTGTCTAAAAATAGACTATTAGTTAGGGAGTAATAATACGTAATTCGTTTCAGGGTTGGGTCGGTTGGTGGAGTGGGAGAGTCAACCCCCCACTTTTGTTAGTGAATTGTGGTTAACAATGATAAATATTTTTTTAAAGTTCTATAATGCCGCACAAGTTTCCCTCACTCATTTTTTATTTTTTTATGTCTGAGCAAATAGAATAAAGAATGTGAAAAAATAAAAAAACCTTTGGCAGACGTAATAATAACGGCCTGATCTGGGTGATGCACATTTACAAACATTAATCTCAGAAGGATCATTCTTTTCTGAGATCCTTTTCTTTTGGCTAAGAATGACGTGATTTAACATAATGTTTACAAAAACCTTAGATAGGAGAGAGAGATGATGGTGGACAAATACGAATAAAATATAGGGGGAATGTTGAATGAATATGAAAAATGAAGATGATGTAGAAGTAAACTTCGTACCAAACAAAAAAAAAGTCTCTTTTCTTTTTTTGCAGTGTTTGTTGCTTAATCAATTATTTTTTAAAGTTTTTTTTTGGTAATTGTCAGACTGAGATTTACACTTGTTTATAGTAAATTGTCTGATTTTATTACACAATAGAAAGATTTTTTCTGTTCATTTCATTTTTTTTTTTCCTTTCCTTCTTCCCTTTTTCTTTCCCTTAATTTTCCCCTTTTTTTTTTTCTTGAACTTTTTCCTACAATTTGTAATTATTAATTTATACATTTAATTACGGACAGACAGATATATATCTTCGTTCAATCAGATTGTTATTTAATCAGACAGACATTAAAGATTCAACTCAACTAGTTTTACAAGTTATTCAAGCCACATTTAAACAGTAAACACCGCCTGTGTTTTTATTACAACCGATACAAAATTAAAAAGGTCACGCATTTTTTTCTTTTTCATTTTAATTGAAAATCATTATATTAAAACCAATCAAACAGACAGTCAGACAAACTATTCAATTAATAGATAATCAATTAATCAAGATGATGAGTACCAGACATAAAGTACAACAACAACAACAAGTAGTGTCTACTAAAGAAGCAGCAGACACTGCAGACACAGGTTCATTATTTTCATTAATAATTAAATGGATTAAATTTATTGTAATATATTTATATAATATTATCCCAAATTTATTATTACCACCACAACCAACAACCACTGTCACAACAACAGACACTAAGACAGACACTAATAAACAACAACAGACAAAGACAAAAAGAAAGAGAAAGAGTGTTATTCAGACACAAGACTTATTTCCATCTATTGAACAGCACGTGATTAGTAATAATGATAAACCACAATCAATAATTAATAAAGATATACCAAAACCAAAAGCATGTAGTACAGGATTAACTACAAGATTATTACCATTTAAGAATGAAAAGGGAGAAATAGAATGGGCATTTACTGATGATACTTCTGTTACACCAGGTAATGAATTAGATGCATTTAAGATTCAACAACAACCAATAAAGGAAGAACCACCAATTGAATTATCACCAACTATTTCTAATACTTCAAATGATTCAACTTTATCACAAAAGATGGAACGTCAAGATACCCTTAAGGATCATCAATCAAGTGTTACCCCTGCTACAACATTATTTAGTCCAGAAGATGAATCCTCTTTAATGTTAGATGAATCAGATGATAAAGATTCAATCTCATCTCAAGATGAAGGATCAGATGGTAACAAAGTTCATCAATGTCCTCATTGTGATGCTACATTTAAGATTAGAGGTTATTTAACTCGTCATTTAAAGAAACATGCTGTTAATAAAGCTTATAGTTGTCCATATCATAAGATCAGTATTTATATTGATGAAAATAATATCACTCATAAATGTCATCCTAATGGTGGGTTTTCACGTCGTGATACTTACAAGACTCATTTAAAATCACGTCATTTTAAATATCCAAAGGGAACAAAGACAAAAGAACGTTCATCATCAGCTGGTGAATGTTCAATGTGTGGTGAACCATTCCCTAATGCTGAAATATGGTGTGAATTACATGTTGAAGGTGGTGAATGTAAATACTTACCAACTGGTTTTAAAGGGAAATCAAGAATTAAAAATAGATTAAGAAAACAATTGGAAAAGAATAAAGAAGTTGATCCTGAATTATTACCTTATGCTTCAAAAGTTTTAGATGAAGTTAATAATAATAACACGGTTATTAGTCGTCCAAATAGTACCAGGAGGAAATCTTCACAAGAAAGTAATAATATGGATACTCCAATATCTTTAACTAGTGGAGCTACTCCATTTGAATCTTCAATTAATTCAACTTCTCCTCCAGGTGGATATACTCCAATCTCATCAACTTCAAGTAAATCACCTGTCCATTATAATACCATGAACGCAAACCCATACGTTACATATCCTCACAAACAACAATTACAACAACAACATATTCATCCACAACCAAGAAGAGAACTACCACCATCATTTGAACAATTCGATATCAGACATTCAACAACAACTAGTAACACAGTTGATCATGAGAATGATTATGATGATGAATTTTGTCTTGATATTGATCAATTGAATAATGCCACGTTTAATAATTTTAATGAAGTTGTTAATTTTGTTAAATTGAATAGTAATAATCAATCTCCAGTTGGTGGGGCCATTCAATTCCTGAATTTCCATCCTGTACATCATCATCATGCTGTTCATCAACAATATCAACATCCTCGTCAATCTCAAGCACAACACCAACAACCTACTCAGGTTATGTATCAGTTTTAATGGTGGTTGACGGTTTATAGAGGATGTGGGATTAATGAATGGTTATGGTTATTATTATTATTATGGGATTTTTAATTGTATTTTTACGGGATTTTACTTACTTGATTGATTGATATTTATGGTTATTTTTGTATTATTTTCATTATTCGAAGAAGGATTCTTCTACTATTATTACTACTACAACTACTACTACTACAATGTGTTTATTATATACTGTTTGTTGTATACTTATACTTTGTTTTGTTTGTTTTATTTAAACCTTATTTATATATTTTTGTTTTTATTGTGAAAAATTGTTATACATTTATTATACGTTAACTTGTATACTTATACACTCTATGAAAAGATATCATCAATTGCACTTGATTTCTTCTTCTTTTTCGTCTTTGTCTTCTTCTTTTGCTTCTTGCTTGTATCTCCAAAGATTGAATCAATACTTGAAGAAGCATCATCTATAGGTTGTGGAGTTGACTTCTGAGAACTCGAAAAGATATCATCAATAGAACCCGTCTCCGTCTTACTGTTCTCCTTACTCTTCTTGCTCTTCTTCTTCTTCGGCCTGCCAAAGATATCATCTATACTCTCTCCGTCCCCGTCCTCACTCCTTCGTTTCTCAGGAATCGCCTGCTCTACTTCCGGCTCATACTTAACTTCCTCCCCAATATCATCATCCCCCTCTTCCTCCTCCCCCTTTCCGCCTTCTTTCATAACTTCTTCTATACTATTATTCATCCCACCAATTGGTTTCACACCGGGTATATCCACCAATAAAGAATATATCCTAGCCAACCCGCCAATCAACGCAAATCCAAGATTGATAAACTGACCCAAGCACAATATCGAATTATACGCCCAATATGCCCCCCTCGTCCGCTTAACCAACCCCTGAGCCAATTTGACAATCTGATCAGATTTGTGAAGTACGCGTTGGCGATATTTGTTGGGATGGGGTTGGAGGCGATGGATGTCGATTTGGAGCTTGAGGATCCGGCGAAGGTGTCGGATGTAGATGTTTAGGTGACAAAACCATTGGGATTGGCGGTGTTGGTTTTTGGACCGGTGGTGGAGGAGGGAAAGGATTTGGAATTCGTTATGAAGGGATTTGTATGTCGTGGAGTTCATCACCATCTTCGTGGACTTTTCTACAGAACTCGTTCTCATATATGGCATGTGAGATAGAGATGGTTGTTGGTTGTTATTTGATTTGGTGGGATTGTGGATTGAGATGAGATCTTGAAAAATATTAATTTTAGTGTGAGATGAGAATTTTTTTTTTTCAATCTACCATCACCATCATCATCAACAACAACAATCTATTACTTCCATAGGAGACACCAACACATTTATAGAACACCCCATAAGAGCAGCAGTATGTCCTCCGAAATAATATCCCAAGCCCGAGCCCTCCTCGAAACATCCCAACCCGACCAAGCCCTCTCCCTCCTCCATCCTCATCTCAATTCCAATCTCGATTCAATCCCATTCTTGACCATATTCGGAGAAACCCTATTAGAAAACAATCAACTCGAACAAGCCTACCAAGTCCTATACAAAGCCTGTGAATTAGACCCACAAGCAGAATCTGGAGCCGAAAAGTTTTTGTATCTTGGTCAGATTATTGGAGGTATGGATGGGGTGGAATCTATAGATATTGGATTGAAGAAGTTGATGTCACAATTGGAAAAAACTAACAACGGAGACGGGGTTGATGATGAGATTTTGAAATTGTATGATGGGGATGTAGACAAGTTGAGACATTGGATAGTGGGAAAACTCAATCTGGGAATTTTTGCTCAGATTGAAATCTGGATGACTGATTTATGTATGTCCCCTGAAGCAGAACAGAAATGTAATGAATTGATTGAATATTCATTATCCCTCGACCCGGGGAATGCCGAGGCATATTCATTACTTTCATCCATCCGTATCTCACAACAACGTCCAGCGGAAGCTATTGATGCCTTGACTAAATCTTGGGAATTATTCCTGAGGAAGAAAATGGAATTAGAAAATTCTGCCAACAAATTGATTGAGAATAAGGAGGATGCATTTGATGTTGGGATGGAATATGTGGAATTAATCCAACCATTGTTGACCTTATCGAGGTTTGCGGTTGAATTGGAGATGTATGATGTTGCGATGGTTATTGCTAGTAGTGTTCAGGATATTAATGAATCGGTATTGGATAGTTATTATATTGAAGCATTGGCGAATTTATTTAAAGCAAAACAATTATTATCAAACCATCACAGTTCTGGTGGTGAAATTAAGGAAGATTATCGAGATATTGATGTTGGAGTGTTGAAGAAATCTGATAATCCCGATATTCAAACTATTTTGAAAGAAGCTAGATCGTCTTTAACTTCAGGATATAAGATAATTAATAGTGATGCCGTAGAAGATTGTGATCCTGGATTGGTTGATCAAGTGAATGAATTATTACAAGCATTAGGTGGACCAATCATGAGTGAATTGTTACCAAAGAGAACCGCTGATGAAGAAGAAGAAGGTTGGGAAGACGAAATCCAATCCGAGGACGAAGACGAACAATAAACATATACTCATTTATATTATATACACATATACACACACATATTATCTATCTATTAATACATTCACTCTTTTAATTAAGTAAATTAATCACATTAGGTACATCAGTAAAGAAATCATTATTAAAGATATCAATTTGCATTGATTCAAAATATTGATCATATTGATCAAACATATCAGAAGTCACCGACCCCGCTACCGAATTAGTAGTCACCGAACCTGAAATATCCTCACTTGTGCCTGGTGGCACCAATGGGGAATTATCTATATTGTTGGTGGTGGTTGTCACAGGTATGGGAACCCCAGTGGGTGGTGGGACAGCCATCACGGGGGAACCCTCACTTCTCACAACATTATTATTCGGCGTATTCACAACCACCCCCAGCAGCGAATCCAGCCTGATCATCTTCCTAACCAGTCCAGCCAGTTTTTCATTATTCTTAGCACTCGTTCTTCTCTTCCTACTACCACTACCGGATTTCTTCTTATTCAATAATTTATTAACAAAATCCCGAGTCAACCTACATATCTCATCCACCACCCAATACGTCGGAGCAAACTTTTCCAATTCCACAAGATAATCTTCAAATTCGAATACATCCTTATATTGTTCATATTCGGGGAAATTATATTTCGTCAAATGTGTCCTGGCCTTTTTCTTGAGTGCCACAGCCATCGAAAGGGACATACACCATGGGATCATGGGGATGTTTGTCACGTATCGATCGTCCATTTGCGAGAGATACCATAACATATTCAGACTTGCTCTGAGCGCTAATGCCTCCGGAATGTGGTTGGGGATGTCGGGGTTGTCATATTTGGCTTTTTGGGATGCGAGGATGACGACGTTGTTTACCATACGGGAGATGAAATGGGTGGCGTCGGTGATGTAATCAGGAAGGGAGTCGGTGGTTTTGCCGATTTTGAATAGTTGTTGATGATGGGAGAAGGAAGTTCGTTCTTGTTCACATAATTCGAATTCTATTCTTTGAAATTCATCAAGATTGAATTTTGAATATCTTCCCATTGAATCATTTGATGGGATATTATTATTATTAAATGGTCTAAATACGGCAAAGAACATACTTTCTAAATTTCTTGCAATTTGTACCATTTTTAATAAGGTGATGTTTTTGTAAGGTAAATCGACATTAAAATCTTCTGATTTTATAAAACATGGTCTTGAATTCACCAATCCATTAAATCTATCAAATATATAACAACACCACCATAGATTAGTTGAATATTCTATAAATTCAGCCAGTTGTTGTAATCGTTTCATATGAATTCCCATTGCCGTGGCAATCCCGATGGAATCCATTAAATCATGGGCACTTTGTTCGTTTCCCAATCGATCATAGCCGAAATGTAACAGTAATAATAAATGAATGACAATACGACTGAATTTATCTTCATCACCTAATTGGGGAAGGATTAATAAGATTTGTCGGATTTTGTATTCTAAATCAGTTAAGAATTTGACTAATTCGATATTATATTGTTCTTGAGTCATGTCATAGATCTGTTCACCCGTTCTTGCTCTTGATCCATTAAGGAATACAGGTTTCAAGATTGGTTCTGCAAGTTTATCCTTGGCGATGACTAATATCATTGAATAAATCATTATATTTTGTGCTTTATTGTTATTATATTCTTCCCAAAATGAATGATCTGAAACTATTGGGAATATTGAATTGATTTTATAGAAATATAAATTTAATAAATTGAATTCATGTTCTTTAGTTAAAGGATATTCAGGACTTGATAATGTAAAAGCATTAATTGATAATAAGAATTGATAAATTCTTTCCGATTTAAGATAAAATTGTTTCTCTAAATCATTACCAAAATGTTTAACTTTATACTTCTTAGATTTATTATTAGTATCAGATTCATCACCATCTTTACCAGTATTAACATAAACCCCAGATTCATGCCAAATTGTTTTATCTTTAGTTTCAGTAGATGACATGACTACTTTTGGATGTCCATGAATTAAATATTGGAAAGTTGAATCCAGATGACTTGAAATATTAAAATTAAAAGAATCATGTAAAAATTGTGGGGTTATTCTAGTCATATCCATTGGTTGATATGGTGGCATTGAACCAATTGATGAGGCGGAACTAAATCTCCGAGCGGGTGTACCTGACATTGCTGAAGTGAATGAAGACGGTGCAGTTGGAGTATTTGGTATTGTTGTATGAATGTTTTCCATACTAAGTGTACTTGATCCTGCAAGTGGTTGTGCTGGTGATTGTTGAGATGATGATGAAGGAGGTGGCATTGGCAGTTGTACTTGTATTTGGTGTTGTACTGGTTGTATCTGCCTGGGTACTTGTTCATCTACCGTTGATTCTTGTGGATTTCCTTTAACTAAAGAACAAGACCATTTATGTTTTCTACAATTTAAACAACCCATTAATTCATAATCAGAAGCAGTAATATCACATTTAGTTCTTTTGACTCGACAATTAGAACAACATTTGAATGTTCTCTTTCTTGTTTTGTAATTAGAATCAAATGCTGGAAATACAAACATCTTATTCTACTTTAACTCTAAGTAACTACAAAGAAAAATCCAACAAATAGTAAATATTTTTCCGTTCTTTTCCTTTGACTTTATATTAATTAATTATTGAATGAACGTAAGTGAGTGGTGATTTAATAATAATAATTTAAATTAATTAATAAAGATTTTTGTGTTTTAAGGTTTAATTTCTATTTCGGTTTTACGGGACAAACAAACTTAATCCGATTAATAAGAACAATAAATCAAAGCCCATTACTAAAGGGTAACTAACTACAAGAGAGAAGCCTTAAAAATATTTCAAATCATTCAATCAGCCAACTGAAGTAACAACATCAACGAAGAACAAGAACAACGAAGAACAACAGCAAGAACAACGAAGAAAGAGGAGGTGGGGTATTATAGAAAAATAAATTAACTATCAAAATATTTAAGCCTTACAACATAATTGTATTGTATGATGATGAACAACGTAACGACACCATTTTGTTGGGTAAGAAATAAAACAGTCAAGTGGGACAGCAAATGAAATACGGGCAACTGTTCTTTCATTGTGTATAGCCATTTCATCCGGAAAATAATCACCGTATTCATATCATCATCACCACATTCATTCCCCAACTCATCTCTCGAGTACCTCGTGGAAAGACTTCCTAATTAGGAAGTACTAATTTCTCGCGAATAATTTTTTTATTTTTTTATTTTTCTTCTTCCCACAAAATCTCCAATAATAATTAATCTCCCCCAAGAAGAATGTAAATGTAAATTAATTTATGTTTCAGTTGCGGTTGCGGCTAATAGAAACTTCTACCCCAGACTTCTAATAATAGGCTTATTTTACACTTTATATTTATACATTTGTATCGAGTTATGAAATGTCCATTCTTTGCATGTGATAATATACAATGAGTAAGTCAATTTCCTCGGGCGTTACTTCTAGAAGCACCAAAATTTGTTGGATTTTTAAATAACAATGTACTTTCATTCTTTTTGGATAAATTATTATTATTGTTTCAATTTAAAACCCACGTCAAGTTGAATTGTGTCTTGGCAAATAAGAAGAGGGGATGGATGGTATCACCGGTCGTCGACTAACAGGGATGATTTTATTTTTAATTTCTTTATTCTAAGCTTCATTCTTGAATTCACTCGATTGTCTTTAACAACAAACTAAATCGTTTCTTTTCGGGAAATTAAAATTATTCCGAAATGGTAATACAAACAGCTTACAAATTCTAATTGGATACCACTACTTATGAATACGAAGAATTGATAAGCTAGGGCTCTATCGGTGATATTCGTTCTTATTTCCTTGTATAATTGCCTGATATTACAAATATCGCGTAAGGCACATATTCAACATCTAATCAATTTACACTCTTGCTTCGATTTTTCTTTTTAATAAGCCATTACTAATGGGGTTATATCTCCGCCGTTAAACCCTTATCAAGGCCGTTATCCATCCACGGAAGGATATCCAATTCCGGAATCTATGGGTGTGTCATATCTAACTTCAACTCGTATAGATCTACGCACAATCCATCGTTTGGCACTCACTTCATTCATTTGCTTCGTATCAAACGTGAGTAAGAAAAGCTGGGAAATACTTTCATCTCAGAAATTCCCATAAAACAAATAATCATATCAATCGGGCTTTGGATTCTCCCCACACTTATCAATACAATGTATGTGTGTGTTATGTATAATCTAATAATCTAATAATCCGATTGACACATTAACGTCCCACCCCCCTGTCAATTAATTATTATTATTCCAGCATTATTGTTTTTTATTTTTCAATTTTTTGAGGCCGCGTGCTTTTTATCAATTTGCAGCCACTTCTTTCTTTATTCGGAAGAAATCCAGACTTATTGTTTATTTCTTCCTTATACAATCATTTAAATAATAAATGGACTGATTTTCATGCGTTTAGATGGAAATGAATGGAACAAAGTGTTATTGTTGATATTATCCAGTAAGAATGACCTTGACGGTTGATTAAATTCTCCGTCAAAATCTTAACTTTTACTAAATCCAACCTCTCTTCATATCGTTACCCGGCCATCCCCATCTCAGTCTTTCTACACACAAAAAAGAAAATCATAAACGCCAAAAATATTACAGCATCTCCATACAACATCGAATATCAACAATGACAACAAATCATAGACCAACATTAGAAGCAAAACGAGGTAAATCTATCCAAATACGTGATTCAATCGTTCATTCACGTGCACTACCCCAACAAACTTCGTTGAAATATCGACAAGATATTCCGGGAAAGAGATATCATGATGCTGTGAAGGAGTTGAAGTTGGAACTAGCCCAACGGGAGCTGGATGAGGAGGATGAGCCCGGGAGGAAGAGAAGTAGGATAGTTCCTGGTGAGAATAATGAAGATGATGTAGGTCAGAAAGAAAGACGTCTTGATGAACAAGATCAGCTGCTGGAAGAAAGTGAACAAGATAGTAATGATGAGGGGGAGGAGGATGACGACGACGATGATGAGACAGCGTTACTTCTTGCCGAAATTGAAAAAATACGACAAGAACGAAAACAAGAAGAAGAATCGAAAAAACAGGAAAAAGCACTTTCATCAAATCCGATATTAAATCTATCTAAAAATCCAACCAATAATCCTGAGAAGAAGAAAAGTTGGAGACTGCTGACTACATTTAGTAATAATAAGAATAAAAAGAAGGGTGATGAGAAGAAAGAAAAATATACTAGTGATACGTTGAATTCGGAATATCATCAGAAATTCTTATCGAAATATGTAAAGTAGAGATAGACTCAAATAGATTTGAATACATGGTTAGATATATGATGAGCTAGAAAGAACTGCAGGGTTCCTCAAATGATATAATAATCAACTGCGACTAGCCGTAATAATTAGAAGACTATACGTTTCTTCTAAGTGGGACCCGAGATATTTGGAAGTTCATCTGTATTGGACGCATTTTTGCAGCCATTCAAATAACGAGTAATTAACAAATTCTTGTAATAAATTTATTTTATATACTAATATACATATATCTTTCCTAATAGATAAATAATAATCTAACAAATATAAATAAGCACAATATCTAAATAAAACCTAATAATAATAATAATAGCAAAACAATCCAATAAAAATCTAAAAAAAAACCTACAATACACCACCACTCTCTAAGTCAAATCAACAACCTCACCATGATTAATCCTAGCACTAAGATGTTCAATATCTTCCTTCAAACTAGCCTCCTCAACCGTCTTCACTAACTCCTTAGTACATTTCGCAATATCAAACGAAATCCCCGCTAATCGTTGTTTGAAATTCTTATCAGCAAACCCCAGGTCCAATTTCTCTTGAGTGGGTTTACACAAATTATCCATCCTATGATAACAATCCTCCAATGATCGAACCACCCATGATCCATGTTCTTTAAGCTGGGCATTCCGGGTTTGATTCATGGATGTATTGGTAGCTTCAGTCATTTGTGAAATCACAATTGTAATCGCGGCCGATTTTTCCCTTAATTCCCCCCTGGTGGCATTTGGTTTCTTGATGGCGGAAAGGAGGGATTGGATCGTGTTGATGACTTCAACGGTTTGATGTTCCAAATAGAGGAGAACTTGGGTTAAGGTATTATCTGGATCATCTATATCGAATAAATCAACATTGAAAGTGGCTGCTGCCATTGATTTTCGATATTCTTGACGTTGTCTAGCTTGTTTTTGATAGGTGTTTTCTTCTGGTTCTTGTTCATCTTCGGAATATTCTTCTGATTCGGATTCATGATGATGGGGTGGGTCTTGGATTGTGACTCGGGGCTTTTGGAGTTGAATGGTTTCTTGTGAAACGGTAGGTTGTGGAATTGGTGAGGTTGGAGTAATGGTAGTTTCTTTATCCTTAAGTAAATCAGACCCTATAGCTGATGGTTCTTCATTTGATGGAGTAGTTTCAGCTGTGGAATTACTTAATCTCTTATCATCATGTCCTTCAGTATCATCAGCACTATCAAATGAAGTAGAATTATTATCTAAATTCTTAGAATCTTCAAGTTTTTCCCTTAAAGTTTTAAACCCAACAACTTTTTTTGGTTCATTCTCTCTAACATTAAATGGTTCAGATAATCCTCCTCCTCCATTTTGTTGTTGTTTTTCTTGACTGCTGCCACTCTCAATAGAATCAATAGAAACATTCTTAACATGTTGTTGTTGTTGTTGTGGCTGTTGGCCACCACCGGTAATTGGAGAAGTTACTTTGACTTTCAGATCAGGACTGGCCTCAAACTGTCTGACCTTATCAAGAATATTACTCTTTTTGGAAATTGGACTCGTTTTAGGAGTCCGGTCATTATTTGATCCATTCGGAATATTATATTTCTGGGCAATTTGAAAAACACCTCTGTTATTAGTTGGTGAGTTTCCATTCAATTTAAGTGCTGTAGGGGAGGTAGAACGACGTGATTCGAATTTTGAAGTTAATTGATTGATATTACGACCGACGGTTGGACTCACTTTGGTATCTTTTGGAGAATGCTCTGCTTTCTGTTGTTCAGGTGATGATTCCACTGGAGGTTTTCTGCCAAATCTGGTTGGGATTGTTGGTTCATTTGAAGTTTCAATAAATGGCGAGTTTTCAACTTCAGATTTTGGTGAAGTCAACGGAGGCTGTTGTTGTGATTGTGATTGTGATTGTGGTGATTGTTCTGGTTGTTGTTCTTCTTGTGGTCTTGGTTGGGATGGTTGTCGGGTTAAAGTAGATCTTGGTGAGATTCTCGCAAAAGAAATCCCTTGTTTCGGTGATGATGACGGATGTGATGATGACTGTTGTTGATTTTGTTGATTAACTTTCAATTTATTTGCCATTCGTAATGGTCTAACTCCAAAATCTTCACTCACTAATTTCTTAGGTACTTTATTTTCAATTGGTGTATTATATGATTCAATCATTCTAAGATTAGTTGAATTTTCATTTAATTTACAATTACTTATTAAATCACACATAATAAAACATAATTCTCCAATAGCCTTTTCAATAACAAATTTAGGTAATAAATTCTTATAAACTGCATGATATCTAGTTGCAGTTAAGACATGACTAATTGATTCTCTTAATAAAACTGAATTTTCATTACTATTAAATTGATGATTATCACCTTGGGTTGCAATTTCATTAACAATCACGGAAATCTTGGAAATTTTTTCAAATAAAATATCAGGATCAAAATTATCTTGTGAAAGATATACCAAGAAAGATTCTAATGAAGCTTGAACATCACTAACTAATCTTATTGAAATTAAACCTTGTGGAGAAACAAATTTATTTAAATCTGTGGTTGATAAGGAAGCCTTCTTAATTGATTTTGCAATTCCACTTGATCTTGAATCTTCGTATCTTCTTTGCCATAATTTAACTTGATTTCTTAATTCAACAATTGTTGGAGGTGGGATAGATTTGGTAGGTGTACTATCTAATTGATCTAATTTATCCAAGAATGTTTCAATACTTTTTTGTATTGCTTTTGGCTTGCCGGTTAACAGTTTTGAAGGGGAAGTTACATTAATCTTTGGTTCATTCTTCAAGGTTTCATTCTCTAATTTCAATTCTTCATTAAGTGATTTCAATTGTTGTAATTCATTTTCAATTTCATTAGTTCTTTCAATTGAATCATTTTGTTTATTTATCCAAGAATCTTTTTCTTCTAATAAATTTTCAAGTTGTTCAGCAAGTGATTTATTTTGATTAACAGAAAATTGCAATTCAGTTTGAATAGATTCAAATTTTTCTTGTAATTTAGTAGTTTCAAATTTAGATTCTTTTAATTGTTGTTGAAGTTCACTAACCAAAGATTCTAATCGACTTACTTCTTCGTTTTCAGGCTGTAAAGTAGGGAACAGTAGTCTAACTTTTCTAGGTTCATCATCTTCCACGTGTTGTTCTTGAATTTGCTTTTCCTGTTGTTGCTGTTGCTTTTCCTCATCTTCATCACTTGACCAATCGAGATTAGCCTTTTTAGGTATGATTGTAGCTTGTTGAACGCCAATTGAATGGCCAGTATGATTTATGGAATCACTATCAATTGTATTATTATTATTGGTTGTTGGAATTTGTGATATAGTTGAGTCATCACCAGCGGTAGTACCACTATCCCCACCCCCATTTTGTAAATATTGTGGATGAGAATCTTGAGTAAGTCGAGAAGGTTGACGACTATGATAACCACCACCACCACCATTATTACTTGATTTATCACTTGTTGAAGAAGTTAAAATAGAAGAAGCATTTGTTGACATTGAAATAGTTGAATCTTTCCTTGCTTTTGAAATATGTAATTCTCTTCTTTCAATTTCAAATGAGATATCACTTACAAGATCTTTAAATCTTGATTGAGGTAAAGAAGCCAATTTTTGTCTTGCTTGATTCCTTTTTGGATGAAAGGTCTTTTTAGGTAATAAATAATCAGGTTCACCTCTTGATTCGTCTATTCTTCTTCTTAATTCATCATATACATCAGTACTTAATTCTTTGAATTGTGTGAATGATAATTTTAATAACTTTTCTCTTGCTCTTTGAGCTCTTGATGAATTTGATTTAGCTTTAGTAGGATCATCCGATATATCAAGAAATTGTTTTAAAACTTTATAATAATGGACTAAATCTCGTTCACCACCACCACTGCTACCATTACTAGTATTGTTACTCATTGTATGTGTAGGATATATATGTGTAAGGAATGGGAATATTGTTGTTGTAGTAAGTCAATATAGAAAGTAAGTTGTGTTAGTAAAAAATGGTTTACAAAAAAAGTAAATTTGGTTGTAAAAAAAAAGACGAACAATTTACGTTGAAACCAAATTAAATCAAATAAAAAATTTAATTTGTAGTCGTGTACTTTTGAGAATATCTTATTCAACCATACAACTCACCAAGAAGAAGTAACTACAAAGACAAAGAAGGAGAGAAAGGAGCTTAGAACGGAGGATAGAAACAAAGAGGTTGGAACCGTTTTATGACACAATAAACAAAAGCAACAAGATGATTTTTAAATTAAACTTCTCCTTAACGTAATTTTATTTGATATTTTGAAAATACCGTGAATATGTACAATGGGAGATCACAATAACTTCAAGAAGAGCTACTATAAAATATCATTCGTATTTGGCGTATACGATTCAAGCCTCATATATTTCATTGGAATCTATTGTTGTTGTTACTGATATTTTTCTCTTTATAGAAGGAGGGGGGGTTGGGAAAGGGGTTGAATTATTGAGGGTAGTATTAACAGATTGTGTAAGTAACGTGACGCGTCAAATTTTAAAAAAATTAAGAAATTAAAACACAAAAGAAGAAAATTGCGGATAAATTAAAATTTCGTGTTTTTATAACCAAAGCTTATTTTTGACAGTTTATTTATCGGGCTAAGCATCTGGTACAACATCTATCTCTATCTCTCTCTATATATATATATATATATTGTATATGGATGTACAATCGACGTTATCGTGTCGGCTTCTTCTCTCGTGTACTTTCACAGTACCCTTAGGCAAATCTGAAACACAGCCATAGAATGTTGACTTGACAATTAACTTTAAGGGGTTACCTCTTTTCATATTTGCTGCAAAAATCTATAATTTAACCCAAATAATTTCTCCCAAAGTAGAGCTACTGGGGGATCTTACATTCTTATACTTAGCCATTTCTTTATCTGGAGAAATAGAGATAGCAGTCTACTCTTGTGTTCTTCTGTGGCTTCTCAGGTCTTGTGCTCGATGGGACGCGTCTACTGTTGCCAATTCCAGTTATTTGCAACCAACTCCGTAGTGATCAGGGCAACAAAATTCTTGGATCCACGCTAGAAAGTAATTTCAATGTATCATTGTACTTGGAAGAAGAAAACCCTGTGTGTTCTCTCTGTGTCCTAGAGGGCCGCTTGTTTCATTTATTTAATTCATTGATTACATTGGACAACCCTTCAAACGAGTTATATTTGGAGAGATAGATTCTTCGCTGCAAGTAAAGCACATTAATTTCGGTTAGATTACGTTGTTAACAATTAAACAAGGGTTTATTCGCCGGCTTTTACTGCAGTTTTAACTTTCATTACAAAAGAAGTGCTATCATTGTTGACATACATTTGTTGAACAATAATAATGAGATTTTTTTGCAACCAATTTTGAACAAGTTTGCCAAATTTATTTATACATTCGATACTGTTTGGAACTTCAGCAGCCAATTTATTCAAATCATATTTTATATTCTTCACCAAACTCTTGTTACTTTTCTTCTTTATGTAGATGTAAAGTTTCTTCAAAATTTTAGACATAGATTGATTAACACTAATATTAATTTGCCTGCATTTTATGTTAAAATTTAGCATTTACTCTGCCACACTTTTACGTTTCGTTAGTCGGATCGCCCATTGGCTGATCTTCAATTGAAATAATTAGAGTTAGCTGCAAAATAAAGCCACGATCTTAACGGAAGCTTGCAGCCGTACATACAAAACACTTGCTTTGCCATTATATATATGACTTATATTCCTTTGATATTAATATAGAGACATATCTAACGATGGATATATATACAAAATAAGGATATAAATAAAAGGGATAAATGTCGAATTGGGTCTGTATCTACCATTAAATCTATCCTTTACAAACCAAACTGACCCCCCCTTCTATTAAACCCCCATTATCGTCTATGTACAATATATTAAACCTCTCCACAACTTTTTTATCTTATTCAACAGCCCATACCTCCCCATGGGAATGCTCTATCTTATGTGTTATCTCAATCAAATGTTTCATATTGCTTTTGAACATAACATCCAGACTTTTCAAGACTACGAGCCATTTTTTCATGAATGAATTCTTCAGCAATTTGTTTCCCATAAACAAAATCTATAGCCCCAACAATTGAATTCACAATCATTGCCGAAACTCTCATTTCTCCACTTGATTCAAATCCTAATTGTGTTGAAGAACATTTCCAACGTAATCCTTCATTTAATTTTTCATGTTTGGCAAAATATCCCAAACTTCTTGGATTAGTTAATGCAGTATGATAAGGTGTACTTAAAATATCCAAATTCATACCATTTATCGCTAATTCATCATTCTTATGGGGTCTTTGAATTGCATGTTTGGCAAAATATAATTTCATTAAATGTGACCCTAAAATTTGTAATTTTTCATGATGTGGTTTTAATCCATCAAATGATTTATGAGTCATGACTTGAAGGGCTAATTCATCGGGTATAGCATATTTCTCACCTAAGAATTCTTTCACTCTAGCAATAGTCTTTTGTTGTTCAGTTAATGCCGATTGTTTATCTTCAACTGGTTCGGTCTTTGGTGGTGTACGTATATAAATTGATCTTATAGAAGTATAATTAACACTTCTAGACCAAGTTTGACGGGTGACTGATCTGGTGGTGTTGTTAACTAATTGTCGGATACTCATTATTATGACTTATGTTTATATGTTTTCTACCTCCAAAAAGTGTCAACTATCTTCGTTAAGTCTTATGACCTTTATTGATGGGGAGAATGGAATACCAAAAAAAAATTTTCAATTGAAAATTAAAAGAGAAAAATTTGTATTACGTAATATTTTTAATATTATTATGTAATCATGATTTCCTTGCGGCTCTGCTGCTTGAAAAAAAATTATTGAGAAGAGCATCTCAAGTTGATCACACCTTGATTGATTGTAAACCAACGAAGTAAACCTAAAAATGGATATATTTAGAATTTTAAGTAGAGGTGCTAGTCTCAATAAGAAGAAGGGTATCACTACCGATTATGCATTACCTTCATCTACTCAAAAATCAGCACAAAAACATAAAGAAGAAACATTACATCATCAAGTAGAAAAGGAAACTGATTTCTTTCATACCAGAAAGAAACATACTGAAAATACTCAAGACAATAAAGAAGACAACGCCGAAGATAAAGAAAACGAAGAAGAGGAAATCCCACCATTAGAATTAGTGACTGAAGAAGATGCTCATAAATTTAGAAAATTACATAAATCAAAAGTTACCGGGGATGATATTCCAATTCCAATTGGATCATTTCAAGATTTAATTGGAAGATTTCAAATTGATAAGAAATTATTATCAAATTTAATAGAAGCTGAATTTATAGAACCAACATCTATTCAATGTGAATCTATACCTATCACATTAAACAATCGAGATTTAATTGCTTGTGCTCCAACTGGGTCCGGTAAAACATTAGCATTTTTAATTCCATTAGTTCAACAAATCTTACAATCTAAACCTCTGGGTACTAAAAACTATGGAATTAGAGGATTAATTATATCACCAACTAATGAATTAGCAATCCAAATATTCCAAACTTTAGAAACCTTAGTTCGTGGTAAGAAATTAAACATCGCAATACTATCAAAACAACTTGCGAATAAACTCAACAACAAAATCATCAAATCGGATAAATATGACATCCTAGTCACAACCCCATTACGTCTTATTGATATTGTCAAACAGGGGAATATCAATCTTTCAAAAATCGAACAATTAATCATCGATGAAGCCGATAAATTATTCGATCATGGATTCGTTGAACAAACTGATGAAATATTGACACATTGTACATTACCCACCATCCGGAAATCGATGTTTTCAGCCACTATTCCATCAGGAGTTGAAGAATTGGCTCATTCGATAATGAAGGACCCAATTAGGGTGATTATTGGCCATAAAGAAGCCGCCTCAACTACAATTGATCAAAAATTGGTTTTCACGGGGAATGAACAAGGGAAATTATTGGCGATTAGACAAATGATCCAACAGGGGGAATTCAAACCTCCGATTATTATCTTTTTACAATCGATTACTAGAGCCAAAGCATTATTTCATGAATTATTATATGATAAATTAAATGTAGATGTTATTCATGCTGAAAGAACCCCAAAACAAAGAGAAGAAGTGATTAAGAGGTTTAAGAATGGGGATATTTGGGTATTGATAACTACTGATGTTTTAGCCCGTGGGGTTGATTTCAAAGGGGTGAATTTGGTAATAAATTATGATGTTCCTCAAAGTGCTCAAGCATATGTTCATAGAATTGGTAGAACTGGTAGAGGGGGGAAATCAGGTAGAGCGGTTACGTTTTTCACTAAAGAGGATGATCAATTGATTAAGCCGATTATTAATGTTATGAAACAATCAGATTGTCATGATGGATATAGTGGATGGATGGAAAATATGGCAAAATTATCCAAGAATGAAAAGAAGAATATCAAACATCATGAAATGGAAAGAAAGAAGATTAGTACCGTTCCAAAGGTTGTTAAACAAAAGAGAAAACAAAGACAAGATATGATTGAAGCTTCCAAGAAAAGGAAACAAATGGAGACGCAACAACAAGAATAGTAATGTATAAGGTGTATATTGAAATAATATAGTAGAAATAAATAAAAAACTTTGAACCTCTAAATGTAAATGTGAATTGCAAACTAAAGTGGGTCCCAACCTTTTAAACTAGTTTGGTATTTATATATATATAGATTCACACACATCATATGTAATACAATCACATCCCTCTTCGATATATTATACAGACGATATTAATGCTTTTGAAAATTCTCTCTCAAATTCTCCCACTCATCTTCATCTTTCATCCCACTCTCTAATGGTGATGTTCACCAAAAGATGGATATCCAACAATTTGTCTTCTACCAATCATTTCACCAACTGAAAAGAAAGCAGCTAATTGAATACCATAAATAGAAGCCTTAGCAGCACATTGAGCACTTGGTTTAAATTCAGAAACTTGTTGTAAGAATTTCTTTTGTTGTTCTGGAGATTTAATGAATTTTAAAGCTTGTTGATAAACAGTTTCAAATTGTTTACCTGATGGTGGAGCTAATCCTTCTGTCTTGTAGACTTGTTTTCCTAATTCGGCACCGACTTTACTCCAATAAATACCACAATTTACAACTTCGGTTGATTTGGTGATGAGTCCGTTGACTAAACCGGTGGCTTTACTGATAATAGCTGACATGGTGTGTTTTCTCTATTTACTTGTTGGTTAAGAAAGGGTTTAAAGAGTTTTCCTGTAAAGAGTGAAAATTTTTGATTCCTATTTCCTCCGTTTGGATTTTTTCATTTTTTTCGCTTTCGGCTTTGGACCAATAAAATTTCCTACAAACTTAGACTTCCTAATTAGGAAGTATGTATCACTTTACTCGTTCATATGTATATCCATCAACTATACAAACACTATAACTATTAATTCACCTACAAAGAAACACCAAATCTATCTGGCCAAATAACTGGAGCTACTAAACTCCATCCATATAAAACAAAACATACCCATGCACTTATAATCTTTACCCAACTAGCAAAATATGTTCTACCTACTGGAATAAAATCACCTAAATCATCTTGTTTAACATTAATAGTTAATAAAGTTGCAACATATTGAGTTGCTAAAAAGAAAATAATATGAAATAATGAATAATTATATTGAACTGATCTTCTTTCTTCATCACCACCAGTACCACCACCACCATTACCTAAATCATCTTCATAGAGATCTAATTGATTCAAAGCACTTTCAGGTAACAGTCCTTCATCTACTGCTTGTTTAATAGCTTGATATCTCATTTCATTTCTTCTTGTTGGTTCCGAGGTGGTGCCGGTGGTTGAACCCATAAGTTCTTCAGGAGCAGATTCTGAACTAAAAGCGGAATTGGCTGCTGCACGGGTGGTTGTATATGCCACAGCAATGAATGTAAACATAGCACCTAAAATCACACTCACGGTTCTCGTACCTCTAGATCTAACCAATGGGTTACAATATTTATCATCTGGTTCGGATGCAACTGCACTCATGACAAGATAGGTACAATATAACACCACCATTGACGATTGTGCTAACCCGGCATGAGGATTATGTTCTTGAATTGTATTGTTAACCGACATGGCGGATATAATGATTGAAAATATCAAATTTAAGGTAATTGCTGTTTTATTCATATTACATCCATTACCGGCGAAAAAGACATACATGATAATAGTCAAGACAAGACTTGAAATATACATGATTAATGTCCCCCCAACTAATAATTTCTTCCAAAATCCGGCATCACCTTCTCCTGTCAATTCTTCCATTTCGATTTTTTCCAAACAAGTTTCAGCCCATGCATGAGCGAAATCAACTAATAATATCAATCCAATCCCAAGGAAAATAGTAGAAAATATGATGGCAATATGATTTCCATAAAATACAAAGAAATTATCAGGAATAAGTACAAAATTCACAAATATTAACCCTAACCAGACAAATATCTTTGTTCTCCAATATCCATTCTGAAGTGCTGCTCGGGGATTAGCGGTAGATTTAACATTTATTAATAATCCGGCTAATAATAAATGTAACATTCCCAAGGCAAAATTTATTCGATAAACTGATGAAAAACTAATACATTGATTCCCATCAGGTCCACATTTATTATTAATGAATCCAAATGTTGCTTTCTCGATTTTGTGGATTATGAATGGTGATAATGCTATCCATGATAATAATGAATTAATTAATAATATGAAGGCATAAGTGATTCTGGTCATGATTGATGAATTGAATGTTCCTCCAATCAGGGAACATATGGCTGAACAGGCGGCTGCTCCACAACAGGACGCTAATGATGTTATTGGCATCAAAGGTAATGATACTACTGCTCCCATATTGTTTGTTAGTTACTTATTGGTATCTATACGGATATTGTGGATCTTTCTGTTTAAATCAATCAAGTGAGATTTTAATTGATTAAGATTTTGTGGGTCATGAAACTTAAAAAAATGTGAGATTTCATAAATTAATGAGATTTTATTTTTTCTGCTGAGAACAACAACCACAGACTCACAGCTCTTCTCATCATCATCTTTATCTTTCTGCCATTGAACAGACTTAAGAAGAGATCTTGTAGTTAATAGAGATAGAGACTAACATGTCATTCAGAAAGAGAGGTGACGTAATTGGAGGTGCTCCAACCGCAAATAGACCTTCCCCTGGTAGTACAATTCCAGGTAGATCTCCAGGCCCAATGGTCCCAGGTAGATCTCCTGTCCCTGCTCCCATCCCAGGTAGATCCATTGGAGTAGTTCCAGGTAGAGCACCCGGTTCAATTCCATCATCTGTTGCAGGTAGATTACAAACCAGAGGATCACAAACTCCAGAAGTTGAAGAAACTAACGAACAAGAAATCACAAATCTACTTTTGAAAAATCCGGGAATTAGACCATCACTCATCTCATCTCAACCTACTACTTCCACAGGCACGGCGGATTTAGATAAACGATTGTTACATCAGGGATTACCCATTGGACATTCATTATTGGTTGAAGAGTCGGGTACTACTGATTTCTCTAGTGTTTTATTACGAGCATTTGCATCTCAGGGGATCGTGCATAATCGAGTTTCCGATAGTGGTGGTGGTGTTGCACATGTGATTGTGATTGGGATGTCTCCACAATGGTCAAATGAACTTCCTGGATTATATAAGGGGTCATCAAAGGAACAGAAGAAGAAAAAGATTCTTGAAAATGAATCAAAAGTGAGTGTTTCTAATTTATCTAATGCTCCAACTACTGGTAGAATTGATCCAAGTTTGAAGATTGCTTGGAGATATGGTCTTAATAAAAAGCCGGATTCAAGCGAATCAGTGGAAGGCACTGGTGGAAGTTCCACAGCTTATGAGAATTATAATCATCAATTTGATATAACTACAAAATTAACCCCCGGGCCAAATCCTCAAGATATTTCATATGTCCCCATTGGAATAAGTTTCAATAAGATAATTATTCAAATCACATCCATAATCAAAACCCAAATCAAATCAAATCCCGCTAAAGTTATAAGAATAGTCATACCTGGACTCTTAAACCCATCACTCTATCACCCCACTACAACATCTTCAACCTTCATATTCCCCTTCATCCATTCCTTAAGAGCATTATTACGTCAATATCATAATAATTTAGTATTAATGTGTTCAATTCCACTTGATTTATATCCTCGTGAAACTAATTTACTTGGATTTTTGGAAACTCTTTTTGATTCAGTTATTCATCTACAACCATTCAATCAAGAAATGACACAATTGTTAGAAAGAGCTTATAAGAATGAACCATCCAAAGTACAACAAGGATTAGTCAATATTATTAAATTACCAATCTTGTCTGAAAAGGGATTAATGATGATTCATGATGGTGAATATGCGTTTAAGAATGGGAGAAAGAAGTTTGAGATTGAAGAATGGGGGATTCCGGTTGAAGATGATGATGGTAATAAGGATGAGAATTCGACTCCTGAAGGAGGGAAAACTACCAAGAATATTGATTTTTAATAATAAATAATACATAGTGTTTAGTCTATTTATAGATTGTTTGTACTGAATCGTCAATTAATTGTTGTACTCGTTCAACATCGTGTCGCAATGTGATATTGTCTTTATCTAACTTATCATAAATCTTCTCTTGCATTGTTTGAATCGTAACCAACTTTTCATGAATAGATTGAATTGATTTCTCAATATTACTCAATCTCATCTCTATGCCACCTGCACTACTAGCTTCTTCTATATCAAATGAAACTGATTTGGTAGTCTTTTTAATTGGACTGGTTTGAGGAGTTAGTTTCCTTCGTTTGGCAAATTCTTGTTCCATTTCACTTATTCTTTGTCGTCTTAATGGAGATCCACTTATTTTGATTGGTGATACATGATCAATTGTTAGAGGGAGTGATAAATCTGTTGAAAGTGGTTGTGATGATATTTTTATTGGTGATAATCTTCTTCTTGTTGTTTCTTTAATTGGTGAACTCATAATTGATTACTGTTACTCCCATTCTCTACTTTTCCCACTGTCTACTCTCTGTTTATTTATCTTTTGCTGTTTGTGAGTTAATTAGAGCGCAATTGGGAGATTTGATTTGATGCGCGTATTCTTTTTTCTTTCTCTTTCTCTTTCACTTACTGAAATAATGAGGGAGAGAGAAAGAGAGAGAAATGAAAATGAAAATGAAAAAATGGTTGCAAAAAAAACTGCCATTCAATCAACAACAAACAGACAACAGACAACAAGAAAGAATAAGTTTAAGTTACAAAGAATGAATTCAGAAGAAGTTCAATCAATTGATTTATTACAAGACTTTGGTATTAATGCTGGTGATATCAATAAATTAAAATCAGCAGGTATATTCTCAATTGCCGTACGTATCTCTCTCTTTCTCATCTTGTTACTATCCATCAACACTAACAATACTAACTCTCTTAGTCTGTATTATCAACTACAAGAAGAAATATGATCAAGATTAAAGGATTAAGTGAAGTGAAAGTAGATAAGATAAAAGAATCCGCTTCTAAATTGAAGGTATGTCTCCTACCCATCTTCCTCTGTTTGATTTGACCATACTAACGCCCTCTTTTCAAGACAGTTGGGTTTGTTTCTGCTACTATTGTTGCTGAACTCAGAACTAAAACATTCAACCTCAGTACCGGTTCAAAACAATTCGATGAAATCTTAGGAGGTGGTATCCAATCAATGAGTCTTACTGAAGTATTTGGAGAATTCCGTTGTGGTAAAACCCAATTATGTCATACTCTCTGTGTAACCGCCCAATTACCTCGTGAAATGGGTGGTGGTGAAGGTAGAGTAGCATATATTGACACCGAGGGGACTTTCCGACCAGAACGTATCAAATCAATTGCTGAACGATTTGGAGTTGATCCTGAAGCTTGTTTAGATAACATTTCTTATGCTAGAGCATTAAATAGTGAACATCAAATTGAACTTGTTGAACAATTAGGTAATCAATTAAGTGATGGTTGTTTTAGATTATTGATTGTTGATTCAATAATGGCATGTTTTAGAGTTGATTATTCTGGAAGAGGTGAATTAAATGAACGTCAACAGAAATTAAATCAACATTTATCAGGATTGACTAGAATTGCTGAAGATTATAATATTGCTGTTTTTTTAACTAATCAAGTTCAATCTGATCCAGGTGCAAGTTCTTTATTTGCTGCCGCTGATGGTAGAAAACCAGTTGGTGGACATGTATTGGCACATGCATCGGCTACTCGTATTTTACTTAGAAAAGGAAGAGGTGAAGAGAGAGTGGCTAAGTTACAAGATAGTCCTAATATGCCAGAAAGAGAATGTGTCTATGTAATTGGTGAAGGTGGGATTAAAGATAGTGAATGATTGTTTACACAAAATTAAGCAAAATTTTAATTAATCCCAATTAGGAAATCATATTGCAAAAACAAATACGAAAAAAAAAAATCTCGACGCGTTTCTACTTTTTCCAATTTGATTTTCACGTCAACACCTTTTCAGAGAGAAAGATTTCAATTTTTTTATTTCATCTGTTTTTCTTTTCTGCTTTCTTTCTTCACAAACCCATCGCTAGTGATTATAAATATATATACTGAATGTCATCATCACCTCCACATCATAGTAATCCAACAGGAGATCAATCCTCTCTTCCAAGAGATTCCGAATCTCTTTCCCAATCTCAACAACCAATAGTCCCATCCTCCCCATTATTCTTCGCTTCCTCAAACCCACCATCCGACGCTTCCATTTCCCAAACAAGAAGAACTGGTAATACTGCTGGTGCCGCTGATATTTCCTCGCCATTACATTATACTTCCTCAATTCATCATACTTCTGATATTTTTGATAATTCACAACGGTCAAATAGATTAACTTCTGACGTGGATAGGATTGTTCGTCGTCATCAAAGAAGTGATATTCTCGATGGTGGGAATTCATCATCTCCAATGCGTAGAAGAATGTTTACCCAAGGAGGTCCAAGTTCATCCCTTGGAAGAGGTGGACCTGGAAGTGATAATTTATCTTCACAGATTATTGAGGATGATGAACCCGTTAGAGTCATTTGGGGGACCAATGTTCTGATTCAAGAATGTTCAAATGCATTCCGGGATTTTTTATTATCATTTAAATATGAATATCGAAAAAATTATGATCGAGAATTGGTTGAACCTGAAGATAGACAATTATATTATGTTGAACAATTGAATAATATTAGAGAAATGGGTATAACTAATTTAAACCTTGATGCCAGAAATTTATTAGCCTATCCTCCAACTAATAAATTATTTTATCAATTAGTTAATTATCCACAAGAAATTATCCCAATTATGGATCATACCATCAAAGATTGCATGATTCAAATCGTCACCGATGCCGCCGCTAACACCTCCAATGAACCCATATCCAATAGTCTCGACGAGATCGAAACTAACGTCTACACTATCCGTCCCTACAACATCAACATGATCGAACGCGGGATCAGAGAACTCAACCCTAATGATATCGACAAATTAGTCTCTGTCAAAGGATTAACCCTTCGTTCAACCTCAATCATCCCTGATATGAAAGTGGCATTTTTCAAATGTAATGCCTGTGGTCACACCGTGGGAGTTGAGATTGATAGGGGAGTAATTTCCGAACCTAGTAAATGTCCCCGTGAAGTATGTGGACTGAAAAATTACATGGAATTGATCCATAATCGATCATCATTTGCTGATAAACAAGTTATCAAATTACAAGAAACCCCCGATTTGGTTCCGGATGGACAAACTCCTCATTCGATAAATCTTTGTGTTTATGATGAATTGGTTGATTCTTGTCGGGCGGGGGATAGGGTTGAAGTATGTGGGATATTTAGGTCGGTTCCAGTTAGGGCTAATTCAAAACAAAGAGCTTTGAAGAGTTTGTATAAGACATATCTTGATGTTGTTCATATTAAAAAAATCGATAAAAAACGTCTTGGGGCCGATATTTCTACATTGGAACAAGAAATCACCAATGATGAAGTTGAACAAACTAGAAGAATTAGTGAAGATGAGATAAATCGAATTAAGGAAATTTCTCAACGAGATGATTTATATGAAGTATTAGCTAGATCGTTAGCTCCATCGATTTATGAAATGGATGATGTTAAAAAAGGGATCTTGTTACAATTATTCGGGGGCACTAATAAGACATTCAAAAAAGGGGGGAGATATAGAGGTGATATTAATGTCTTACTTTGTGGTGATCCATCTACTTCAAAATCCCAAATTTTACAATATGTTCATAAAATCGCTCCAAGAGGGGTATATACTTCCGGGAAAGGTTCTTCTGCCGTGGGGTTAACCGCTTATATTACTAGAGATATTGATACCAAACAATTGGTTTTAGAAAGTGGTGCATTGGTCTTATCTGATGGTGGGGTTTGTTGTATTGATGAATTTGATAAAATGAGTGATTCTACTCGGTCGGTATTACATGAAGTTATGGAACAACAAACTATTTCAATTGCCAAAGCCGGGATTATTACTACTTTGAATGCAAGAACTTCTATTTTAGCCTCAGCTAATCCAATTAATTCTCGTTATGATCCTAATTTACCTGTGACTTCAAATATTGATCTTCCACCTCCCTTGTTGTCTCGTTTTGATTTGGTATATTTGATTTTGGATAAAGTTGATGAAACCATTGATAGACAATTAGCTAGACATTTGACTGATATGTATTTGGAAGATACTCCTGATACCGTGAATAATAATTATGTCCTTCCAGTTGAATTATTAACTGTTTATATTCAATATGCCAAGGAAAACATTCATCCTGTTATGACTGAAGAAGGTAAGAATGAATTAGTTAGATCATATGTTGATATGAGAAAAATGGGTGAAGATTCCCGTAGTTCAGAAAAGAGAATCACGGCAACCACAAGACAATTAGAATCAATGATTAGACTTTCAGAAGCTCATGCAAAGATGAGATTATCTCATCGTGTTGAATTAATTGATGTGAAGGAAGCAGTTAGATTAATTAAATCAGCGATTAAAGATTATGCCACTGATCCAATCACCGGGAGAATTGATATGGATATGGTTCAAACTGGTACTACATATGCACAAAGAAGAGTTCAAGAAGATTTAGTTCATGAAATCATGAAGATTATTGATGAGAATAATAATTTGATTAGATTTAATGATTTAGCGATTAAATTGAATGAAAGATCTTCTATCAGGGTTGAAAATCAAGATATTAATGAAGGTCTTAAGAGATTACAACAAGAAGGTAAGATTGTTGAGAGTGGTGATAGTCATAGAAGAACTATTAGAAAGATTGCAATTGTGTAAGATTGCAATTGTATAGGTTGTTTGCTATTGTTTTTATGTATATTTTAGTGTTTTTACTTGTTTTATTCTTAATTTGTTTATTTTATAAATATCTATTTACAGTATTGATACAAACTTAGAGGAAATCACTTGTTGATGGTTTCTTTGATGAAGATTCCTTATTATCATTTTGAGTTTCTATATCTTTATTCTCTTGTGATTCTGGTTGTTCTGGTTCATCAGCTAATTTAAGGAATGCTTCTAATTGTTCATCTAATTCAATATCAGTTATTGAATTATATTTATATTTAGTAAAAGCATTAGCAAATTGTAATTCTTTAACAATATCAACAGTTTCATTATTGTTTAATTTATTAATAATATTTGTTAATACAGAAAATTTACGAGTATATGATCCAGTTAAAGATTCTAATTCTTTTCTTTGTTTAACTAATTCTAATGTTACAGATGTAAATATTAATGTTAATATTAATGTTTTAAAGATTGGTTTCTTCATTAAATCCCGAAATGTTGATCTTTTCTTTATAAATTGTTGTGCATTGTTAGTTGAATTATATCGAATGAATAAAGAATTTAATTTGATATTTGAACGACTTGTTCTGGCTATTTGAAACATTGTTGATATATCCCTATTCTCTCAATCTATCTTATAATCTCTTATTAAAAGTACAGTTGTTCTGTAGAACCTTTTGTAAAAATCACTGAATTAATTTTTTTTCTTCTAACTCTTCCATCTTAGTTTAATTATGGGGAGAGAGACTGAGAGATACAAAGAGCAATAATTAAAGAACAAACCTTCAAATACTTCTCTAAGGACCTTCCTGTAAAATATCTTTAATAACAATAACTCTTATTTCTGAATGAAAGCTCAATTAAAAGAAAGTGAAATGTATCATTAGCAATATAGAATTATCATCTTCAAGTTTTATTTTTACTAGCTGTGGCCAAACCGTATTTGTAGATTATTTTCTTCATTATGACGTTGGTTGCAAATCTTTCCCCAGTTCTGCCTGTAAAGCTATATACTAAATACTCATTTCTCCTCTCTTTACAAGCAGAACGGGAGAGAGACAATGCCTGTTCAAAAATTTTGCAACCAACCTATATAAAGGATTTATAGTAACTTTCGATGCGATTGAATCCAGACAAGTTACAATGCATAGAGAGACAATAAAACCTGGAATCATTCAGTTGGCCCCACTTAGAGACTTCCCTCGTTGGCACAATACAGTAGTCGAAGACAGCATGTGTACTATAAATCCATTTTTAATATACATTACATTGGAACAATCCATTCTCTCTCTCATTCTATATGACTCAGTCTACCAGTGAAATAATATAAATATTTTTTTAGTAATTACAAGAGATCACCAAATTTTTCAAACAAAAAGATTTCCAACACAAGACAAGACAAGACCAACAAATCATTTAATCATTACTTACTACTTACTACTTACAATATTAATAATCAAACCATTCATTCATTCCTTCTTATAATAGAAGATATTACTATCAAATTTACACTACCACTACTTCTGTAAATGGAACAGATGCATCCATAATATACACACAAACATACAATCCAACAATGAAAGTACCTAAAGTTACTAGTATAATATTAGTGATATTACTAACATTAACATTCTTAAATTTTGCATTGAAATATTATACATATTTCGTATTAATGGTATCCTCAACTAAGAAAGGTACTACTTCTACTTCTTCAGTCAATGAACAACAAACAGGGGTAGAGGTACCTCATCCTCATGAATTATTTGTCCCATTATTAACATTTATACCAAGTAAGTCACCTGTATTGTTAAGACCTTGGGTTATTATTACAAGTAGTTTTATTGAAGAACATTTCATTGGATTATTTAGAAGTTTCTTATTGATCTTTTATTTGGGTAAATATTTAGAAAATATATGGGGGGCTAAAGAGTTTACTAAATTCATTATGGTTAATGTTATTATAACAAATTTGATATTATATGGTTATTATACTGGTAAATCATTATTGATAGATACATCTAATAATGTCCCCCCAGTGGTTATAAGTGCAATGGCTATAAATATGGGTTTATTCGTTGCTATCAAACAAAGAATCCCTAATCATTTCTTTATATTCTTTAAAGGAAATTTTCGAATTAAAGTTAGATATGTTCCATTTATTGCATTTGTTGTTTCATTTATATTACAATTATTAAGTGAACAATTTTATATTGAATATTTAATGTCAATCATTGGTTTCATAATAAGTTGGTCATATTTACGATTCTTTAAACTGGGTGCAAATGAAAGACAATCTTATATCCTTCCTTATTCATTAAGTAATAGAAATAGATCAACTAGAAAGAAAAGTCCTTCAATTAGTACATCTTCCCCTGGGCCACAAATTGGATCTTCTTCTTATTCTGGCCACCATTCAGAATATCATCCAATAATAACAGATGCAACAGCCACTTTATCTTCTACTCCACCAATTACATTCCAAGTAGTGGATACCAATAATAGTGCTAAGGGGGATAGATCAGAACAATTTTCAATATATACCTTCTTCCCCTATCCAATCTCATTCATCATCAAAATATTATCAAATATAATAGTCAAATCATTAATTCATTATCAATTATTAGATGCAAACACATTTGATAACACTATAGACGGAGATGAAGATGAAGACGACCCTGCATATGATGACGTTTCAAATCTTAAAACTAATTTATTTGGACTTTCTCAATTAAAAGGTGCAGCTGGTGAAGTTAGTGCTATACCTCATTCAAATTTAAAAAAAATATGGAATTGGGTTATATCAAAACCAAATGGTGTTGATATGGGTATAAAGACTAGTATGGATAAAAGAAGAAAATTGGCTTTAAAAGAATTAGAATAGAATTTTTTAGTAGTCATTAATAGATAATAAGTTAATAATCCCAATGTAGACCTGAAAGATAATAGTTCACCTAACGATTCTCTTCTATATATGAATGGTTTTGTGTAGAGTTGGCTCCCCCCAAAAATCTTGCATACTTCTATGCATAAATCCGCTTTTTATGCAGCTTGATTATAATACAGTAGTTGGGGGATCAGTGAAAGTAAAATGATGATAATATATTTATTTGCGACATTTGATATTTTGCAGCAAAAAATCAAATAGAATAAACCACAGAATCTTCAGACACTTTTTCTTCAAGTTCCATGCATGATTCAAAAAAAGTGTCTGCAGATCCTGAATGAAAAGAGGTGTTGTTGCTGTAAACAATTAGTTATCATTGTCACAAAGTCAGAAGTAAGAAATCAAGCCCATATCCTAATCCAGTAACCCTACCAGAAAGTTCATTTGTAATTTTGGAGCTACCAATTGTTGGGTGTATGGTAGCTCTGTACTTTACCAACGGCTGTATATTTGCCGTGATATCTCATACAAGATACTATTCTACTGGGGACAATTCTAGCTATTTTAGAGAATGGGTTTAGGTGACCATGTTCCATCATCTCCCCTTATTTCCTACAACTAATTCTCTTATCAATCTATAACTATGAAAATTTTCATATTTTATTAGTCTATAAAGGTTTATCAATCGAATTTTTCATAGTTTTAATCAACCCAAGTAATAAATCCGGTCTAGTATACCACAACTGGTCTTCCCCATCCAAATCATAATTTAATTTAATATTCTCCACCAAATGTCGAATCTGATTATAATTACTTCCCAGAACTATCCATTCTTTAAGCGCTAACAAATACCACAATGCCGATTTTCTATATCTCATTAATCCATTTGTTGAATTATACTTCCCCGGGTGTAATTTATGAGGATTGATGTAATTTTCTTCATCCTCATCGTCTTGATCATGGGTTGTTTCATCAAGTTTGGGGTGAGATGGGGGTTGGTGTAATTGTTGGAGATTTTCATCGGATAAATAAACACAATGACCAAAACTATATCCTAATCTTTCATACAAAATTGCTTTTATGATCAGATATTCCGAATTTCGACTGGATAGACTTGAAGTTAAATGGCCTTGAAATTCGGCGATTAATTTGATTAAATATCGTTCAATCAAATCATTAAACCAATATGAAATATTAAATACTTGACACATACATAATAATAATTCAATTACGATGATTAATGATCGGAAACTATAGGTTTTTAAATTAAGTCGTGATTTGAATGTATATGTTAAATTATCAATATATGGTTCCACAATATCATGTTTAATTTTTCGTAAGGTGTTTTTATCAGGTACGGGAGGTTTTAAACTTGGATTCAAGTTTTGTTGAGTTTGAGCTAATAATAATGAAACAATACACATCTCTTGTACACTGGCAACATAACACCATGCTCTATCATTGGTATAATCCTTCTTGATTAAATCATAGGTCGAATAAGCATATTTGAAATCTTTTAAAATCAAAGACCAATCCGCCAATTTTCGTATCGTTTGTTCTGGAGAGGTTTTATAATAATAATTCCCTTCATAGTTATAATGAGAAGTTGTACCTGATGGAGTTATGGAAGTCCCCGGGAGATTGGAATCACTACTACTTGAATTGGTAAAGAATTTCCTTGATGCTGAAAAAAATCTTGATGTGATTGATCTTTTGGGTTGAAGGACTTGATCATCCCATTGGCGGATTTTTGCTTGCATATGAGGGATTAAGAATTTATTTATATAATCATATAGTTTATTACGAATGGTTGAATCGATTGATTTTGGGATTTCTAATTGTCGAGAAGTATTGTCGTTTTGATCGTCTAATGCGAATCGTTGGAGGTCTTCTTCAATTGTGGAGTTTTCAATTAGTGATACTGTGATTTTTGATTCTGATTGGGCGGTGGTGGCGGAGATTGATAGACCAGTACTGTCTAAACTCAATTTATTCCTGATTTCATTTTGGAATTGTTCAAGTCTTTTGTAAGAATCTGGAATAGTTTCATCATATATTATAAACACATGAACTAATAAATCATCAATTTGGAAAAATTTCGGAAAATTGACATTCCTAAATTCAACAATTTGACGTCTTAAAATATCAAGATTATCTTTTTCTAAATCAATAATAAATATTTGACCAATTGGATGATTAAATGTTTCAAATGATGTTATTTGGTTTGAAGTTATGAATTTATCTAAAAATGTTAAATAAATATCACTTCCTCTATCACCACTTCCTCCATCTCCTGGTGGTAATGTCTTGGCAACATGTCTTAAATACATTTCTAACGAAGTTATACTAAACAATTGTGTCAACGTAGTCCCCATTCCAAATTGAGTAGTAACAGTATTATGACTAGGATTTAATCCCGCACTTGGCAACACAGGAGAAGATGAAGATGTCAATCTACCTCTATTATCTTCACTACTTCGACTAGCATGCGATATCGATAATAATTCAGGTAAACTAGGTTCAAATCTAATTGGAAAACTAGCATAATTCTTAGTTATCAATTGAGTATTTATGATCTTAAATTGTTGTGACGGTATATTATATTTCGCATTATTTCCATATGGTTTTAAGATTTGTAATGTTGATAATTGAGTTGATAACACGGATTGGAAATATTGATCAACATTATGAGTTGCTTGAATTGAAATTAAGGGGGAGAATGTATGATGAAGAAGATGTTGTCTTGCTATATATGGATCAAGTCCCTTTGGATAATCCATAGCTGTATTTTGGTCCAATGGGATGTGGGGCAGGGAAGAATGGATGGAATTCTTGGAATGATTTGAGAAAGGAGATTGGAAAACTGATTGAGGGCCAAATGACAGGAAGTGGGTGTTTTATGTTGATGTTTGGATGTTTGGATGGTTTTGATCAAGTTTACACTACGGGGGTCGTGTAGATCTTTACTGGAAGTTATTAAAACCTGTAAAGTTTGTACAAACTGTAATTTGTGATAGAAAACTGCAAAATTTAAGGACAATCTGTAAAATTCTCGTGATATTTCCTAATTAAGAATAATTGTAAATAGTTCGCTCGCTTATTTACAGAAAATACGAGACCTTGCCGCTTTCTTTTTCTTAGTCTTCCCCTGTGGTGACGTAAGAGTATTCCTGGAGATGAGCATAGGATAACTTCAATAACTCCAGACGAACAAGTCTTCTTGATCTTTCTAAAGTATGAATTCTTAAAGTCAAGGGAGGAAGATGAAATCGTGCATCCAAAGAAAGATCAAACTTCTGTTTTTTTGCAGCACGGCTAAAACGACTGATCCTCGTGTAGGTCGCCATATTATTCACAAGTCGACTTGAAACAAGTCGTTTACTTCTGTTTTCCAGATTCAGATTCGCTCTATGCATTTTGGGTATTGGTGAAAGTTAACGTTTCAATAAATAAACTCTCGCTTCTCAAGATGTTTGAACTTGAGTTTTATGACTTACATAATGACAGTACAAGAAAAGGTTTGGCGGAACACTAAAAAAGTGAGCCCAGATGATAATGATTTCAACATGGAATTACTTTTAATAAACTTTTTAAACGAAAACTTTGTCTTTAAGATACGATCAAATTAGAGATCTCCTACTTCAAGTTGTAGTTTGATTTGTCTGTAGAATTATGGGAGTAGAATTAAAATTCAATTGTATTATCTCTTAATACTGACATTTAGCTGTCAAATATTAATCTGCTAAGCTAACTTCAATTGTCCTTGTCATATTTTCTTGTCCCATAATTTCAACTAATTAAGAATATAAATGAAAAGAAAGAAGAAGTTTAAATCTTAAAGGGGTTAAATTATAAACAAAAATTTTTTTTTAGTATTATTTTTTTGATCATTTCTACACGAAACATTTCTTCTTACTTTTTTTTTTACAACACTTTTTTTCAAAGAATTTACAACCCAACCCAACCGATTACACATCTTTTTGACAACCAACTAATCACCATAATAGGGGGAAGGGTTTACTTTATAATTATTAATAGCATCAGATAGTATCAACTATAGTCACAGTACACTACCACAACCACTACTTACACCCACATCAGTACTTTTTGATAGCTATATTCACTCCTTTTTAAGATTTCTTTTTTTTTTACAACCAAAAAATCAAGCCACTCGTTTAACCACCACCACTACTATCACCATTTTACAATAACAACTTCAACTTACTTGATATACAAGTTCACTGTAATATACTTATACTATAGCACAAAGTTACAAATATGTTAAGTAGCTACAAGTATCTACTACTAATAAGTCTACAACTAATACTGGCTGTTGTAGCCGAAGATTTCTTTCAACAAGTACCACATCCACAACTTAATTATGAATCACTTGGAGACAGAATAGGTTTATTTGGTTCATTCAACGCGTTGTCATTCTATTCATTTGTAAATGCATCTTCATTTATACAGCAACAACAACAAAATACCACCACCAGAAACTCTAAGAGAGATGATGAAGAACCAAGTAACGGTTTATACGTTCAAGATATAACCAGCAATAATAGCAAAAGATTTGCCGACTTAAATGGAGATATATACCAATTAGATTCCTTATCAGATGAAACTATTGTCATAAATGGGAATTTCACCACTTTCAATAACCAATCAGTAGTACCACCAATCATTTACAATATTACGTCAAACAGTATAACCCCAATCTTCAAAGATAAGCCAACTGGATCTGTCAAAACGCTTTATGTCGACAATAATCTTATCTATTTAGGAGGAGATTTTGAATATAATAACAATACAGGGGCAGCAATTTACGACCATTCTAAAAATGGTTTATACTTAACCCCATTCCAAGGATTCGGGGACGGTGCAGTAGTTAATTCTATTGCAAAAATTGGAGGCGATGGAAAATCTGATCAAGGATCTATTATCTTTGGTGGGAAATTTGATACTTTAGGATTATCTGATTTGCTTGTTCACAATATTACTGGAAATGCTAATAGTACCACCAACCAAACTGATACATCCATCATCACGGCTGAACAAATGATTTCTCTTAGACAAGGACATTTCACATCTGTAAATGGAGCTGCTGGTAATAATGATGGATCACTTATCTGCCCTGCTTTGAATCCTGTATGGTCTGCTTTACCTGATAGTGGAGCAGAATGGACAGTTCAATTACCTAGTGAAATGATAAATACTTCCCCAACTAAAGTTCGTATTTATATACCCGATAGTACTGATGGAACATCGTTGTTTAGACTTTATACTCTTCCAAATGATGGTATTATGAACCTTACCTATATTGATCCTGCCACTAATGAAATGAAATTCTGTGATGCTTCATGTCCTTTATCTAGTTTTACAAATTTGAAATCTGCAGTTGAATCCAATATAAAAAATGCCGATAATTTAAATGAAGATGATGTATATGTTGATGAAAATGATGGAACATATTTCAAATACTATGAACCAACTACTAAAACGAAGACATTGGGTTATGGATCTAATTTCCAAGAATTTGCACTCGTGAATGAAGTTGGTATTGACTCTGCTCGTATCACAATAATTGATTGGTATGGAAATCAAGCCTTATTAGGAGGTGTTCAATTTTATCTGAACTCAATTACCGTTTTTGGTGACAATGTCTTAAATGAACCTAATTGTGATGGTGAATTTAATGCTGAAACTACAAACTATGCAACGATTAATTCTGGTGATTTCAAATCAATTCGTGATATTAGTCCTGGTAATGCTGCAATTCAAAGAAATTATTTAGTTGCTCAAGATACTAGTGCTAAACTCACCTTGTATCCAAATATTACCTATTCCGGAGATTATTCACTTCTTTTCTATACGCCAGGTTGTACTTTTGATAACTCTTGTGCTCAAAGATCAGTTGTGAATGTTAGTGTCATTGATAATGAAAATAAAATCTTAAGTTCCACAATGATATCTCAAAATAATAATGAAGATAAATTTGATTATTTATTTGACGGACATATTGAGGGTAGTGATGTAGGAAATGGTAAAGCTAGAATTGAAATTTCATTCAATAGTGAAATTACTCCAGGTACTGCTGCCCCATGGGTTGTCGTTGAAAAAGCCGTTGCCAATATTATTTCATTGGATAATTATTCTGAATCAAATCTGACTAGTTCTAGTAGAAGAAGAAATAACAATGGATTGGAATATATTGAAATTAATGGATTGTTTGAATATTCATTAGGTAATTTTACAAATTTTGATGAACTGTTAGTACATTACAAGAGTGGGAATAACGATATTATTAGTTTGAATAATACATTTGTTGGAAATTCATCAATTAATGTCTTGAGTGGGCAATTATCAACTGATACTACAATTGAACAAGTAACTTTCCAAGATGATTCTTTGCTTATATTAGGGGATTTGAAGTCAGGTAGTGAAAATTTAACCTTAACTAATAGTAATTTAGTTAGATTGACGGTTGATTCTTATGGCGATAATCAAACAAAGATTGATTTACCTACTAGATTAAGAAAAAGAGATGATCAAATTATTCTTGGTGGAACTTTTAATAATTCAATTAGTAGATTGGTTGATATTAATGATGGCGTTTTGGCAATTGGTCAATTTAGTCTTCAATCAGATTCAATGGAAAATTTAGCAACAGGAACATCAATTAATCAATCTAATAACTTCGCCATCTATTCTAAAGATAAATGGTATGGATTTGGGAATGAATATGTCAATGCAGATTTCACCAACTTCGCCAATGTGACCTTAAACAAGATTGAATATTACGTATTTTCAACTAGTGATGGCAGTGTTTTCAAAACTTGGGATAATACAAATTCAGAATGGGTAGAAGACACAAATCAACAATTGAGTTTGACTCAAGCTATTAAGATATCAGAAACTCAACAAATCCTTGGTGGATCCTCATTTGAAAGTATGAATTTCTATAATATTGATCAAGCATATATCTCAAATGCTACTTTTAATGCGTTTGGAATAGATATTCCTGTTAAAAATGATGATTTCTCAATCAGTTGTTCATTCTACGTTAATGAATCAATGAGTGTCGTTGGTGGAAGATTTGAAACTGAAAATGAAACAACTACAAATATCGGATTTATAAGTAATACATCTCCCAACAATACAATAGTTCCTTTGAATGGTGATATAAATTGGGGGAATACAACGATTCAAGCATTATATGTTGATAGTAATTATGATTATTTGTTTATTGGAGTCAGCGGACAAGTTGAATTGACATCTAGTAATGTAACTGGACTTGTTGTTTATGATTTGAAGAATAATACATTTGCCTCGTTCCAACCAGCGGCACTTTCAACCAGTAACAATGACCAGATTGAAATTAATTCGTTGGTATTTTATGATAAAGGTAACAGTTTATTAGTTGGTGGAAGATTTGATCAGGCTGGTTCATTACCTTGTCCTTCATTGTGTATTTATGATATCACCAATACTAGATGGTTAGCTCCCCAAGCACAAGTTGAACAAACACCCGTGGATGTGAATGGAACTGTTACTGATATGAGATTCTACCAATCTGATCAAGTATTAATTGGTGGGAACTCATTGTCAATGAATAATACTGAATATGATTTCATTACTTATAATTTCGATACTGGTGCTTTTAACACTAAAGATACTTTGAATAGTTTGGGTAAACCAATAGATAGTTTTGTTATCAGTGATATTTCAAATAGTAATTTGAATGGAAGAATGGTTGCATATGGTTCAGATTTTGTTTCTGGATTTGATGGTAGTGAATGGAAACGAATTGATGATGCAATTGATTATTCTAAAGTTACCCAATTTAATGATTTGAAATTATTGCCTGTTTCAACTGCCAGATCTAATAATGATACATATTTCGATAAGAATCAAATACTTGCTCTTGCTGGTACATTTACACTCAAAAATTATGGTCTTGTTAATATGGCATTATATAATGGTACCACCTGGATTCCTTATGTTTTCACAGCCACCAATGATAATTTCATCGGAGATATTAAATCTATATTGATAGATGACAATTATAGATTTCAATCGTCGAAAGATTTGACCAGTTTGGATAATTTCTTATCAAGAGGTAAAGTTGTTGGGATTTCATTAGCTTGTGCCGTGGGTGCAACTGCTGCATTAGGATTGTTGTTTGTTATTCCATATTTTGCGTTTTTCAGAAGAAAGAATAATCGAGATTATAGTGTGGCATCTAAGAGGATTCAAGAACAAGAAATGATGCAAACCATTAAACCGGAGGATTTATTACATGAAATTGATTTACAGAGACATCATTAAGATTAGTCTCATCTCAAGATAGAATGTTCAAATCTTCTAATTTTTTTTTATTATTTTTACGTCCGTTTTTTTATTCGTAATTATTTTTGTTATATTGTGTTTATTAGACTTTAGTTTTCTTTCAGTTTCGTGTTTTTGTATACTTAGATTATCTTAATATTATTGAATTAGTTTTTAGTGAAAAATGACTTACGGTCGTGCTGAATCTCTTGGGCTTGTGCCCAACAACAAAAGTTCTCTATAGCACAATTAACGAAATCTAGACTTGCCATGTATCATCGTAGCTCTTTAATTGCATGTATTTCTATCCACTGTCGACAGCATTAATACTCTGATTGCAGCTTGTTGATTTAACTGGAAGAAATTGCTGCAAATTTCAAATTTTTGGACAATCGGTTGCGAAAAAAGTTCAAAATATTTTTTCTTAACGTATGTCTCTTTCAACAAACAGTCCCTCATTGGAGAAGCGTTCATGTTCTTCATACAATGACTATTTAAAAGAGAATCAGACTGCATTTGAGAGAGGTTATCCAAGAAACGATTATAATATTTGTCTCCCAGAACTTACAGTGCAATACAGACAGAAACAAGACTATGCCAGTTTCAGGGGAAACATTCCTCGTTTGATTAAGCAATTCGACAAACACGAGACCAACAAAGCCAACGATTAACGAACAAGCAGAAAATGAGATCAAGATAGACATTGGGACATCTTATCCGAGAAAAGATCAACCATAATTCAATATTAGTGGAATAGTATTGTATTAAATGATAACTAGAAACTACAAAAAAAATACATCAATTCATCGATCAATCATTGCCCCACAAAATTGACAACAGACCATTTGAAGATTTATTCAGGTAGAGTATATAAAATTCTAGATCGGTATCTGTATTATGCTTAAAGGCCATCAAGTTAGCTTATAATAGGAACTTTAGAACTGAACAGTATGATAATCTCCTCTTTTGGAAGTTGTATATGACAACTAGGTGGATAAAACTAGAGCGACAATTGTTCGGGATATAGGATAACAGCAATTAGCTTGAAAGCTTATCTTTGGCTTGCAGAGGCATAGCATTATGTAAAGCCTTGTGCTATAGTCACGCGAAAGTCACATGAAATTCACACGGAAATCACGTGAAAGTCACGCATTTATCACGTGAAAATTCAGTGGAATTATCAATTTAAAACTCCAAAACTAACAAGTTGATGCGGTGGCTCAATTGGTAGAGTTTTGGATTCCAAATCCAACGGTTGCAGGTTCGAGTCCTGTCCGTGTCAATTATTTTTTGCTCCCAAATTCAAAATTTATCAACATAGAGATTTATTCATATATGATACATATTTATAATGGTCAAGTTACTCTAAACTATTATTTTTACTATTTTGAAACAAATTTTATAAAAAGGTGTCACTAAAAATCTATACACTCACCTTGATGGAGTTGGTGCTTCTTCTTCGTCATCAATGTCAAAAAGTCTTTCGTTTGAATTGTTTGCTTCTGGTTCAACACTAGCTTCTTCGGCAACGTCACCTATTTCATCTTGGAATGGGTTATCATGTCTAGAAAAGTCTTCACTGATTCTAGCACCCTCTTCAATTTCATCATCGATATTATCTTGGAAATCTCCAAACAATTCTGCTTCTTCATCGTCAAAGTCAGGTATGTTGACATAGCTTCTAGTACCTGGTCTATTAAACACAAATCCACTGACTCTTTCTAATAACATTTTATCTATCTTTATGATTGTCTTTACAGAGGCAATGACAACAGCAGCTGCAAAGATACCACCTCTGACAATTTTATTCACCACTACGTCAACTTGGTTATTTTCAATTGGGTCAAATCCACCATCATCCTCCAAGTCTAATCTGATTTGTCCCAATCTCTTAAACCCACCATTTCTTCTAATTCCACGATCATATACAAACCAAGTCGCAATGATAAAGATCAACAATGGGACAAATACCACTGCAAATAATTTATGACCAGTGACTTCTTTACCATAATGTTGATTGAATTCTTTTTCTTTACCTGGACATGCCTTTGGATTCCAATTGTCAAATTGCCTTCCACCATAACATGTAGATAATGGGATTTTTCGGTATCCAGTAGATTCAAAGTATTCAAATGCATTTTCCTTGTTACACATTTCCTTCATACGACCTTGAGGGGTTAAACCCTGGACTAATTTACAGGTATTGTCTTTATCATCACGGTAATAATTGTAGTCACATTCGTAGTCTTGTCTTGTACATGTACAATTTCTAGTCACTGTGAAGCCTTCTGCCAATGGAGCACTTCCAATAAAACAGTCATTATGTCCAATAGCACGACGCAAGTATTTAGATTCATGTCCGAACAAACAGCCATCACCCGGAGTCCAATATGTGTAGTCATCCTTTTCAGGATTATCTAAGTTCAATTGACATTGACGTTTATGGATATTGGTAAAATCAATGGAATATGACAATGTAGCTGAACCACCATCTCTGGCTAGGATAAGGAATTTTCTTGATGTATCAGTTGGAACGGTTGCTAAATCTAAGATATTGACTTCTCTATCAGCAAACTTGAATTCATTCCATGATTCACCTTCATCTAATGAATATAACAATTTATCGGTGGCCTTTGTAGCTTCCACAAGGACCAAAATAGTTCCTCTATCACCATACTCCCACATGTACACACCATCCTGAACTTCCTTCCAAGTCACTCCTCCATCTTTACTCAAGAATGTTGACGATTTGGAATAATCTTCTAAATGTTCACCAACGCTTCCAACTCCGATTAAGAATCCAGTAGCGGAGCCAGAAGAGTATGTGTCACGGTAGTCTGGACGTTCTGTGAAACCATGTAAGTGTAAAGCACATTTATTCAATGGAGAACCAGTACATTTATATTTCTTACCCTTGGAATCAATTGCCGGAGGAGCAAGATAGTTCCATTCACTCCCATCATTACGAGAAATCTTGGATTGTAATTTCTTGGAACCAGATTTTTCGTTTGCATTACTTACAACATTAGCAATGATCACACCTTCCAATCCTTCAATTCTATCATAATCGACATATCCCACTCTATTTCTATTAACATTTTCTAAGGATAAAACGTATGAAGTACCGTTAGAATTTGATTTCAAGATAGTACCATACTCGAAGTTTGGATCAGCGTTTGTTGTAACATGAATAAAGATGGCTTTTGATTTTGAATCCAAAATTGTATAAGCTTGTTGATAATCGGCATGGAAATCATGAGGGAAATCAGCATCGGCAAATACTTTACCATCAACAGTAACTTTAGCTTGAAGAGCGTGTTTCTTTTCATTGACTGTCGCAACGACGACAAAATTACCGGTGACTGCATATCCCACAGTACTGTCAAAAAGCTTTTTTGATTCTTTGTCTTTGGTAGTTAACGAATGTAAAGCCAATCTACGATCTTCTTCCACCGAACAAAAGATCAAGTCATTATCCGGTTTATCAAATACAGCTCCAACAAAATCACAAGTTTGAACATTTTCTTTCAATTTAACAAAGCTTTCACCTGAATCTTCAGTTAAATAGGCGGTAATGGAACAATCTCTCATACTGTCATTGTCTGCACAATCGCTTCCAAACCAGAGGAATCTATGAGCTTGGGTGCTATGCCAAGCAACAGCACGACCAACACTTGGATGCGGTTTCCTTGGTGCTTTTTGCTTGACAAAGGTTGATCCACCATCATCGGAAACGTAAATAATATCAGTATCAGTAGCTAAAATAAGTTGTCCCGGTATTGGCCCTACAAAGAATCCTAAAATTCTTTCATATACTGGAATCTTGGTAAAGCTTACACCACCATTATTTGAAACATATGCGTACTCACTAGTAGTTTTCAAGACAACATTATCAGCTCCAAAATCTTTAGATTCATCAATATACGAGTATTGTGCCAATTCTCCTTCGAAAGTAGTCAATTCAACCACAACTTCATGGGCATCACCTTTATTTGAACCACCATTTCCAGATCCTGGTTCATCCACGTAGTCCGAACATTTAATGGATTCTTCAGACACGAAGTCGCTAAGCTTTTTCTTACCCATATCACATTTATTTTCGGCCATTAATACCTTATCTGGTAATTTAACTTGTGATTTTCCTATACATAATTTTGTCAATTGCTTTGGATCAGGAACACAAACAAGTTCATTTTTCTCAGATTTTTGGAAACCTGGAGCACATTCGAAATCCCACTCTCTACATTGACAAGGATCATCAATCACTTTAACATCCTCAAATAATTTATTCACAAAACATTTTGCGTCTTGCTTTCTTCTCATAAACTTCTCACGATGTCCATAGACACATATTGGTGCATTATCTAATGTAACTCTGGCATAAAATTCTTCAAAATCATCATCGGAACATTTTTTATCATCAAAAGCCTTTGAAAAATCAACACTATAGACATACTCAGAAGCTTGGTCCTTGTGAATTTGGTCAACACCCGTAATCACAAACTTACGAGACGTTCCATCAACAGTGGTTAAGATGACTAATGGATAAATAGGATGTTCTAATTCGAAGGATTCCCAAGATTTCCCTTGATCCAAAGAATAATGAAGTTTTTTGGAAGTTTCGAATTCTTTCTTTGAATTATATGGCACAGCAAGAATAACATTTCCTTGATCACCAAATGAAAATACACATGGGAAATCGAATGCTTTATCCCAAGTAGCACCTCCATCTCTAGATACAAAAGTTTTCATCTTTGAAAAATCATGAGTTAATTTAGTGCCTGAATTACCCACACCTAACAATATACCTGGAGTTGGACCAGTTACGAATTTTCCAGAACTGTCAAGTTCTGAATTCTCCCATAAATGTACAGAACACCCTTTTTCAACATCACAATCGCTATCTCCATTCAATTTTAATAGACTCCAATCGGCCCCATCGTTGAAGGAAAATTTAGTCACTATATCTTTCTTGAAGGTGCCTCCAATAAGATAATCTAAAAATGATTTATCATCCTGATCATCCAGATTTTGTGACTCAACTCCAATATTGGCAATCCATGCACCATCTATATTCTGAACTTTTTGAACATTACCACCTGCCACATCTTCCAAAAGTTTCTTATAATGCAATCCTGAAGAATCCGATGAATAAAACGTAGAAGCTTGGAATTTCCTACTAGCATAATCTAAAATTTGAAAAAACAATGATGATGGAGAAGAGGGTAAGAATGACATAACGCCATATTTTACTTCTACTTGTAAATCAGCTCTTTCAAAATTTTCACCATCACGAGAAATATGAATATTAATCCTGGATTTTTCGTTAAACTTGTCCATTTTCAGAACCACGACAATAAAACTTTCTTCAACTTTAATATCAATAATTGCACCAGTTGCAGAATCAATTGGGTTCAATTCCTTTTGGGATTTGTAAAAGTCATCTGATTTGTATAAGTGCGATTCCAAAATATGACCATATGAATTCAATTTATTAGTAGTACACATAATATTTTCATCTTTCCCTTGTTTAAAACTCTTTGTAGATTTAGCAAAGTTACAAATATGGGCTTCAATAGGTAATTTTTCAACAGTTTTGAATCCATCTTTAGTATAAAAGTATTTATGTTTGCATCTATGACTCAACTTTTCCCCTGGAGGACAATGATAATTTGAAATCATCATATAATCAGAATTGGCAGCATTGAAAGAAATTTTTGGAATTGATGCCATTTCCTCTGCATTATAATCAAATAAATCAACATTATACTTCTTCCAGGTCTTACCTTGATCATCAGTCATATATTGGCTTTTTGATAAGGCCATTGCAAAAGCTCTCTTGTTGTTATAAGGATCCATTTCAAAGTATATCACTTCATCTTTAATGGCTTTAACAACTTCAAATGATTTACCATCATCAAAGGAGATAGACAAAGTATTATCACGTAAAAGCAACAAATTCGACGAGTCATCAAAGTATTTTATCTCTTTGGATGGACTCCTATGTTTAATCATTGATACCTCCGGAGCGAACGCTCCTTTGGCCGTCATGACATTAAGGAATAGGGATAGCAATAGAATTATTCTCATAGTTCCTCCCTGTTTATTTTTAGAAGTATCAATCTCTCTCTTTTAAAATGTGTTTTCTCTGTTTAGTTATCTATCAATTGGTATCTCTTCCGATGTACAAAAGTTGCTTTTGATATCTTTCTATTCCTTTCTCCCAAAAGATAGTTGGTTGTAAAAAAGTGAATGGTTACATTTTGAAAGGTTGCGCTTTTTTTTCAAGTGGGATTTTTTTCGGCTTGGGGGCGGTGGGGGCGACCCTCAGCAGATTTCCTAATCCAACCGTGGGGGGGAACAACAACTTTGAGACACAATTCGTATGTCGCGACGTCACATGTCTTAAGCTAAATATGCTTGCTTAAGTCTTTCAAGTTACAAAGTCGATGAGATGAGCTATTTAATTTAGTTAAAGACCCTCGTTGGTTAATATATCACACGACACAAACCTTGGTATATTACCGAGAGAATTCCAAACTTGACACAAAGGAAATAAACCAATTACAAATAAATACAATATCAATTTAATCTATAACAAGTCCTATATAATTACCCAGTTTTACTACTCGAATATAACAATTCACATCTACCGACGAGATTCTTCCAAGATTGAAAGTATATCCCATCAAGCTGTTCCTGAAAACTTCCTCTTGGTCACGATATATCTTGATTATAGCTTGTTTGTTATTTGGTCTGGCCAATATGTCAAAGGGTGAGGATTCTCCAATTAACCCATATAGCTTATTTAAAGCTGTTGTAATAAATGATTTCCATACGATTGGATCGATTTCAAGCTCGTTGAATTCAGATAGGAGTTGAGGGTCATTTGCATTTGGATCGGGGATTCTAACGAGGTTAGTTAAGGATATTTCTGAGAATAGTAATTGAACAGTATACATACACTTCAAGATTTAGATAGCACCATACTTGATCTTCTGTTGGTTGGGTGTGAGTTATCACCTGCTCTATAGATGCCATCTGGTTGTTGGTTTTCAATACCGTCTTGTGTACTCCTCTCTTCAATGGTCTTCTCATTTTTCAGTGAGGCTCCAGTAAAATTTCTAGAATAGGCGAGTCACATGACCATCTCAGTCCATTTTTTTTTAAATTTGTATGATTATATCACTTGACGAAGTTGACAAACTATTATTCTCAACTTCATCACAATTCCCACCTCCAGCATTCTTGTCTCTACAATAACTCTCTCTTCTAATCTTGTCATTCTCACTTTTCGGATTTGGATCAAATTGACTTACATTTTTATAAGCTTCACTAGTGTATTTTGATTCACGCTGACCACGCAGCAACGATTTTGGAGGTGGAGGTGGCGGTTGATCTGATTTATGCTGTTGTTGATACAAAGTATGTAAAGGGATACCACCTGGTGGTATTGCCATTCCTGGGTCTATTCTTATGACTGGAACATAGTATGTATGATAATTGTTTGAATTATTGTAGTTAGATACAGGAAAAGATGATGGATCGGTTACTGAAACACAAACATAAGATGGAAAGGGAACTGAAGGTAAAGAACTGGCTTTAGGAAGTAAATGTGACCTTGGTCTTTGGGTGCTAGGAATTGGAGGTAGAGGTGATGATAGGGTGAACCTCTTGTTGGTGGAATTTGGTATTAAATCTGGGAGATAAATATTGTATCTCCTTGAATGTCTTAAACGCAGTAATTCATTAGGTTGGTATATTATTTTATCAGTCATTGTTCTTCTTACAGGATATCCTATGAACTATTTAGATGAAGAATTTGTACGACTTCTAGGGATCAAGAAAAGTTAAAGATAATGTTCACAAAGAAGATTTTTTAGGCTGCAAAAAGTTTTGTGCTTTCATATTGCAACATTTGACTTTTTTCGCGCCGAAGTAAGAAAACGAATTTTGAAAGGGAGATGATGGGCTAAGCTAATTCCACTCCCTAAGTAAGGTCTCATTTATATATAAACATGAGCAATTTCCACTCTTTTGGGGTAACTCAACAAGAGCAGGTTTTTCTGTATAGTTGCCTCTAATTATATAGTTTTCCTAATAGGTCTAAGGAAAAAAAGGGTCTCATTCAAGTGCTATAATAAAAAGATAAGCATATAGAGATCGATGACTATTTCTTGTTTAGTATTCTGAAATTTCCATCGATCACGAAAGATTCATATTTCTTGTTTCCGAAATCTGGGAGGTGGGGGAAGAGAACAGCCAAGTCCTTTGGGGAGGATAATATTCACACAGGGACATTGTTGTACATGAGACAGCCGCTTTCTTGGTTTTCTTATCTTGATATTTTTGATATTAATTTAATTATATTCTTTTCCAAGAAAAACACATAACACTCCTCTACCGACTTACATTTCTTTTCTACTGTCAAGATTAACATACAGATTTGGTAGTTTTAATTTTCCTATACAATCTACCCCCGTTCCTTTGGAAATAATATCTTTAATGGATGAAATAGCATTTCTTGTTTTGAACATATCAAAGCCCAGTTCTATTTCCGCTTTCAATCGCGGGAAATCAAGTTGAATAATTATATATTTTTTGAACCAATTTATTAGATCCACGGAAAAGTCACACAATATCCGAGAAGACAAACCGAAGACAACCAAATAGCGAAGGGAAGGTCAAACATCCAGCACCTTATTAAAAGTTATGAAAAGTCTGACGCCCATGCCCATTCCCTTCTGAAAAAGTAAAAAATGTTGATGAATTGTCTTTTACAGTTAAATCTGGGGTAATAAATGGATGTTGAAAAATTAAGCTTTTTTTTTAACAACAGCAAAAAACTCTAAACAATCTTAGAAAACAATAGGGAAGTTTGATTGAATTACCCGATTATTTTTTTCCTGCCCCCCCTCGAATTCTTATTTAGTAATTTAACTTTAGTTATCTTTTTATATTTCTAGGAACACCATCAAGAACTCATTGAATTTATCAAGAATAGGAAAAGCAATTGTGGATACTTGAAGAAACGGGTTGTTGCTGATATGTCACTTCTTAACGATAATGACAAAAGCTAATTACACAGCAAAAGCGACATTTATAATTTTTATGGAAGGTAGAAAAGAGGGGTGAGACATTTCAAATAAGACATTTTAATTTTTTTTTACAGTTTAAGTCAAAAATGAAAAATAATTCAAACAAAAAGGAAACTTGGAGAAAAAAAACAAAATTGCGTTAAAACGTTTTTTTCCTTTATGATTTAAATAAAGTTTAGTTCGCGTATTGTGTATAAAACTGTAGTAGAATAAAAATGTCTCTGAATTATTCGATAGGTTTATCCCTTATTGTAACCACCCACAAATGAAAAGTGTGTTGTTTTTTGGAAGAAGATTTTGAATAGAATTATACATTTCAATGTCTTAACTGGCAAAATTGGAATTAGTCTAAGATTTATTTGAAGTTGTACATTCGTAAATATGATGTCACAAACATAGATCATAAAGAACCGGCAGTTGTTTCTTGGTAATTTTCTTGAGTTGTACTTTGTTCTCTTGCCAAGACTTTGTCTACTCTTTTCGACTTCGATTGTTTGCTGCTCTTGTCAATTCTTACAATTAAAGATTTATGATATAATTTTGCTTTTAAACAATGAAATTTTCATATTCTCTGCCCTCCACTTCCGTGGAGTTTTTTTAATTAATTAATTTATCTTTGTGTCCTCCATCGATTAATCATTCCCTAATTCAATCAATGCCCCACCCCCATACTTTAATCTGTTTTGTGATCTAATAAAAGACAAGTGAATACAATAAGATCCTTTTTTTTTATTTTTACAGGTTAATTACATTTTTGAGTTCACACATTTGTTTTGTTCGATAGGAATGTCGTTTTTTTTTTTCTTTCTTGCATATAGCCACCCGTTTTTTTTTTTGCTTTCTTTTTTTTTCCCTTCAATAAATCTGTGTAGCTCATTTGTATTTTTTGTTTTCTTTACCGGACTCCCCTTTTTTAACAACCAACGTTTTTTTTTTTACAACCAAATTTATAAACTTATCAACTACTTCAACAGAGTTGACTAAAAGACGGACATCTAATCAATCAATCAATCAATTCAATCAATCAGTCTACTGACACGCGAATCCGTCACCAACAACGTATAAAACAACTCTACAAGAAGAAGTTCTACGGATAGGAGGAGTATCAATCAACGTTTTTACAACCACCCTTTTCTCCAAGTATCAGACAATCAACTTGTGGTTGTAGAAGAACTATCATTTAAGTACCATTAATTACATTTTATACATATATATATATATACAAAACATATTAGAACAATCTAAACAATGGATGAGAATCTACCAAAAAATAACCAATATATGTATGTGGAAGCATTAACCAAAAGGATAGAATCTTTATTGCCTAATCGAACAGGTCATTCTACTCAGGAAGTAGAACTTAATCCACAATATCTTATCACTAAAAGGATTCTATTGGATAGTCACAATAATCATCCACAAATGATAACATATATCTTTACCGCATTTGCATCAGTTTTACTTAGATTAGGTACTGAATCAGAATTTTCTAAATTAAGATTAAGAGATGAAAAATCAAGAGGATCTACTTTATTAACGTGTAAATTATTATCAGAAATTTTGAAAAGTGATTGGAATAGAGAAACAAGTAGTTTTGATGACAAGGATTTATTAAGTAATTATTCAAAGTTTTATTATTATGATCAACCAAAAGCATTAGATTCATCCAAAGTTGTATTCTTATTAGATACATTTGTCAATTTATTAAGTTCAGGAGTAGTTAAAAAAGTATTGTCTCTAGTGCGGAACCAACAGTCAATGACAACAATGGCGATTGCAAAGGAAGAACAAGATATACTAAGAGAAGATCAACCAATGACTGATGAGGAACTTACCGCTGCAGTTGTGGCAGAAATTGATTCATATATTGAAATTATATTACGATATATTGCTACCGCAAACCCAGAGGATTATTTTCAATATATTGTGAGTAAATTATTCAAATATTCAATGAATGATGAAACTATACCATTACCCATGCTTCAGAAATATTGTCCGTTAGTCAAATTCTTATTTTATTCAGATTCAAATGCTGAAAAGACCGCCGAGCAAAGTTTAAGTGCAATTCCCTATATACGATCAAACACTTGGAGACAAGTATTTTTATTCTTTTTATCAAGTTCCATTAAAGACCAAACATTTTCACGTCCTCAAGATTACCAAGGACTTATAGACCCTGCAAATACCCACTATGTTAACGTTCTTAAGAATTTATTCGATTCAACATCTATGGCATTTGATGATAGTTTAGTTTCAGTTACTTGTGCTCCATTTGTCCTAACTTGGTTCTTAATCCTTTGTCTTGATGATTTCCAAGAAATAAATTCATCAAGACCCATTAATAAATTGAAACTCACATTTAATAAACGAATGAAATATATTATGATGATATTGAAAGACTCTGGAAGCGTTTCAAATTTGGAAAGTTTCGATGCATTAATAAATATATTTCACTTGGGTACAAGACTTCAAGCACATAATTATATAGAGCATCCTGTTTTCATATTCAGTATCAAGTTTCTAGATCAAACATACAGGAATTTATTAACATTCAGCGAAGTTCATAGAGATGAATTCATTACAAATGATGAAATGGCAACAAGGTATGAATTTCTAATGGTCAATTTCTATATTGCAGGTATACTATTGCGTCCTGAAAGATACTCAAAAATTGTTATTGAAAACTATCAGCAAAATTCTGAAGATTTAAGAGAAGCAAAGATATTAGTTAAAGTAATTAAAGGACTTTCGGAAATTGAAACAGGACGGGATGTTTTCATAAAAATATTGGCAAAAATGAAATCTGAATTAAAATCATTGATTTATGGCTCTCTTAAGATGTTAAATCAATATGAATCGCAACATAATGAATTCTTGCTGTCTCCAATATCACAATCTGACGCATCATTAGTTTTAGACATAGCAGATCTACAATTTGGCCATGTGGCAAATCATGCTACATTGCATGCATTTGAAGCCCATCAAACTAGCTTGGATCATTATACACAGGAATTAATGGACGACAAGGATCAACACAACCACCACAACAATAATTCAAGTACCAATACCACCAATGGAAATAAGATGATACCATCTTCATCATCCATGTCTACTCATTCTACATACAAATTCAGATTAATTAATGGGGCAGAAGAATTATTATCAGACATACTCAATATATTCCAAGCGGCTCCAGAATTATATTTCAATGACCAAGAATTGATGAGTGATGAAAATCTCAAAACGAGCAATGAAGATGAATTAATCCAATCTATAGTTGAATTTTGTCGAGAAGCCGTTATACCCTTGCGCCAAGCTTTTAAATCTAAAGCATTTACATCCTCAAGTACAAGATTATTTGATTCAGCTCGTGATTTATCATTAACATTAGTTAATTCATCTACTAAGATTGTTACCGAATCTACCTCCTTATCGATATTAGCTAATTATAATCTTATCAACTATATCATCCAATCAATTTGTGAAACTTGTTTAGTGATAAATCTATCGGAACCGAAATTTAAGGCATCATTTATATTCTTGAATGAATTTCTTCACAAAAGAAAACAATTTAAAGAAATTGTGCACAGCAACCAAATAGTAATGCGATATAAGGCCAGACAACAGTATAGTTCAAGTGGAGATGTCCTACATGCTGTAGAAAAAGTATTATTACTTGCATTATGCACGCACGATATCCAATTTTATAATTATGCAAAAGAGGGAATTAGATGGTATGTGAATGAAATCAAGGACAATGCCGAAATTTATAAGAAAGCAGGATTAGATGAGAATTTGATGGTAACATTCAAAGAATTAATTGAAGATGATTCAGTTTTCACCGGATTTATATCATTACATAAACGACAAAGAACCATATTGAGAAATGCCAATCCTACGAAATCAATGTATCAAGTCTGGACATTAATTTATTATAGATGGTTGAAAGTTTTGGAATCACAAGCACATATGAGTGAAGATAGTCTTGTTTTCAGGCATTTTACTGGATTCTTAGCATCAACTTCAGGTAGTTTTAGTGCAGGTCCATTTGGAGTCAAATATCCCGATTTGGAAGCTAAAGCATCAAAATATATTTCCGACTTTTTCGATAGGTGTATTGGATTATTGAATTCTCAAGATTTAGTGATTAGAGTGATTGTTAAAGATACGTTGTCAAATGAATCACATTCAGATGTTTATCAATTGATTGCCACAAAGTTGATGAATATGGCAAATGAATATGCTGAGAAGCAAGTGGTTACAGAAGAAGGAATTGTGTTTGTGGAACAATCAATGGTTATTATGACAGCTATGATTAGTGCTGGAAGCGATGGTACATTAATATTGGCATCATTATTACCCAACATTTGTCAATTTTTTCTTAAGTTTATTAATATGATTGATAATCCAACTGATAAATTGAGATTAAAATTAAGATTTTGTAAATTAGGTACTACTTTGGAAGCAAATCGTGAAGCTTGTGGTTTGTCAGGTGCTTATAAATTAAGAAACTTTTATGCTAAAGCAAGTGTGGAATGGTTAGAACAAGCAGTCTTTTATGAAGAGCAAAAGGAGAAGGTGTATAATGATACTGATTCAATGGGGACTGGTTCAAAGGAATCTGAGACTGCCTATCTTTCAATGGATTTAGCCGTTCAATGTTCGAAATGTTTACGAGGTCAATTAGAAGAATTAGTATTGGAAATTCCTGAAGGTGTTAGAGATAATGAAATTAATAAATATAAGGATTTGGCATTTAGCAGTTATTTTTCAATTTTTTTCAAAATTATCCAAAAACAATCCAAGATGAATTTGTCAACCAACAAATACAAACACAAATTGAATCAAATTTCTGATAATATTCTTGCATGTATCACCAATTTATTACAATATGATGCAGATATTGGAATGCAATTTGTTTTACCGATGGGATATCACGAGAATGCTAAGGTCAGGTCGATATTTCTTAATGTGTTTGCCAGTATGTTATCAACTAAAACAGTTCGTGGGAATAAGGAAGAATATCCTGATGAATTAATTGAACATTTTACTAATCAAACTGATATATTTGGAGCAATTGCGGAATGTGCCTCTTCTTCAGAACATAATTTGTTGGCTTCAGCATTATTTGTGATTTTCAGCCATACTAAAAAAGTGGATAAATTATTCAAAGTATTATTATGTGATGAAATTTCAAATCTCAACCGTCCAACTGATCTATTTAGAAGAAACTCAACGTTGACAAGATTGTTATTCAATTTCACACAAGATTATGGATTAGAATATTTGAATCTAACTATAAAACCTATTATTGAGGAGATTGTGAATGATGAAATTATATTCGAGGTTGAAAAGGTAAATACTACTGAAACTACTGATTTATTTATGGCTTATTTCATGAAATTAATCGATCTGATTGTTAACTCAGTTGATTTACTACCAGATTCTTTCAAGTTTGTATGTGCAGAAATCCATGATTCCATATGTTCTAAATTCTCCGAGCCTGGGATTGTTCCTGTTGGATCATTTATATTTTTAAGATACATTTGTCCAGCAATTATTAGTCCTGAACAATTTTTTAAGATTCCAGTCTCTCATCCAAAAGTGAAAAGATCATTAATGCAATTAGTTAAAGTTTTACAGAATATGGCAAACGGTACTCTACCCATAATTAAATGGCAAGCATTAGCATCCAAAAATGGTGAATTAATTGATGCAAATAAGAAGATTTTTGAATTCTTGAAGAAAGTATCAACTCTGAAGATTGAAGCATATCCATTTCCAAATTGTCATGATAATCCAGATAAGCCATTAGCGGAATTAAGATACTTGCATAAATTTGTTTATGTTTATTTTACGAATATTAGGGTTCAATTTCTTTTAGCAAAGCTGGCTGTTAATGTTAAAACTTTGCATGATAGGGTTATAAAGTATAAAGAATTTGATCAAATCTGTAAAGAACTCGGACAACCTAAACCAAGTGTTCAATTGCAGCTTAATAGTTCTTTGAAATTGTTCGATCCAAATTCTAGTGGAAATATGAATATCACTTTCAATGACTTTATGACCAAGATGTCATTAAAGTATACAGATACTCCACCTGATGCAATTGATGTTATACATAGTTCTATTTTTAAAGATGGTACTCCCGTGGTTGTTGTCAACTTGAAGAAGATGAAGAAGAGACCTAATGATGTTAATTATTTGGTTTATAAATTGTTTGAGACTGCCTCTCAAGTTTGGGACAATAAATTTTACCTTGTGTTTGACTTTACCGAATTTGTATACAATAGTAGGAGGATTCCAGAATATGTGGATGTCTTAAGAACCTATTCAGCTGAGCAAATGTTTAGAAATTGTGAACGAGTTTATTACTTCAACATTCCAAGAAGTGAATACGTTGCAATCTCGCAAGCTGTTCACACTCTCAGAGGTTTAACCACTCAATATGGTACAAAAATTTATATGTATTCCCAATTTGATTCTGATGAAATTATTAATAGTTTATGTTTGGATAGAGAAACAGTTGCAATCAGTCGTGATAATAAGGTTATTTTTAGAAATATTTTGTTATATGAACCAAGTACTAAGAAGTATACTCCAGTTAGTCTTAAAATCGGTAGGAAATTCCTTCAGGTATGTTTTGTTGATCGAGTGTCATTTGAATGTGATTATTGTGTTACTGGTGGTTTCACTCCAGTGGAAATTTTTAGATTATCTGACTTTGTTAAGTGTGAGGTTTCTGATTTTACTGAGCATGATGATGAATTTACTATATTTTTAAACTATGGACATCTGGCTACATTTAGATCGAAGGATAGATTAGAGATTTTAAGATTCTTATATTTTACAACATCAAGATTACCACGTGAGACTCCAGATATGGCGGAGAAGGATTATCAGAATGAAAGGCACGTAATGCATTGGTTTGGTAGATTATACAATATTGTTTTCCAAGGGTTGTTAAGTACTGATGAAGATGTGAAACATGCTGCTGCTTTATTATTTGGTGCGTTGTCATCATACTTTGATATTGACTTTGGTATTAAAGAGCATCATGCAAAGAGTGTATCGTTCCCGGCAAATTCAACTGATTTTGTTGTGTCAGTTTCGGAACATTTAGCCAGTAATTTCCCGCAATTGTCATACAGATTCTTCAAATCATTTTTCGATAACTATGAAAAGATGCCAACTGAAAACAAGTTAACTTCCATTCTTTATGTTTCTCCATGGATTGAAAATATTTATGACCATGTGTACCTACTGAATGACGAGAATGGTCCAGAAAGAGTTGCAGATTTAGTTCGTCAATTTTGTCGTCTTTCTGCTAAGAACAAGGATCACATTGCCTTTATCAATGATTATATTTGGAAGAAATTATTTTTGGAAACAAGATTAATGCTGGTTTTAGTGGATGAAGTTGTTGCATTTGCAATTGATAGTAAGAATGAAGGTCCTGATTGGTCTTTTATAATTGCTGTTATTTGTCCTTCAATTGAAGTATGTGGTGAAGTTATATCTAGATTAATTGCATGTATTAATAGAGCCACTACCACAGATTCTCCTATTGCGTCTCAATCTAAATTATTTGAAATGAAGGTGTTGGTTAAGATTTGTTCATCATTGTTTTTCAATTCATATATTTTGGCAAGGTTATATTTGGCAGATTTAATTTTCTTTGTTACATTGTTTATTGACAATGCTCATTTGGATGTCGGTGGTGATTTACAAAAGTTAATTATTGGTCTAATTCAATCATTTTTGCATAAACCAGATTTGTCAGATAGTGAACAAAAGATTGTTGATGAAACTATTGAATATTTCAGTACTCCTCGTGCAAAGATGTTATTTGGAATGACGAGAGATAGCTCTTCTGGTTTGGATGTTAGTCAAACTTTCAATCGTCTTAGCAACTTTGAAGTTTTATGTGATTATTTGAATGGTTTCATTTCAGCCGTGAGTACTTCTGATGATAAGACAAACTGGAAGTCAAGATGGTGTTCCAATGCTATTGACGTTGCATTTAGCAAAGATTCATTATTTCAAGATCGAGCAATTTTGATTGTTGGTATTTTATCCAAGAATGGTATTAGTGATTCAACTGCTTGTAGAAGTTTGAAGTTAGTATCGGATGGTGAATTGCATACTTTGGATTTTGTTGTGTGCATTAGTGTTGCTACTGCAAGAATCTTAAAAGGGTTACCAGATACATCTATTTTACCACCTGTGTTGATTTGGCCACAATTTTGTTTTGCATTAATGAATCATTCAGTTCTTTATCAAGCGGCAGTACAGAATATTGTCACTTCAGTTGTTAAGATCATCAGAGTTGGAAAAAATTATATTGACAATGCATTTCGTCAAAGGGGTCTTTTGGAGCCATATCTTTCACAGTTTGAAAAAAGACACGGTTATGAAATTACGCAAAAGAATTTTGGGGTTCATATCTTCCTCATGTTAACTCAAGGGTTAAGATTTTCACAATTCAAACAACTATCATTAAATTGTATTAAGGAATACTTTGCAACTAGATATCATTATCGAGAAAGAACTGAAATGAGTGGGAAGTACATTTCTAACAATGCCTATGCATATTTGGTATTTACCTTTTTGTTTACCGACAGCCAAGATTTTGCTGAGTATATTGATGAGGTTGGTCTTGATAGTGAATTCGTTTCAATTTCAGATACTCAAAAGCTACCAAGAGTAATCCTTGATTTCCTTTTAGAAGATTCAGAAGCATCCAAGGCTACTTTAATATGTGCTGGATACTTTTTCAATGACACTACAAGTGATAGTGGGTTCAAGGGCAGATTTGTACAGATATACAATTATTTGTTCAAAATCAATCGTGATATTGGGTTTTTGATATACGATATTATGAGACCAACTTTAACTCAAGATTTAATCACTACTAATTCATTGGAAGTTGTTGAAACTATTTCGAATATCATTACTGAGGTTTCTTTAAGTGAGGATTATGAGCCGGAAAAGTATAAGAAAGAAGTTGATGATTTATTAATTAGAAACAAAATTACAATTATGCAGCAATTAAGAAATATGAAGCAACCAGATCAAATACTTGGTGGCAATGGGAAGTTCACTCCAGAATTTGACGTTGATATCAAAAACATTCAAGTTATGGTTTATAGATCAGCATGTATTTATATTGAAGGGTTGAGATTAGAGGACTAATGATTGGTCTTTATAGACAAAAGATATGGACCGTTTATTATGAATAGTTAATGATTTTATATATGCATTCTTTATTATTTAGAGTTTAATTGATTAAGTTACGATAAATATTTACTTGTATTGTCTATCTATCTTCTACTACCGTATTTACTTCGTAAATGCTTTTCGATATCCTTCTTATGTAATCTAAACAACAACATCGTTGCTCTAGCATCTTCCACAGAAGAATGAGCTGCCCCTTGAATATCAATCTTTAAAAAATGTTCAGCCAATTTCTTCAAGCTTGGAATTCTACCACCCGCAATCTCTCTAAAGGGAGGATATTGAGTAGTATCCCTAATCATTGCGTGTGGATGGGATAAAAACAATGATTCCAAATCATGATGAACCGCATGTCCAACTAAAATCTTACCTTCCAACACATCAGCAGTTTTCTTTTGTGCTTCTTCAAAACTAATGGCATCCTTCATATTTCGAGGACTTACACCACTCACCCAAGTTCTCCAATCAGTGACTCGTTCCCTTGGTTTCACAAACTCATCAAATATGACATGTCCATAATAATTCACGATCGAGATTCTAGCCAATGCGGATTCTTCTCCTTCTGGACCCACACCGACAAATTCACAGTCTATTGCGATATATTTTCCTGGTTCTTTCTTTCGTGAGTCTGTTCCCTGAGGCGATAAAGATATGGCTTTTAATGATTCCGGAAGATCTGAAATTGAGATATTGTTTTCCTTTGTCCAGAGAGCATATTCTATAGGTGTGACTGTTTTCTTAATTGTAGCTGTTTCTGATGGGACTTTAAAGACTGACACAAGATATTTGGCCTGCTTTTTTGGGGGGTCAGGCTTGGTTTTTGCTTTTGTATTGGTCGTCTTCTTGTTTTTGGGTTTCGTTACTTTCCCATTTTCTTTATTTATCTTGGAGCTTAATTTCTTCCAATTCAGTGATAATGCCGACATCGTTATGTAAGGTTGTTTCAGAAGGAGTTGATCTGGCTATTTGATTTATGCCATCGCCAAATATTATTTCGTTCCATCGCTTTCTTTTTATCAATTTTTCCGAAACTGCTTAAAAAATAAATTATATCACAAAGACAATAATTTTTTACAATTTATAAAATGGTTGCGAAAACGAAGATGGACGTTTAGAATTTAGTTTATCCTATAAATCCATAATACTCTATCTATATACAGCCTTACCTAGATCCCAACGCTTGAGAAATTATACACCTGTAAAACCCATTTCAATTTCTCCATAATCTCTTTACATTCATCATCGCTCATTGCCACCAAATGAAACTTCTTCATACTAGCATCCTTCCCACCACCACCTCCACCACCAGCATTATCACCCATTGGCAGACTCGCAACCACGATCCGGAAATAATTCAGCGGTTTGGTATATCGTTTCAACTTCGCAATTTGAGTGACATGAAACGAATATGTCTTGGAGGACAGTTGTTTACTGTGTGATTTATGTCCCAAATGATGAGGGAAATGGGTAGTTGCCGTCGTGGCATCATTCACAGAATCCATAGGGTTTCGAAGTTCGAAATCATCAGGTGGAGTGAGATGGATATAATCCCCATCAATGATGAAATTCTTTTCACTGAAATTTTTGATTTTCATCCTACTATTATTCTTGAAGACTCTCCATTTGAAGTAAACTGTATTGATGTTGGTAGGGAGTTGGGGGTTGTTACCTAATAATATATCATCAAGGTATTTATTAGCTTTGATTGCCTTTTTTATAGCTTTGGACGATGAATTCGACTCAACACGGCGTTGCTTAATATCAGGTCGCTTGGATGCTGCTGCTGGCTCTAGTTTCAATTGATTCATATTCTCATCAAGACGATCAGCACCCATGGGAGTGATCATGGGTGCTTCGGAAGGAGTTATATTGTTATCCAAAACCAGTGCAGTATTATCAAGAATCAGATTTAGTTTATTTTCCAACCGTATCAACTCCATTGTTTTCAGTTTTAATCCAGATGCTTTCTCTACATCTTTCAAATATCGATTTCTTCCAGTTTGTGGGTCCATTTGTCTAAATCTATATCTTGTAGTTATTAATCCATGCAGAATACAAAATTCCCTTAATACTTGGGCCATATTATAATTATGTGGTACCTTAAATTGAACTTTTTCTGGAATGGAATCATCATATTCAACTACATTTATGCATAATTCTATTTGTTCTTGTCCGTCATCGTCATCATCATAATCATCCTCATTTTCCATAATTTGATTAATACTATATCTTTTCCGTTGGAATGCATGTAAGCTTTGTTTCAATTCAGTTGGCAATGGTGAAATAGTATCATTCTTGGTGATTTCACCTCCATCAGTAATTCGACAAATTGCCAATTCCTTCGGATTATTATATGTGGAGAATATTCTTGTTCTATCCAATACACCAAATGATCCATAGTTTTCTCCATCTTCATCCACGAGTTCCAATCGCCAATAATTTGGATTTAGATATGTGAGGTCGGTGATATTGTTGAATTCGGGTAATTTATATAGGCTTAGGAGAATGAATCCAATACAATCAAATATGGAAACTGTGTTGTTTATATTTAAATCTTTCATGACCGGTATGGTATTTGGTGGAACAAAGATATCTACTGATGACCGGTGACTACGATTAGTATCAAGATTTGGATCAACAAATGCAAAATAATGTAATGGATTGACATTAGGAGATTTAAATTTGGCTTGAATTAAAGAACTTAAATTAGATTCAGTATTCTCAGTACGACGAACAGGCTCAACTTTTTCAAATTGCAATACCGGTTTTTTCATGGATAGGGTGGATTTTGAATTCATTGTAGTAGATACTTGCAATTTCATTGATGCTTCATTGGCACCTATATCTTTCGGCACCGTATGCTGTTCAAAAGACTCTCCAACCATCCCTCTTAACTTCTTCTTTCTTGAACGCTTAGAGTTGCTAGCAGGCCCGCCTCCAAAACTGGAAATATTGCTACTGCCCTGATTGCCAAATGAAACACTTTCCCCATTTTCATTAAATGAATCCATAAGTGAAGAATCAATCATTGAATCATTATCAATATCAGTAAATCCGGAATCATACGTGAAATCACCAGATTCATCACTATCATATACATCGTCATCATCATATTCTTCTTGTATATCAAGTTCAGTAGTATCAGCATATTCTTCCCCGCCTTCCGAGTCTTCAGACATCAAGATAGTTCCAGTATAATTATGAACTACATTGCCACTTGCATTAACAGGTACTCCAAAGTCGCTATCTATTGTAATAGTATCTGAATTATCTTTGTTATTTGTTCTTCCTCTTTTATTAATTTTCTCTTCTACCTCTGGCTCTGTTATTTCAGCATTATCAATAGATTCTGTATCATGTCCAGGTGATGTAACCATAATATGAGCAAGTTTCTTCGTTTCACTATCACTATCAGAATCGACATCTGAAGTTCTGTCCTTTGATTGAAAGAATTTAACAATTGGGATTCTTGACTTTGATTTTGGTCTATTTTTTCTCGTTTTTGTATAATTTAAACCAAAATTATTATTCTTTTGAATACTTGCTGTTGAAGAATCATCACTTTCAAGTTCTCGATCTGGTTCTACTATGGGGCTTAATTCTCGTTCTGTACTTGAACCATTATTGTTATTATCCAGATCGGGTTCAGTCTCATTAGTGTTGATTATAGGAATCTTTGGAAGGGGGGCATGTTTTAAAAGTTTACGTTTTGATTTCTGTCGTATTATTCTTGATTGATTCTTGCCCAAAGTCTTCTGTAAATGTCTTGAAATTTCAAATGTAATTGGAGGAGATTCAGATAGTTGTCCTTTAGTTGTTGTTGTTAAAGTTGGAATGTTTCTATCTAGAGGTTGTTGTTTGATTATTCTTTTGGTATATCCAGAGTTATCATCATTATCAAGTGCCAAATAAGTCGTTCGTAAGTGTCGTAGAAGTGTTGTTCTATCTAATGGAAATGCCATTGTTTATGTATATATGTTAAGTATATCTATCACTTTAATCTAACTACTTAAATTTGACAGTAAACCCAATTTGGTTGTAAAAAAAAATTGACAACCGACAAAACTTATAATTAAAAAGGGTGAAACAAAGAAAAATACGAAATCAAAATTAGATAGAACCGAGAGATAAGTTAGTAATGTATAAATGGATAAAAACATAATAGCACCCCAATATATAAACCAATACACTTCCAATCCCATCACTCGTATCGATTAGTCTCATATAAAGAGAGATTCCTCTTACTACCTTTTGCTTTTAGTGTATTTACAGTCTTATAAGTTTATAAGATTAGATAAACTTCCTTAATTCACCAGGTACTTTACAAACGTAACGAACACGTGATCTAAGTGGATTACGTAATAGAATATAAGAACAATTACGTAATAAATAATAATAATAATAATAAATCCCCCTTTATAAACAGAACAATACATTTCAATTAAATTCAATATTAATTATTCTTTCATTCCCACCCCCCGCCAATATCCCTTTTTAATTCAATAAAACATACGTATTACAATTCACACAGGGGGAGGAAGCACTTTTTACATATTAAATCAATCCCCAAACTTAATCATCATTCTTACATAAGTTGGTTATTGGATAAAGAGATCAATTGAAAATTGAATAAACGTTTACTGTATATTCTTTTTGGACAAGAAAAAAAAATCACTTAAATTTACACTTCAAATTTAATCTGAAATCATCATTCTTTCCATCATTCAGCAAGTATTACAGGTGGTAGTTAGTTACTGGGTAATGCTAAAGTAAAATTCTATAGAAAATCGTCATGACTACTTCCAATTTATTGCATTTACATAATGAAAATGACAGCACTAGTAGCTACAATGGTTCTAGTTTACATGAAGAACTTACACCTGATTTAGATGACATATATAATTCATACATGATGAAGAGTGCTAGTATAGAAACATTAGACTCACGAAGAAACCAACAACCGTCACCGTTTCTGCAACAACAACAACAACAAGAACTCCGTCAACAAATTTTTAATCAGAACCTACCTGAAATTCATATATCTTCACGCTTATCTTCACTAGGCTTATCAAATGGTGACAAAGTAACAAGAAGCGCTCCCACAACTCCCAAATCCGGAAATTCATTCGATTTTCGTCCTAGAAGAACATACAACACCCATGCAGCAACAAATTCAAGTTTAAATGTCGTATTGGATTTACCATCTGAGGGATCCAATTTTCAAGCTTCTACAGACACGCTTCTGTCGTCTTCAATAGATGACGGAATACCTCTTTCTAGAGAATTACAACAAGAACAGGATGAATGGGCAAAGAAAGGAGAAGCGGTTAAAGCAATCAAAGAAGGTGAAGATGTCAAAATCATAAGAAGAACAGTTAATGATTTCAAATTTGGTAAGGCATTAGGGGAAGGTTCATATTCAACTGTTGTTTTAGCCACAGATAAAAACACCAGTAAACAATATGCTGTCAAGATTCTAGATAAACGACATATAATTAAAGAGAAAAAGGTTAAATATGTCAATATTGAAAAACATGCATTGAATAGATTAAGAAATAGAACAGGAATAATCTCATTATATTTCACTTTTCAAGATAAAGATTCTTTATATTTTGTATTGGATTATGCATCAAATGGAGAATTATTAACTTTAATCAAAAATAACGGAACGTTGAACCAAGATTGTGCAAGACATTTTGGAGCTCAAATCTTAGATGCAATAAAATATATGCATGACAACGGTGTCATACATCGTGATATAAAACCAGAAAATATACTATTAGATCATAAAATGAGAATTCAAATCACTGATTTTGGAACTGCCAGGTTATTGGAAAAGAAAGATGACACAAGCGAAGAATATCCAGTTGATGTAAGAGCAAAATCATTTGTCGGAACAGCAGAATATGTCTCCCCAGAGCTATTAGAAAGTAAATACTGTGGGAAACCAGGTGATATTTGGGCATTTGGATGTATATTATATCAAATGATTGCAGGAAAACCTCCTTTCAAAGCACCGAATGAATATTTAACTTTTCAAAAGATTACTAAATTGCAATATGCATTTTCCGCTGGATTCCCCAGCGTTCTTCGTGATCTAATTAAGAAAATTTTGGTTTTACAACCTGCTAAAAGAGTAACTATTCCTGAAATTCAAAAACATTATTTCTTTCAGACTATCGAGTTTGATGATTTTGATCTGATTTGGGAAAAAGAACCTCCTGAAATTGGACCTTATAAAATGAGTGCCGAATCAATGATGAAAGTCCCAGAATTAAATAAAACACCCACATCGACCGTGGTTATGATTCCAAGAAGGAAACAGCAAGCATCCAAGAAGACGAACAACGCCAACAACAATGCCAGCACCCCAGAAAGACCTCCAATGTTCTCAAAAGCAAGCACCGGACCCGTGGATGCAGTATCCGTTGCAGCATTCGTATTAAATAAATCCCAAGCTCCAGATCAAGCCCCTTCCCAAGATACAGAACCTTCAAACACCTCACCGGATTCAGCAACACCTGACCAAACAAGAACTAGTAGTTCAAAGAGACAACCGGATTATATTCCAGGTACGAACATCTTACGACCACAAGTGAATACCAGAAGGACATTTTCACGACAACCCAATGCAACTCCCACCAATTCGACACCTTCTTCCAATAGACAGAAAAGATCGTCAACATCAAGACCAAAATCCAAAGTCATGGAAATCACGCCAGCCACAGCGGTCGAAGCTGCATGGGCATCATATTTGAATCACCCGGATGAAAGAGTCCTTAGAATCGGTCCCGTGATTGTGCACAAAGAACCCACAGATGCTTTTGAAAAGAAACATAAGGGGATGTTACATGCTTCTCCATTGGATTTGAGCAATAATCTGAAACTCAGATCTGGAACGAGTTTATTATCCCAAATGGTGAATGGACAGCAACTGCATAATAATTTGTCAAGTAATGGATATAGGAATGAATCGATTGCGATATTTGACTATTATGATGTTGCCGAGAATGGTCTTAAGAGAAATGGAAGCAAAAAGGATAATAAGAGCTCAAGTGGGAGTAGTAGGGATGACACGGCATCACTGGGAAGTGGTGGGAAGATTACTAGATCGTCATTGTTTAGGAAGTTTGGTTTTAGTCATGGTGGCGATAAGAAGGATGAAGGTTCTTCTGATTCTAAATCACATGATTTATTGGAGAAGCCGAGAACATGTACTTTAATTGTGACTACTCATGGAAGAGCTTTGTTGTTTTATAGGCCAGAGAAAGAAGCTAATTATAAATTAATACTGGAAATTAAGTTGAAATATCCATTCATTCATTTCCAAGAATTAGTTACTTCAAAATACCAAAAATCTCTACCAACAACAGGAATATTTGTTATTAGTTCAATGCAAACTTGTTTTGTATGTGAAGTTGAAAGTAGCGAAATCAATAGATGGACAGAATCACTTACGAAATCAAAGGTAAATGAATTGGAAAGAGTTAAAGAAACACAACCTCAACAACAAGACCCTACTCCACCAGCATCTTCTTCACCTGGCAAGAAAACGCCCAGCCCATCTCCTAAACCCGTCCAATCTCCGAAATTCACCGCTAGCCCACAACAACAACAACAACCGGCAACCCCCAACGTCCCCAGTGCTTCCCACCGTAGATCTCCAGAGTTGATATCAATGCACAAACGAGCATCCCACGAAGTAAAACGAAAACCACCACCTCCAGTCACATCGTCCCCAGAACTAAATATCCACACAGGATTACCATCAACCTCAGAAGATAGCGGTTGGTTACATGCCGCACAATTGGCAGTCTCAAATAATACTGCCCAAGGTGTTCCGCCTACGAATAATAGACGGACGAGTTATAAACGAGAGGATACGACAAATAGGGGACATGTCCAAAAGGCGAATCCGAGTGCTGGTGGGAATTCCGCTGGGATAACGTCGCTTAATTCGAAGTTTTTGGCTAGAAGTCAAAGAAATAGATAAAGTTTAAGTTAAGGCATATTTGTTATTTATTTTTTGCATTAATTAGTGTATATACGTGAATACATACATATTATCATTCGTTCACAAGTTTTCTCAGCAACTAATATTTACAAATTTAATTTTTTAGCGAGCCAAAAAACAGTCACGTTGACACGTGATTATTGGACTGCTTTTTTTCCTGATCTTGGGTCTGGAACCCTAATGCCCTGTCTATATACAGTCCCATACATTAAATTTTTTCTCTCTCTGTTTGTTTGGTACACCAAAACTCTTTTCTCCTCCCTTTGAGGTTCCCTCAGATTTTTCAATAAAAAAAAAATTTCAGAAATTGTAATTGAATAAGGTTTACTTTAACATCACATCTATATACATACAAAATGGCTAAATTCATTAAATCAGGTAAAGTTGGTATGTAACTAACACGAATCACACACCAACTGGATTGGAATTATTGTTATTGGAGAGGATAGAGGCGAATTATGATGTCAAATTTTGGGGATGTAGTGAAAAGAGAGTGAAGAGACATGACGATTTGAAATGAGAATTTAAATGTACAATCTACGCAAAGATTTACCTATTCAAAGGATAAGAGATGTATCAGGAAAGAGAAGAGATTCATATCTTGAATGTATCAACGACTACCTTTTCAACCACAATTAAATCAAGATGGGATTATTGAAGTCGTACTACCATTATGAATCCATCACAAAAATTTTTCAACCTACCAGGAACTACACTAAATATACTACAGATCAACCATAAGGATACATACAAGTACAGCGCCATTCGGGTCTCTTATATTGTGGATATTCTCCGGACCCCTAACCCCTAACATAAGGAACAATATTGAAAATCCATCACTATATGAAAAAGACAATATACTAACATTTTTATTCTAGCTATTGTTGTTCGTGGTCGTTTCGCCGGTAAGAAGGTCGTCATTGTCAAGCCACACGATGAAGGTACCAAGTCCCACCCATTCCCACACGCCATTGTTGTTGGTGTTGAAAGAAACCCATTAAAGGTCACCAAGAACTTGGGTGCTAAGAAGACTGCTAAGAGAACCAAGGTTAAGCCATTTGTTAAATTAGTCAACTACAACCACTTGATGCCAACTAGATACTCTTTAGATGTCGAATCTTTCAAGTCTGCTGTTACTTCTGAATCTTTACAAGAACCATCCCAAAGAGAAGAAGCTAAGAAGGTTGTTAAGAAGGCTTTAGAAGAAAAACACCAAGCTGGTAAGAACAAATGGTTCTTCCAAAAATTACACTTTTAAACAAGATTTTGTTATATTCTCTGTACTGTACTTAATAGTTTAGTTTTTTAATGGTTATATTATGGGTTTATATAAAGTCTTTTTAAAGCAAACAAAAAATCAAACATCATACGAAAAATAAATAAAAGCTTAATTTATATATTTATATGTTTATGAGAAGATTGAGCCGAGACTTTTATATATTACATCAATGTTACGTTTGTATTTATAAAAAGTGTTCTATACTATTCAATCTTGTAGACTAACTTAGTCCTCGTAAATCCATACTGCCCACTGAAAAGTTTTGGCCGATGCGAAACACTGGCACTAATTTTTTTTTCACTGTTATCAATTCACTCGCCAAAAAAATTACATCTTCTGACTCATCTGATATTCAACCATCTTTTATAATATCAATCAGTATACACATAAATATAGATACAAATCATGTCAGTCGAAGAAGGAGTCCAAAAGCTAAAGCTCACCCCTGAAGAACACGAACAAAAAATTACTCCATGGGAAGTAGAAGGTGCAGTTGTTGATGGAAAACAACAAGGTATCGATTATGACAAATTAATTCAACAATTCGGAACCAAAGGTATTACTCCAGAAATGTTAGCCAGATTCAAATCGGTTACTGGACAAGAACCACATCCATTCTTAAAAAGAGGTGTTTTCTTTTCTGAAAGGGATTTAGGTAAGATCTTGGATTTATATGAACATGGTGAACCATTCTTTTTATATACTGGTAGAGGACCTTCAAGTGATTCTATGCATTTAGGTCATATGGTTCCATTTGTGTTTACTAGATGGTTACAAGAAGTATTCGATGTGCCTTTAGTTATTGAATTAACTGATGATGAAAAATTCTTATTTAAACAGAAATTAACCATTCCAGATGTTAAAGGATTTGCAATTGAAAACTGTAAAGATATTATCGCCGTTGGATTCAATCCTGAAAATACATTCATATTCTCAGATTTGGAATATATGGGAGGTGCATTCTATGAAAATGTCGTTAGAACCTCCAGACAAATCACAACATCAACCGCTAAAGCAGTGTTTGGATTCCAAGATTCAGATTGTATTGGAAAACTTCATTTCGCCAGTATTCAAATCGCAACCGCTTTCCCATCCTCATTCCCCGATGTATTGGGATTACCTGCCAAAACCCCATGTTTGATTCCTTGTGCCATTGATCAAGATCCATATTTCAGAGTGTGTAGAGATGTGGCTGATAAATTAAAATTCTCCAAACCAGCATTAATCCATGCTAAGTTCTTCCCAGCATTACAAGGTGCATCTACCAAGATGTCTGCTTCTGATACCACTACTTCGATTTATATGGGAGATACCGCAAAACAAATCCAAAAGAAGATTAATAAATATGCATTCTCAGGTGGTAGAGCCACTGCTGAAGAACACAGAGCTTTAGGAGGTAATCCTGATGTCGATGTTGCTTTCCAATATTTGTCATTCTTCTGTCATGACGACGAAAAGTTGAAGAGTTTGGAAGATGGTTATAGAAAGGGTGAAGTATTATCTGGAGAAATGAAGAAGGAATGTATTGAATTGTTACAAGAGTTTGTTGGAGCTTATCAAGAAAGAAGAAGTAAGGTTGATGATGAAGTTGTGAAATCATTTATGAAACCTCATAAATTGGTTTATGGTCAAAAGGAAAGAGTTGTTCCTGTTAAACCAAGAGAAAAGAAAGAAAAGAAATAGATAGAGAGATCTTATAATTACATAGACAATAATAATAATACATCTAATAAATCGTTTAATCTATATGTTCCTCTATAAAAAACTGCCAAAATCATATTTGAAAAAGTTTCTTTACATTTTCAATGACAAACAAACACTTTTCAAAATCACTCTCTTCTACTTCATCACCTCTCCCAAACCATCTTGATCCAATTGACAAAACTGTACTCTTTGGATGTTGTAATGCAATTAATTTTGCAATCTGGGAAGCCACGACTTGAATTTTCATATTTGCATGATCTCCAACCAAAAGCACAGGTTCAGGAATACCTACTGTTTCACCATCTAATTCCATCGATGAAGCATAGTTTATGGTTGCTTTTGTTGACATTGGGATTTCAAATGTTGTATCTATTATACCATTGGTATGAATTGATATTATTTGTTTATCAGCTAATTCTATTTTATGAAAGAAGAATTCTGTATTTGGATCATTTAGAAATTTCGTGGTGAATGATTTACTAAATCCTGTTGGATCTTGAGTTATGGAAAGTTCACTACTCATTCTAGTTGTTATTAAGTGACCAAATGATGAAGCTCAGTAAATCAACATTATCTAAACAGATTTTTTTCTCTCATACAAAAGCAACTTAAGAATTTTTGATGGTCAGAATGGACAGTGTTGAATTGGATAGAAATAATGCCTAGATGATTAATCAATAATCTGGTGATATATGAAACTGCAACCCCCCAGTTCCTTCCATAGTCACATGATTGAGTTTGTAATTCAATATCTAGATCTCATATGCAATATTAATGAGATTGACGCATGCTGCCAATCTTAATTTAAGTAATGATTAAGCTAAACTAACCTATCACAGGAAAACTAAGCTTTTATAGATGTGGAGAGAGAGAGAGTCATGTAAGTATTAGGTCATTAGAACGTTATATCCTCGATGCAACATATTAACGAAATCTTGTGAGGAGCTGCTTCTGCAATTCCAATACAACTCTAGTTATAATAAAGTCGGAAGCAAATTTTCCAGGTCGTTCATCCGCTCTTTACCCATTTGATGCTCTCAGCTTAGGTCAGAAGAGTCAGAGTTTTAATCATAGAAATATATTGGTGTGTCTCGGATATTGGTTAAAATCTCTTCGGTTTCGGAAATACCAAGAATGTGAGATATTTGAACAAAGAGAAATAAAGGGTCTAGGATGCAGGCTCATACAACCGAGGAACAAACAACTGGTAGTACAAGCGATGAGCTTATAATTATGCAGATCTCGGTGCTCCTATCCGAGATGACCAATTCAACTGATTTTTAGTATGTAACATTTAAGTCATGAATGTGTCATAGTAATAGCTTACATATGACATAATTATTAATAAGATTTCAAAGGGCACAAAATCAAATGCTTAATAATTAATTACTCACACCACTTTTTTATAAAGTTACAAATAATAATCTCAAATCATTTTTTTCTGTCTGCTATTTCTTTTTTTTCAATTCATTCCATCATTCTTAATCCGTTCATTTTCCCCAGTGAATTTTTCAACGTTTTTGCAATTTCCAACAACCTACTTAATTATTCAACAGCCCCCAAGCACCTCCAAACACCGCCCAATACTCCAATTTAAGGCTAACGTACAATTACATAGCTTAATATATATAGACAGATAGACTCCCGCCAAACCCAAACCAATAAGAAATGACTAATAATATTTTTACCCCCATCCCAGAAGCATTGGAAGCATTCAAGAATGGTGAATTCTTAGTAGTAATGGATGACGAAGATCGTGAAAACGAAGGTGACTTAATAATCGCTGCTGAGTTTACAACTCAAGAGAAAATGGCATTCTTAGTCCGTTATTCTTCCGGATATGTATGTATGCCATTATCAACTGAACGAGCTGATGCATTGAATTTGCATCCTATGATAGAAGGACAATTTGATAGACATGGAACTGCATATACTGTCACTTGTGATTATGCTCATGGAACTACTACTGGTATCTCAGCACATGATAGAGCATTGACGGCTAGAAAATTGGCTTCTCCAGATTCTAAACCAGAAGATTTCATTAGACCGGGACATGTATTACCTTTAAGAGCCGTTCCTGGATTGTTGAAAAAAAGAAGAGGTCATACTGAAGCTGCAGTTCAATTATGTGAATTGACAGGATTACAACCTGCTGCTGTTATTTGTGAAATCGTGCGAGATGAAGATGGTTTAATGATGAGATTGGATGATTGTGTGAAATTCTCAAAAGAACATAATGTGAAAATCATCAATATTAAACAATTGGTTGAGTACATTTCATAGAGAGAGAAAGAGAGGTATAACAACGTTCATAAACAACAAACAATACTTAATTAAAATAATATAATTTATAAAATTTATCGTACAAACCCTATGTATAAATACATAACATAATTTATTTATCAGCCATTTACTTCAACATTAATTGAGCTTTTCTCTTCCCACTAACATCATCTTTAACTGATTTAACATCCACAACTACCTTATCAAAAACAGCAACTTTTCTCTCTTTTCCATTCAAATCAGTAAATGTTAATTCATATTTATCTTCATCATAATTTGCCGAATTAACATCTCCCATAGTCTCCAATTTGATCAACCCTTCAATACCAAACTTCGGTACCAATACAACAACACCATTATTAAAACATTTAATGACATATCCTTCATGTTCAGACTCATTATTTCTCATAACTTGTCCAACATAATATTCAATCGATGATCTACCTGCAAATTGTGCATTTCTATGACGTCTATTAATATTCTTAACAATCATTTCCATCTTTTGTTTATCTCTATGACTTAAATCAAGATTCTCATATCCTATAGCACCTGCCAATTGTCTATGGGCAACCACATCACAATAACGTCTAATTGGAGATGTGAAATGGGTATAGATATCAACTGCTAATCCATAATGTCTAAATTCAGGATATCCATAAGACCCAGCCGGGAAATACTCGGCAGCCATCATACATCTGGTCGACATGATACGCACCAATGTATTGAAATATGGATCATTTGGATCTTCACATCTATCAAGTGAATCAGCTAATGCTTTGGAAGATTCTAAAGAAATTGACATCCCATTCTTACGGACATGTAACATATCATTCAAAACTTCGAAATTTGTAGCTGGTGGAGGTGCATGTCTTCTCAACATTGCTGTTTGGGGATATGCGTCATATATCTTCCTTGCGACAGAAATATTGGCAAACAACATGAATTCTTCCACAAGCGAATTGGTTTCTAATAATTTCTTAATTTCAACTTCTTGTGGATCACTGGTTTCACTGTCCATGTGAACTTTAACTTCTGGACTGGCAAGATTTAATGCACCGGCATCTAATCTCTTTTGTTTTAATTTTTTGGAAAGTTTTAATAAGATTCTCATTGATTCGGTTAATTCATCAGTTTGAGCAGGATCATCAATTCGTAATTGCGCTTGTTCATAAGAAAATGCAAAACGGGATTTAATTATTGATTTCATGAATTTAACATTCACAATATCGGCATTTTCATTCACTTCCCAAATCACCGAAAAGGCAAACCTATCAACAAATGGTTTAAGTGAACAAAGATTCGTACCTAACAACATAGGTAACATATCAATTCTCTTATCAACCAAATAAACTGAAGTACCTCTAGAAGCACCTTCTTGATCTAAAGCCGTATTTGCCTTAACGAAATGAGTAACATCAGCAATATGGACCCCAACTTCATAATTCCCATTTGGCAATTTCATAGCATGTAAAGCATCATCAATATCCACACAACTTGGAGGATCAATTGAACAAACTAATTTATCTCTCAAATCAACTCTTTTCTTCAATTGAGGATCATCAGTATTCGTAATATCTGGAACAACCCAATTATCACCTTCTTTAGGTAAACAATCCAAAACATTCTTTGAAAATGGACGATATTCAACATCATGTTCTAATAATAATGCTTCAGTTTCAGCTTCAGCACTTTCAATCTCCCCCAATGATCTAACGAAATGTCCATTTGGATAACGTGAATTACTTGGCCATGAATCAACAACTACAACAATCCGTTTCCCTAAATATTCTTTTGCCTTTCTTGTCCTAATTCGAATCTTGGGTAAGACTTTATCCATCAATATGACAAAACAACTCTTGGTTGCATGTCCAGTATCTTGTTCACTAACTGATGAAGGGGCAATTTGTCCAACATAATATCTCCATGATCTCCTCATTATACCGACGATTTTCGCAGTTGGTTGAAGTCTCTTTTCATCACCTTCTCCAATTTTGGCACCCGTGGCTTTCATGGCCTCTTGGGCCAATAAAATCCTTTCTTTATCTGAAACAACTCCCGCAGTGGTAGTGGATTCTTCGGCTTCTTCTTCGTCACCGGCATTGTCATTGGCTCCAATGGCACTTTCTTCAATGATTGTAGTTGAAGGTTCTTTCCATTTATCTTTTGGTAATAATTCAACAATAACAGAATCGGAATTAAAAGCACGATTCAAATTCTTAGATCCAATAATTAATAATGGTTTCTTGAATGCTGCAACACTAACAGTACCTTGTAAATAATTATACGAAGAAATATTCAACATCCCTTGATATAATGTTCCATTCTTAATCCCGGCCATAATTCTTGCTTGGGAATAATATTCTGGGAATGAAGTTTCATCTTCTCCACCCTTTTCGAATGATTGTTGTTGTTGTCCTGATAAATCCAGTGGAATCAAATCTCTTAAATCATCGGCATTTGGTAAATCATCAATATATTCAGGTAAAGATCTAGCATCCAATCCTTCTTGTCTAGCCTTAGTACGATTGGCAACATCATTACAAATGAATATAATGTTGATTTTATTAGTTGAATTATGGTCATTTAAATGATTATCATACCAAGAAGCAACTTTTCTAATTGCATGATCATTTCTATCATTAATTGATTGATTTTTTTCTCGATTAACATATGTAGCTTCATTATATTCATTATGAAAAACAACAAATCTCTTATCTTCAGATTTAACCAAATTTCTCACTCTTTGATAGATTGGAAATGATCTATTTCTAACCTCTTCCAAAACAGTTTGAGGAATAATTACATCATAAAAACATTGAATATTTTCCAATAAATCAATCGCATGTAAGATAATATTGGTATCCAACACAAGATAATGACTCAATCCACTACTTGTCTTGGTTGGAGTTGGGGATAAGATAAACTTAGGCAATTCTCCATTTGAATCAGGTTTAATTATCTCTTGACATTTCTGACATGCGTGTGAATAACATGGAATATCGTTCCGTAAATAATGTTCACGAACAATCTTTAATGCATTCCCATTTCTTGATCTAACAAATACTTTGGATGTCACACTCAATCCACTTGATAGTCTCTTCCTATTATTTGCAACTACTGTCATAATTGGGTCTATGTGGTTTGGTTGATGGGTTTGGTTGTAAAAGAACGGCAGCCATCGCATATTTAACAAGATGAGTAAGAATTTTCTTAGAGAAAAAGATTATGAGCCGCACACACCTAAAAAAACTCACATCCTGCATATAAATTAAGCTGCAAAAAAAGTCTATCTTCTATAACCTCTATGTAAACGTTCATCAACATTGGAATAATATGAATCAGGAGGTGATGATATATTACTATGATTATGATGATTATAATTATGCGTAATTCTATAAATTGGTGATGACGCCTTTCTTTTGGGATTATTATTATTTCTTTCTTGAAATGATTGTTGATCAAAAGATGGTGATTTAAGAATACTATAAAAACTGTCATTCGATCCAGAAGTTGTACTTGTTGTAGGAATAGGATATGCTGAAGTTGTAGGCAAGAATACCAGTGACCCTATTTGTCCATATAACACATTGTGCTCCTCCTCTTCCACCTCATCCTCCACTTCTTCTTCATCATCAGGAGACATCCCATTCGGATCTAGATTCATATAATCATATCTCGCAAACGTCACCCCTCCATTTCTTCTAAATTCACTATCATGTAAGTTTGGATGTATGATAGGATTCGCATATACTGCTGGATTTTGTAAACTTCGATGATTATAATTCGATCCAATAGGGGGGATAACTATAGTATTCACAGCTGACATTGGCATCATCATTGGCGACAATAATCCTGCTGATGCTGATGTTGTTGCTGCTGCTTGATAATTTATTTGTTCATCTCGTAATTGGGCAAAATATGTATCTCTTCTATTTAATGAATTTCGAGTATTGTTTATTTCACCTAATGTATCTTGTCTTATCTTGATTGAGTTTGATCTTCGGGTAGGATATAGACTATTTGTATATATGGTGCCTGACCTGACAATTTCATTATTATTTGAACCAGGTGAAGGTTTTATACTTCTAAATCTTGCCTGGGGAGAATGTGGTGACGAAGACGAAGGACGAGGAGGATGAAGTGCAAGAGTAGGATATGGTCCTCCTGGACGACCATTATTGGTTATTGGACTACTTATTGATTGTTTTAAAGATTCTCGTTGTTGTAATTTTTCCGAATTTCGTGAAAATCCTTTCAAAAATTTAAATAACCTAAATCGTTTCTTTTTGGCATGTTTTGATGATTGTATTGTACTACTACTCGTTGATTCAAATGACTGAACACTTCTGAAAGGTTTTAATGGGACTGTTTTAAATAATCCTGAATTTGTTTCTTGTTGTTTTATATATGATTGTTGTGGGAGGTGGTTGGTGAAATTATCTAGTTTGTGGCGGCTATCTATTGATATTAAATTTTGTCTGCGATTAAATAATGGGGGATATCTGCTAATTAAATTCGGATCTCTCAATTCTTCAAGAGTTGCAACGTCAATGGTATTTGATTCTAGTCGTATTGAATTATTCATTATTGGTGTTGTCGTTTTGATAATGAAATTATAGTTGCAAAAATTGATATTTTCTTTTTTGTAAACTAAAATCATCTTTTTTAGCAGCCAAAAGAATTAGGAAATAATAAGTCACGTGATCCAAGTTTGTCCAATTAAAAAGATTTATTTCGCTTTTGCGACTAGAAAAAACTTCAACATAAAAAAACCGGTGAAAAATTATTCATATCAAAAACAGTTCAAGTTTATCCTTTCTATCTAAACACATAATATATATATAAAAAATGGGTGCTGCTTATACTATTCTCGGTAGAACTGTCCAACCACATCAATTAGCCATTGCTACTTTATTAGGTGTTGTTTTCATTGCTGTTCCAAAACCATGGGCTCCAGCTGCTCCAGCTCCAACTCCATCCATTAATGCCTCTTCTCCAGAAGAAGAAAAGTTCATTAAGGAATACTTGGCTAAACACTTGGCTGAAGAAAAGCACTAAATATCATGAAAACTATGCAAAGAATGAATGTTGTTAGTATACACCTTATAGATTTGTTTTGAATGTGTATTTACGTTAATCATATTGGCCCTTTTTATGCAAAGAAGGGTTTCGTTTTATTTATTTATTGTTTTTTTTATGAAATATCAACCTAAGGGAGGAATGTCTGAGTTGTTTGATTTGAAAGAGAATGAACTAGAGCTTGATATTTTGGATTATTTGAGAAATCAGATTAATCTCCCCAATACATTCTTCCCACCCACACACAGTATACATATGTATATGTTTCTTTAGTTCATTAAAATCATTTCAACCTTTTTAGATTTGAATATATATTTACTTGTACAGTAGAGCAATGAAAGTAGATTTTAGCATCTATTGGAGTGATCTCCTTATCTCTAAGAAAATGTTGTCCGGGTAACAGTCTTTATATTTTTTCGAGGTTTTGAAAAATTTGGAGTGCGATGATCTTCTAAGATTTTAAAAAAAATTATCAAGCGAAGAGCTCATCTTCAAAAAGATTAAAGCAAGATCATCAAACGCCAACTATGTCAGCTATTTATAAAGCATTACAATCCAAATCTTCCAAGGATACTTCCGAAAAAGCCAAACACATAAATAGACAAAGATTATTAGTGATATCATCCCGTGGGATCACTTATCGTCATCGTCATTTAATTAGTGATTTATTACAATTATTACCTCATGCTAGAAAGGAACCAAAATTTGATTCTAAAAAGAATTTACATCAATTAAATGAAGTTGCAGAATTATATAATTGTAATAATATTTTCTTTTTTGAATGTAGAAAACATCAAGATTTATATTTATGGATTACAAAACCACCAAATGGTCCAACATTTAAATTTCATATTCAAAATTTACATACATTAAATGAATTAAATTTTACTGGAAATTGTTTAAAAGGTTCAAGACCAATTTTAAGTTTTGATAAAAGTTTTTTAGAAAATGATCATTTTAAATTATTAAAAGAAATATTTATTCATACTTTTGGTGTACCACCAAATGCTAGAAAATCAAAACCATTTATTGATCATGTTATGACATTTTCAATTGTTGATGGGAAAATTTGGATTAGAAATTATCAAATTAATGAAACTGAACAAATTAAAGAATCTGAAGGTAGTGATGATAGTATTAATCCAGAAGAATTTAATTTAGTTGAAATTGGTCCAAGAATGGTTTTAACTTTAATTACTATTTTAGAAGGTTCATTTGGTGGACCAAAGATTTATGAAAATAAAGAATATGTTTCTCCTAATTTCGTTAGAGCTCAAGTTAAACAGCAATCAGCTGAGCAAGCTAGATCTAGATCTGATGCTGCATTGGAAAGAAAGATTAAGAAGAGAAGTCAAGTGTTGAAAGCTGATCCTTTATCTAATGATGCTTTATTTAAGGAATAATTAGGACAGGATAGTAGTTTTATAGAGAAGTAGTTTAGTGTATAATAAATTAAAAAACAGTTTTTAAATCAGAGTGATTGAATGTACTTAACCAGAATAGTTACTGAAGAGAAACGTTTCCAGTAAGTTTTTCATTTAAAGTGGAAGGAAAAATTTAGTGGCTGCAAAAAAAAAGGAGAAACCTATATCTAAGAAAGGGAAGAAACTTCCTTCGAAACATTTCTAGAATAATAATTAGAATATGGCATACTTACTAAACAAAGAACTAGAATCCTAACTTGACCCCTTAATTCGTCGTTAATCTTGGATTCAAGGGGGAGCAGCGAATATAAATTTTCTTAATATAGCCAAGCAATAATCAAAGAGAACAAGAGTAAGAGATGTCTTTTCAGGGGGTGGAGATGATGGATGCATATATTTACATGTAATGTACTACTGTAGTAAAAATATCACTTTACAAATTGGAGTCAATAAACAAAGTTTAAAATTCGAATTTGCAACCAAACAACAAAACCTGATTAAGCAATAGAAATTCTATTTTTGGAACCATCAGAAATGTATTTTTTTTTGGGGGAGTTTCTTTTTGGCTTCGTAGTTATAAAATGACGAGGCTGTGAATTATACATATTTTTTTACAATTCAATTGTAAACTAATATTTGATGGCGTGATTCAAAAGTATAAGAATGACAGTTAGGTGACTAATCAGATGTTCCCAATTTTTGAATTCAGTAAGCTAGCCCACGAGAGTGAAAAGTTTGCTTATAGAAATTGTACGCGTCCTAAATTAGTAGTAAATTTGCATTGTATTGGGTGTGCAGCTGGTTTTGAATATCAGAAAGGGGGTAATCAATCAGTTTACTTAATAAGGAGGGGCCATCTACTTTCTATTAGGGGTATATGTTGCATATTATTCAATCCGTCGTGATTTGGGATTCAAAGTATAAATTGGTCAAGTACCAAAAATAAAAATAAAGAGTTGTACACGTCAAAATCAAAAAAAGAAAAATTCATAACAATAGAAACTTAAACGTCACAAATCCATAGGTTCGCTTGCTTGAAATAATCAATTGTTTTCATTGTATTGTATTGTTTCTTTAGTATTTCTTTCAGATGATGCAATATTCCGTATGATTGGTAACTCTCTCAAAATATCCGTTAGTTGTCAAATGAAATATTAAAAATCAAATCAAATGAAATGAATTCAATTTAATTTTAATTTACAGTATGTCAAAAATTAATTAACGAAATTTGATTTAAAAAATAAATTTTAGATTTTGCTGTTTCTTTTTTTGGTTGTAAATTTAGACAATGAAAAAAAAGACTGCCCCCTTTCACTTTGTAAGTATTTTTGGTTTCATCATTTTTTTGTTTTCTTACTTTCTCTCTTTTACAATTAAATTATTAATTTAAACCAGAAACTGTAAAAATAAAATAAAATAAAACAAATCATTCCAGAATACTTTATTTAACAAGTAAATAAAAATAACAAAATAAAACTGAACTCCGCATCAGCCTTCTTCTTCCTTCCATTCTTTTAACTACTTACATTCTCACAATCTAAATATAGAAACATCCCTATACTTATTACTATTAGCTAATTATATTGACATCTTAATTAATTATCTGGTTAATTAATAAAATTCATTTAATTTAATTTAAGTTTAATTTGCTGGTTTTTTTGTTGTTGTACCTGCTTTCAAGACTTTACATTCACTTCATTATACATATTCATACACACGACACTCACACCTTTATACATTAACCTACCCACATTTCATTCACTCACTTTTTTTAATTTAAAGTTTTAAGTAATAATTTTCATATCAACTGATAAGTTTTAGTTAATTTCCAAATTAATCCATAAAGATGTATCAAACTAATAATTCAATACCTTATCATCTGGGTTCAAAAAAGAATAATTCACAAGAATCTTTTGATTTCTCACCAGTACCTTCACGTACTCATTTACAATCAGTACTTGATTCAAATAGTAATCTCAATAATAAATCAGATTCAACCTTATTTCATTATTATTCAAATAATACCCCAAAATCATCAAATACAAATAATAACAGTAGATTTGCTAGGGATTCCCGAAGAACTTCTACTCATGCCTACAACGCATCACAACATAGTTTCAACACAACACAACCTTTAGATGAACCACAAGGACCATTTGAAAATACTGCCATGTTATCTCATTCACACACTCCACGTCAATTTCAACAACAACAACAATATCCTGATGATGAATATGAAATGGTAAATCTAAATAATCGAGATTTACCTCCATTACCTCCACAACCACCACAATCTAATTCAACTTCATCATCGAATACATTAAATCCAAGAACTTACGATAATACTAATTTACAATCTCCAACTCCTTCAGATCCATTTAGTAATAAACATTTCTTTCAGCTGGAAAGTGATAAATTAGAAGAGGGAGAATTCTTTTCAGAAAATGAACGAGATCGTTTCCGTAGAAATGAATCAAATAGATTACAAACATTACGTTCAAAACCAAGATTTCATTGGACAAAATTACCATATTTCACAATTGTAATCACCACAATTCAAGTTGTTGTCTTCATTGTAGAATTAGTCAGAATGGCCCAATTAACAGGATCAGCATTCCAAACTGCTCCATACTTTAATCCAATGTTAGGTCCATCAACTTATTTATTCATAAATATGGGTGCAAGATATGTCCCATGTATGCATCAAGTTAAAGATGTTACCGATGATACTTCAATCTTATTTCCATGTCCAAATTCAACCACGGTGGATACTTATGTCTGTTCATTGAATGAATTATGTGGATTATCAGGACTTCCAATTGTTGATAATAAATATATTCCTGATCAATGGTATAGAATATTCATTCCGATTTTCTTACATGCCGGATTCTTACATATTATCTTCAATTTATTATTACAAGTTACAATGGGTGCTTCAATGGAACGTCATATTGGAATTTTAAAATATGCAGTCATTTATATCGCAAGTGGGATTGCTGGTTTCTTACTCGGGGCAAATTTTACTCCTGTGGGTATTGCATCCACCGGGGCCCTGGGGGCATTATTTGGAGTAGTGGCGACAAATATCATGTTATTTATCTTTACCGGGAAGAAAAACACCAACATGTATGGAACTAAACATTACACCTTATTCATCTGTATTATGATTGGAGAAATTGTCATATCTTTAGTACTTGGACTCCTACCAGGATTAGATAATTTCAGTCATATTGGAGGATTCGCCATGGGTATCTTATTAGCCATCCTATTATTAAAAGACCCATATTGGGTCTATATAGATGGGATTATAAGCTATAGATTAAATCCAAGTCTTTGGCAACAATTCCTCAATAATTGGAATCCATTATTTGCAAAAGAAGATAAAAAAAACACTCAATTTATAATCTGGTGTGCTGCAAGAGCTATAGCTCTCATTTTGGCAATTGTTTATTTTGTCGCCTTGGCTAAAAATTTCTTTGATTCTGATTTAGATCAGCTGAATAATTGTTCTTGGTGTAAATATATCAATTGTATTCCTGTACATGATTGGTGTGATATCGGACAGGTTACAGTCAGTCAACAACTGGGTACTGCAACTGCAACCACAAGTCCAACTGCGGTGTTATCAGATATGGAACCGGTGACAGCGACTACTGATCCAACTTTAACTACCACGACCGGGGTGGGTCAGGTCATAACTACAACCATCGTGACGCCATTGCCTACAAGTATCGAAAATCCAAATGCAGTAGATAGCGGCGATGATGGCAATAATAACCAGAAGAGAGATATTAATATAATTAAACAGAGTCATGTATTTGAACAACAAAAATTAATTCATAATAAACAAATTCAAGCGAATGGATTTGTGGAAGAACAAAATTTAGGTGGAGGGATATATATAATTATTGCTATGTTTACTTTTATGTTTTTGAAAAAGAAGAGATTGATATAGGATAGAAACAGGAAAGGGATTATTGTATATTGTATGTTTATGTACTTTTTTTATTATTTTGGGAAGATGGAATAGAGTTTTTGTATTTTATTATTTATAAGTTATTTGAAAGTATAGTTTGATTTTTCTTTCACCATGAGGATATGGGTGTGAATATGTAGATTTATTGATATAGACTAGGGAGATGTGATTATGAGAGAATGATGAGACGTATCTGCGGGTGAGAAACGGATTACGATAACTGACATAACATAATTCACGGACTTCATTTATGAGCTGTTTCGAAAATGGGTAAATTTATTCTATGTCAAAGCTCCAGGCACTCCNAGACTGCCAAACGAAAGATCGACCTTGTACGCCAGAGGGGGCTTGGTTTATCGGTTAGGAATACCCAGATCATATTCTTCTATGCTTGCAACTTAACTTCTTTTTTTTGCAACCAATTTATTTAAAATCCGGGTAATCTATGCTGTGAAATTCTTTACCGACACACGACCCAATATGGGAAGAAAAAAGTTTACTTAGCAAAATTTTTTTTTCAGATATCGATTGAAGCAAACTAGCAGTAGTTGGTATTGACTCTACGGGAATATACAATGTTCACATCGGTTATAAAACAAAGGACTCTCGTCTCCACTAAAGTACCTATAAGGTCATTTTCCAATACCACCTATACTTCCTCCTGGTTAGGTGATTTATTCGGAAAGAATAAACCAGTCACAAAGCAAAAGAAACAAGAAATCATTGAAAAACAAGATGAATTCATTGAAGAAGAAAAAGAAGGAGAAAGGATTACTATTTTAGGATATGAAAATTCAAAAGACATTGTGAAGCCAGGGCAAAGATTAAAAGGATTGAAGATTGTGCCTTGGAAAAGCAGACAAATTTCAACACAACAAGTTCCATTTAAATCTGATACATTATATAAGATTTTTAAACAAGTATATAAAGAAAACTTTTCAAAAGAGATTACTGAAGCTGATTTCCCAAACATCACTTTCCATGATTTTAATAAAAGATTAAGATTTGCAAATGCATTGCGTGTCAAATTAGGATTTGAAGTTAGTGATTATGTAATTTCTAAAGGTCATACATTGGAAGATTTCCATAGTGAATGTCAAAAATTCTTGGAAAGCAAACGTGGAAGTGAAAGAAATCCAAAGGGTATTAGATTAGTTAGTATGAGTCCAATGAATATTTATTTGAATAATGAACGTGCTAAGAGTGTTCAAGAAAGGAAATTTGAAAAGCTTGCCGAACAAGCTAGAGAGAATCAAAGAATTCAACTTGAAAAGCAACTCGCTGGACCTGGAGAAGAAGAGCAAAGTGTTGCTTCAAACTAGACTACCCTTTTTCGGACATGTATTTAAAATACCTTGTATATACTACACCCTACAATAAATAATTAGCAAATTTAACAATAATAGACAGTAGCCAATTGCATTTATAGATTCCTCTATTTTCATCTTTGAGCAACTGAAACGAGAGGTGGAGGAGCAGGTAATTCATTAAGCAATACCGGAGGAATTGGTTCTTTAACTTCAGGTGCATTTCCTTGAATAGCTTCTTCTTCTAATTGAATAGTTCTATAATAACTCCATTTAAATAAGATTGACATTATACAGAAAAATCCAAAATCTGGCCAAAGAACATCAGGAAATTCAATAGTACAACCTGAATTACATTGCCAAAGCATGAAATCACTTAATCTTGTATGACCACTAGTACGAACCAAGATATCTAAAGGAGGAATATCAGGACCGAAATAGAAATTATCTTCAATCATTGAGGCATTTATATCATCACGAGATTGAATTTCACCATTTGATCTTTTTTCAACAATTGATTTAATTGAATAAGTGATTTCATCACGAGCAGTATATGGAAAACAAACATTAAGACATTTTTTGGTTGATCTTTCCGTGGTTACTTGTTCAATATATTCTAAATCCTTTAAAATATCATTGGGGATAAATGATCTATTACCAATAATTCTAATTCTAACTTTATTAAATCTAGCGTAAGATTCTTCATTTTCAGAAATCATTTTTAATTTATCACGTAATAAACCAAATAAAGTATTTACTTCTTCTTTTGATCGATTGAAATTCTCTAAAGAAAATGCAAATATAGTAACATGCTCTATACCGCTCTTATAACATACTTCAAGCACCTTAACCAAAGCATTAGCACCAGCAAAATGACCTTCCTTCAAAGGCAATCTATGATTCTTAGCATAAGTTCTATTACCATCCATGATTAATGCGATATGTTTCGGAATTGGACCAGTTTTCATGGTTGCAATTACGAAATCTTCAAAAAATCCAACAATATAAGCAATAATAGGGAATTTGATAACAAGATTGATTAATGAGTTGTAGGAGTATCTTGGGATATACAGTTCACTTCGAGTCATCTTTGATTTGGGATTCTTGTTTCTTGTTTTGCTTGATTTAGGGGGGAGTTGAAATAATTGTGAATTTTTTACAACCAAAAACTGAATTATTACTGCCGCTAATGATAATTTATCTGTCGCGACAATCGTGCTTGTCGCAAATTTGTAGATATCTGAAATCGCCAACTAATCCCATCTCTACCTCTGCCAGATCTTCCATACTGTAACGGTTACATCCTCATATATCCTTCTTCTTCAATTCAACAACTGTTCTAACAACATTTTTAACCTCCTTTTTATTTCTTTCTCTAATCCTTGCATCTTCAACTTTATTCAAATATCCCAAATATACAACCACTTCAGCCACCAATACCAAGATTCCGAAAAACAACGACATCAAAACTCGATAAGAATCTTGTAATCCCCAAGAAGATCCCGTCCAATACCAAACTGCATATGCAACACTAGCTACACTTATCAAAATATTGACAATTGTTGTAATTTGATTCTTTACCTCTTTATGAAATTGAGCTGGTGTAAGATCGGAAGAAGGATCGATTTTGGAATTATCATATAAGGTTGAATATTCGGAAGTGGGGTTGATTAATTTGTTATATTCTTCTTCTTGAGCTTGAAGTCTTAGTTTTTGCATTAATTTTAAATATTCTTTGGTTTTCACTTGGGTGGATATGTTTTTATTTGGGATGTGAAGTTTGGTTAGTTTTATGAGTTCTAATAGTGTGGATGTCGGTTTATATTGTTTATAGAAATTAATTAGATTGGTATGGGAAATGAATTCTTGGGAAATTAACTTGGACTTTAATTCCGAGTCTATTGAGGAATTGTTGATCAACTCCTTGAGTGCTGATGTTAATTGATATTGCGTCATTTTGATAGGGGATAAGTTATCTTTGACTGTGGTAAGGGTTGGTTAGGAAGCAATTGTACTCGAAGGGCAAAGTAATCTTCATCAATCCGGTTGAAGAACTGAAAAAAAAAAATATTCTTCGCTTGATTCTTATATGCAGTTCATTTTTTGCAGCAATTGAAAGACAGAAAATGAAATCCTTACAGTTACTTTCAAATCCACGTGGATTAGTCTTTTCTAAGATCAATGAATCTGAAAGTAAATAAAATATAGAAGTAAGATTAAAAAATTACATAGATGCTAGTCTATGTTTGAAAGATTATAGGAAAGATTGCATTTTATAGCAGTTTAAGATCATTCGCATGTTTGCTTTCCTTGATCTCCTGTTGGGACCGAGTTACTGCGCACTTGAACTATGACAACTCATAAGCTACTCTCTGTATCCATCCCTATTAGCATTATATTGATGACGAATGCGGTTTCTCAGAAGTTCCAGGAAAAATTGAAGAACAAACTAAAGTTATGTTCAACCACAACGCTAGTGCCAAAAGGAATGGCCCCGGGCTGTTTAAATGAATATGCTGGCTACTTGTGATAGCTTTGCTATACCTCAGAGATATAAGGGAAGTCATATGTACTAATCAACGAAAGAGAGTTACAGTAGCAAACTTGACACAAGTTTGTGTTGAAAACTAAGGTAGTTCCATGTAAAATGCCAAAAATTCTTCTCAGATAGTCAGCACAACAGTACTTAGTTTCCAGTTGGCTTTCCAACGGACTCCAGTGCTTTGAAATTCCACTTTGATCTTGAAACTTTGACGTAAAAGGAGTAGTTTATTAACATACCAAAAGTAGTTTACATCGTAATATGTCTAATTATGCGATATTTTGTAAATTATAGTATTATTCTATTGTGATACAAACTTTCAAAATCAGGCCATTCAAGAAACCAATCAAATGCATCTTTTTTTTCTTTTGGGTTTCTTCCTTTCTTCCTTTTCTTTCAAGAATGTGGGTGTATTTCATCGTATTTCATAACCTTAAAAATACTACCTAACCCCAGACTTTTAATTTATGCAGAACTTAAAATAGAAAAAATCGAACCATCAAAATGCTGAAACGGTTATAATTTTTCAGTGTTCCTGAAAGTAAATTAGATTTAAATATCGCTTACTTTCTTACTTTTTACTTGGGTTTCATTTCTTCTTTTATGTTTCTAAACTTTTAAATTCTATAAAATCTTATTATTCTTCCTTTCTTCTTTGTTCTTAAATATTCTTTTCATATTCAAAGTTCTGTTGTCCATTACTACTTAATAGTTTAATATACAGTCCCCATAACAATTAACATTTGTTTACAAATTTCCTTTTATTAACCGCCCAAAGCAGAAAAATAAAGTTACACAAAAATGTCAACAGTAGATTCAACAACTACCGCAAACAATAACATCATCAAGGACAAATCAAAATCTTTTACGAGAAGAAATCTGCGTATTTTCACCAATGGAGTTAAAAAACTACTAAAAATGAATTCTGATAACTCTACTACTACCAAATCACAACCACCTTCGGTTCCGAATTCAGCTTCACCAACTAAAAAGTCAATAAATCAAAAACAAACACAACAACAACAACAATCAAAGACTATGCAAAGAACAAGTTCCTCATCATCTGATTTAGGAGACTCAAGAAAGAGACAATCCAAAAGAGATGATGCAATTAGACGAAGAATTGAACATGATTTAAATAAAAAGAAGAAAGGTGGTATCACAACTACTAAACAAAGAAAGGCAACTCCTGGTACTGTATTAGCTTTAAAACCAAGTGAACCCGTCATTTGTAAAACATCATCTACAGTTTATGAAGTATCTCAATTGATGACTGCTAAAAGAGAAAATTGTATTCTTGTTGTTAATATGCTTGGTCAATTATTAGGTATTTTCACTGCTAAAGATTTAGCATTTAGAGTTGTTGCCGCAGGATTAAATGCTAGTTCTGTTACAATTGATGAAATTATGACTCCAGATCCAATATGTACTCATTCGAATAGTCCAGCTTCTGAAGCTTTATCGTTAATGGTTGAAAAAGGATTTAGACATTTACCTGTTTTAGATGATCAAAATCAAATTGTTGGTGTATTGGATATTACCAAATGTTATGCACAACAAATGGAAAAATTAGAAAGAGTTCATAAAAGTTCAAGTAAATTATATGAAGCTTTAGATAGTGTTCATAATGAAATTGGGGTTGAAGATCAACCTGATCATATTTATCTGTATTTCGAAACTTTGAAAACAAAGATGAGTGGTCCTGTTTTAGAAAGTGTCTTAGATGCAACTACAGTACCAGTTTATACTAATGTTAAAGCTTCGGTTTATGAAGCAACTGTATTAATGACACAACATAGAACAACGGCCGTTTTGGTTAAGGATACAAATAATGATGTTGCGGGTATTTTCACTTCTAAAGATGTTGTATTACGTGTCATTGCAGCAGGTTTAGATCCTAAAAAATGTTCAATTGTAAGAGTTATGACTCCTCAACCTGATGTTGCTAAAGTTGATTTGCCAGTTCAACAAGCTTTGAGACAAATGTTTGAAGGACATTATTTAAATTTACCAGTTATTAGAGATGATTCTAAAATTATTGCAATTGTCGATGTTTTGAAGTTGACTTATATCACTTTGAATACAATTAAACAACTTGAAAATAACAAATCAATAATTCCATTAACTCCACAACAAACTCCTTCAAGCACCAGTGATAACGCACATTCTGCAGAAGGTCCAGCTTGGAATAAGTTTTGGTCAACTCCAGATCATGATGATACAGTTTCAATTCATTCTGATTCCCTAGATGGTTCGGCAAATCATCATAATACCAACACATCAATCCCTCCTCCATTAGCACCTGACGTAACCCCATCTGAATTCAATTCTTTTAATGTTGATATTAAACCTTCCGATTCTATTTCACATATTGAATCTCCTAGAAAATCGTTTAGAGATAATTCTTCATTCAGAGATACTTCAAGTCAAAATGAAGGTACTGAAGAGTCTTCTTTTACATTCAAATTCGCGTCGCCAGCAATTGATGGAAGAGTTCATCGCGTTTCTTTAAAACCAAATGAAGGAGTTGAAAAATTAAGATCATTGATGGATGAAAAATTGATTGACAAAGATTTTGAAGTTTTAAAAGTCAAGAAATCGGTCGTTGTGGGAGATAATGAAAGCGGATCAATTGTATCTGGCAAGGATGAAACTTATGCTATTAGTTATGTTGATGATGAAGGTGATGTGGTTTCAATTACTTCAAATCAAGATTTAAATGATTGTGTATCGATTAATCAGAAATTAAATAACGATAAGGCGGATATATATATCCATAATCCTCATGAACATGCTGATACTGAGAGTATCAAACCTTTGAATAAGAAGAAGAATACCGCCGTGGCTAGTGTTCCTCTTCCACTTATTTTGGGTGGATTGGCTGCTGTTTCAGCGTCGTTATTTATTTTTAGTACTTTGCTGCATAGAAAGTGATGACTGTTTGGTTGTTTAGAGTTTTATTTATATATGCTATTACTTTGTAGAAATGTTAATGTAATTTTTTGTAGCTTTTATTTTCTGATTTGAAGCGACAACGTCGGAAGAGAGAGTACCTGACAGGTAGTGGTCTAGGGAGAATGCTCATCGTTTTTCATCTGTCCGAAGTAATAATTAATAGATGGACTTACTCTTAATGTGCGGCGGAGGCGGGTTTTATTCAACAACTTCACAAATGCAATAGATTTATACATTTACATAATATTTTCATTCTATGTTTATGTGCCAAATAGTAAAACCTGTAACTGAAAAGCATACCAAACATATTCAAATTATGTTCTGAAATAATTATAGCAATTATTTTCCAGCTTTCTTAGAGAAATATGTTATATCCTGTTAAGGAGGGTATTTATTCAAGTACCTCTTATAGTGAACGACATTTTTTGCAGCCAGAAATGCGCAATTTTTTGTACCCACAGCATTCGCCACAAGGTATTCTAAATGTACCTATGCAGAGTAGTTCCACAAACGCGTTATAGACCATGCATGCATGCATGATCGAAGTTGTCGGATCGACATCATCTAGAAGCTTTGTGCTTCTTAAGTTTCTGGTGGAGGGACTTCGTGACTTGCATAATTCCGTCATTGACAGTAAACATCGACGGTGAAGCATAATAATACCCCATACTGAAAGATAATACTTGAAGAAAGAATCAAAGTATTATATAGAAGTTAATTCAGAATTATGTTTATTCCAAAGAAATAGGATCTGCGTTTGAAATATTGGAAAAGAATGAACAAGGGTGATTGTTATATTGACATGAGAATTTGTTTGGGTGACTAATTGATCGATATATTAAGCACGTCTAAGTTAATTTGAGTATGAGCAAATGCAAACTTTCTAGAAAAGGATGTGAGTTTGATGGATTCTTGATTCTGAAGTATTAGATTGCAATATCGAAATTAAAGTAGAAGTTTTAAAATCTTCTATATTCAAGTTTGATTATGACTCGATTTGGGTCTCTTCCTCTCAGTGACATCTGCAAAAAGTTTGATGCCGTATTCTGATTGAATTACGAGACTAAAATTTTCCAGTTTAATTTCTTTTTTAGTCAGCAATCAATTTATTCAGATCATTGGATAAAGATACAACAATGACCGCTACAGCAACAACTTCAGCTATCGTAGGTGCGTTAGCATGTCAAAAGAACTCATTTCTCAAAACTTTAACAACCACCGTAGTTTCAAGTTTTGAATTTGTTCCACCTCCAACTTCTCGTGACAAACAAAACAAGAACAACAAGAAATCACCATCTCCAGAAACCAAAGTATTGCAATATGGCGTAGAATTAGAAGATACGATCTTATTCCCAGAGGGTGGGGGACAACCATTTGATAAAGGAACCATCACCTTGCCTGACAATCGAGAAATCCAAGTGAAATCAGTGTTGAGAGATAAGATAAAAGCTATTCATATTACTGAAGAATTAATCGAACCAGGTACAACGGTGACTTTGACACTTGATTGGAAGAGAAGAATGGATATTATGCAACAACATACTGGGCAGCACTTATTATCTGCCGTATTTGATACTTATAAATTAGAGACTTTGAGTTGGTCAATGGGTGATGTTATCAATTATATCGAATTACCTGAAAAAGTTTCTGAAGAAATTATTGCGGAAGTGAATGAAAAAGTCAACAATTTGATCTTCGAAGGTCACAATATCCATGTGGTGACTCCAGATCAACACGGGCATGAAGTTGATGTATCTCACCTTCCTGATGATTATGATATCTCAAGGGGTATTATTAGAATTGTTAAGATTGGAGATTTGGATGCAAATCCATGTTGTGGAACTCATTTAAGTTCAACTTCTCAAATCCAGGCAATTGCTTTATTACATCAACAAAGCATTAGAGGTGGTCATTCTCGTTTATATTTCACTTGTGGTGCCAGGGTTTATGAATATTTAAGAAAACAACATGATATTTTAAAGAATGTTTCCGGAAATGTCTTATCTTGTCAAATTGAAGAAGTTTTTGATAAGGTAAACCAATTGAATCTTAACTATAGAAAAGCGAACTCGGCCGTCTCTGGATTATTAAAAGAAATTGCCAATATGGAAGCCAGTAAACTTTTCGACAGATTTAAAAATACCGATAAATTGATTGATTATATTCATAGATCTGACAATAATCCTGAATATTTAACATTAGTTCAAAAGGAAATCACTACCCTCATTAATGGTGATAAATCCTCGGGAGTTGATTTATCAACTAAGCATACCCTTGTTTTACTTAATGGGGATTATCCATCAGGCACTGGAGGTATGGTTAAAATCTTAGGTCCAAAGGCTGAAGAATTACAACCAGAATTAAAACAAAGACTTGAGAACTTAAAAGGAGGGGGTAAGGGTGCTTCTTTCCAAGGTAAGATTACCAAATATGGAAAAGGTGAATTAGAATCCGTGTTAATGTACTTAGATTCAATTTGCGAGTAGAACAAGAGACTTTTTTAGAATTAGTGTCTTTATAATGTATGTATAAGTATGTACATGAAACAAATAATAAACGTGATAGAATAGATACAATTGATTTGGTTTCTCTAACGCTTGACCCATGTTGGAGATTTTCTGGCCTTAAGTCTACCAGGCTTCTTTCTTTCAACAGTTCTAGCATCACTAGTCATCAATCCAGCTTTTCTTAATCTTGGCTTTAATAATGGATTATGAACAACAAGAGCCTTAGCAACAGCATACATGACGGCTTCAGATTGACCCATTCTGCCACCACCACTGACGGTAGCAAAGATATTATATTTAGCTTCTTGTTCAACCACTACAAATGGATAAACAATCTTCTTTCTATCTTCAATTTGTGGGAAATATTCAACAATTGGGGTTCCATTCACCATGATTTGTCCTTCCCCCTTGACAACCCATACTTCAGCCTTAGAAGACTTTCTCTTGGCTTTACCATGAGCTCTACCATTCGCATCCAATGTCTTTACCTTTTTAACTTGTCCAATTTTATTGGCTCCACTTGAACCACTAAATTTCTTCAAAATTTCCGAAACTGATTCAGGCATCAATTGTAAATCAATAGACCTTAATTGTTGCAAGGCGGAGATTAATTCCTTATGATGTATTTCTTTCACTCTAACACCAGATCCACATTGTTTTTTATATTCGTCGAATGAAACAAATGATGAACTTTCCAATTCTTCAACAGGAACAGTTCTTTTGGGATAACTTGCATATCGTTTCAATATAGCCTCCACTTCATGCATATTATCTTGATGTACGGGATTCCCACCAAAGAAGGCTGGATATTTAGGAACGGTTCTTATTCTTTTTAAAGACCCACCTTGAGTAAAGATACTTGAATCACCAATCACAGCTCTCGTTTTGGCTCTCAAGATCTTTGATTGAATATCCGATGGAATTTGTGGCCTGATGTTTGATTTGATACATGTTTGGGTAAATGTTCTTTGGAACACTCTTATCCCATTGGTTCTGAATGACATCGTTGGCTACGGGTGTGAATCTATACCTACCAAGTATATCTACTTCTGGTTCTTTAAAATTTTTTTCATTCTTTGAAAAAGTTTATTGGAAAAACTACACGACCATTCAAAATCGAATTATTTCAACGACATACGACATCCTTGGGAAACGACATTTTCAACTGGTTGCCCAGATCTTACAAACTCCACACAATCAATCATTTACAAATAATAAGTAAAATATTTAATTATAATACATGAATAACGGAAATATAGAATGATAATACTAAAAAATAAGAATAATAAGAATAATAACAACAAATAAAAATAAACATTAAAACAAAATCAAACAAACCTTCATCATCATAAAATTAAGAAATCATCAATTAGTAGGTGGATCTGGATCAGCAGATAACAAACTTGCAATCCCACCTCGTTTAGGTACAGAGGTCGGAATGACTTTCTGTACCGGTGGTGTTGTTGGTTCGCTTGGAGAAGATGGGGTATTCAACAAATCACGTAAATCAGCCCTATGGGAATGTACATGCGCCGGAGGAGGTGGTGGTGCTGTGGCTTGGGGTTTAGCTGGACTAGAATCTGAATTCAACAAACTCATGATTGAACCTCTTTGAGGAGCTGTGGACGTATGCTGTGGTTGTGGATGTGGTTCTGTCTGGGGTTGAACTACTTGTTGAACATATGAATAGGAAGGTTTTGCAGGATCTGCGAGTAGATTCCTAATAGAAGGTCCAAGATGAAAATGAGTTGGATGGGATTGAAGTTGAGGCTGTTGCTGCTGTTGTGGTTGGGTAGTATGTACATGTTGAGAAGGTGTGGATTGAAGCACATTGGAAATTGTAGGCATCGTATGTTGAAACGTTCCAATTGGAACATATTGAGCCGATTGATACTGTTGTTGAATTGGAGCATTTATATACATCTGTGACTTTTCAATTGGAGCCCCATAAAATGCCTGCTGTTGTTGTTGTTGTTGCTGTTGTTGAGCTTCCTGAGGTTCATTCTCTCCATTATTCAAAACCGCGGCAAATTTAGCAGCCAATCTCAGATCAGCATTATTTGCAATTATATCCCAACCATTCTTTTCCGCATTTCTTTGGAAATAATTTCTAACCATAGTAGCAGTCTTTGTAGTCAATTTATCAGCAATTGTAGTCCATTTGCTTCCATGCTCTTCTAATAATTTCGGAAATGCCGTTGCTTCGGTTATACTCCAATAACTAGAAATCGTCTTCCGACTTCCCCCTCCTCCTCGATCCTTGCTTCCATCATCCATAGGATTAAGTACCGGAGAAACAGGATTCGAAATATCTTGTTGTGAATGTCCAGATTGTGGTTGTTGCTGTTGTTGAACTTGTCCTTGTGAAGATACATCACCTTCAATCGATTTATCCATATCTGATGATGCTGATTGTGGCGGCTGTGTTGCGTGTGGAGCTGATTCAATATTAATTTGATCCTTCCTTGTTTTCTGTCTCTTTCTTACTGATTTATCAAACACTGGAGCTGCAGCACGTTTTCGACGACCAGTTTCGGTATATAAGTCTTCAGTCAACGGTTCATTAATCAGGGTGACAAATACACTAGGTACAGATATGGTTGTACCATCCTCAGAAGTAAAAGTCCTTTCAGGTTCAGTTTCATTTTCATTCCCGTTCACATTTTCTCTAATATTCACATTCTCAGGAAATGCCATTGAAGGAGTTTCACCAATCGGAGTAGAAACTGGAGTTTGACTTTGTGAAACATTTCTAGATTTCGGTTTTGGACGACGTCCTGCTTTTTTAGTAGCCTTTTTCTTGAATTGAACTAATAATTGTTTATAATTCACCGCCTTTTTACTAACATAATAATGAATCACACAATCTTGTGCAGTTCTTAATCCACCCATATGACGAGAAATGGCACCAAATCGTTTCGGATAAAGACAGAAGCCTTCACAAAATAATTCATGTTCACGTTCGGAGAAATTATCACTAAAATCAGTATGTACTCGCTGACTCCAAGCTAATTTATCATGTACGATATTATTTGAATTCATAAACTTAAAATGATCACGTTCAACTGGATCTAATATTAAATCTGGAATTGGGGCTGCCACACGTTCTGCTTTAATCATGGGGTTTTCATCTTGTTCTTGTCCCAAATGTAATAAAATCTCTTGAAATTCAGCCTCGGTAGTGACTAAATCCCCATGTCTTCTACTTCGACGGGTAGGTAAACTAGGTAATCCAAGTACAGCTGCACTTTCAGTTGTGCTTGTCGTGGCTTGAGGTGGAGGATGTTGAGTCTTTCTATGATCAGCTGCGTCGATTTCTCTCCTCATTTCATCATCTGGAGGATGCAAAATATGTAATTGTTGATCCATTTTGGATCTTTCAATTTCCCATTGTTGTAACCCTTTTGAATACTCAACCCATAATGCTAATCTTTTTTGATGAATAATTTGATCTTTTTGTTTGAGACTATCAATAAGCTTTGATTTATTTTTATGGAATGTTTGAAAATTCGTTATGAAAAAATCAAAATCCGTGAAATTTGTGATTGGCTTTGCTAATGAATATTTCAAATACGTTATTCCACTCTTGTTATCTTTATGTTCTTGTTCAAACTTTTTCTTTAAGGCTTCATATTCAAACTCAATTTTGGGTAATGGATAATTACAACCATCAGGATAATAATCTTCCTTGTCGTCTTCAAGTGGTCTTATGAGATCTTCTTCTTGTTTTTCCTTCTTTGAATCAGTGGTGACTGGTTCAACCTTTGGTGTCTCCTTTGTTTTGATCTCCGGCTTCGACTCACCAGTCTGTACCTTTTCATTGATTATGATTTCCGTGGTAGTCTTCTTAACGGATTCAATTTCTTCATTTCGGTTCTTTTCATCTCTGTCCTTCTCGTTCTCATCTTCGTCTTCATCTTCCATTTCTTCCTCTTCATCATTTCCAGCCTCTTCTTCTTCCTCTTCTTCTTCCTCTTCATTATCTATAATTTCCTCCTCATGTTCAGCTTTTTCACGAACACCACCACTAGTTCCAGTCTGATCTCTATCTCCAGTTGTCTTCGTTATTCTCAGTTTAACAGTCTCCAGTTCAGATTCAGCTCTCCTATCCGTCATTCTTCCATATCCTGAAATCAATCTATTTCTTGATCCCATGACATCTCTTCTTTTCGATCCATATCTATCTTCTCCCATTCTCATTTTTCCATAATTATCATAGTATCCACCACCTCGTTTTAGGGAAGAATATCGATCTACTAATTTCGGATTGGCATACATTGAACTCATAGATCCTGAAGATGATGAAGCCAGATATGAATTTCGTGAACCACCTGCAGAACCAGGATAATAAGTATCTCCTCCACCACCTCCTGAAACAACTCTTGATTTCAAGCTGCCAGCACCGCCAGCACCTCCACTATTTACTAATGCCGAAGATCCTATTGGTATACTATTACTTCCAGATGCAGCAGTTGGGGCTCCAGAGCCTCGTATTCTGTCTTTGGCGGAATATCTTGAACCTAGGGAATTAGTTAAAGAACTTCGATTAGTTTTCCATTTACTGGTATTTATGGATGAAGATAATGAAGTAGATTGTTGGTCATATGAATCATATCTATCTTTATTTCGGAATCCATCTGAACCTCCATTAGGTTGTTGTCGATAAGGTGTCTTGTGGTATGCAGCGTATGATGTTGAGGGTATTGAACCTGATAATGTTTTTGCGGATGATGATCCGGTGGATGATGATGATGATGTTGGTTTGTTGGCGTTTATACCAGACGTTAGTCTAGCATCTCCAGTCGATTTTCGGTCACTTCTCCAACTATCATTTCTATAATAATCATTGCTATTACTATATCCTCCATAATTGGAATAATATGCAGCAGAAGAAGAAGATGAAGTGAATTTTGGGTTTCCAGTAGAGGAACCATTTCCATTTAAACCGCCTTGTTGTCCACTTAGACTTCTTGTTATTCCTGGTTGCAGTTGCTGTGATTGTTGTTGTGACTGTTGTTGTGACTGTAGTTGTTGCTGTTGTGTCGGCACAGCATCTCTAGAGGATGTTGTAGCATTGGTTGCGTTGCTTTTATAGTCTCTTCGTGAAGTATTTACAGATGGATTGTTATTGGGAGTTGCTCCAGTTGCTCCAGTTGTTGATGAAGATGATGATAATGAGTAAAAATTTTTCCTTCGGGATTTGCCATAATCTGTATATTCATTTCTGTTGTCATTATATCTTGAATTAGGCGGGGGACCTCGTGGATTAGAGGACGCCATTTTCTTTGATGTATTGCCTAATTAAAATGATGACTATTGTATGTTGTATATGGCGTTCTTGTATTAACTTGATTGTAATTTCAAAAGAAAAAAAAAACAGGAAAAGGAATTTGAATTTATTTTATTTAAATAAAATCTTTTTTCTGTTAAAGAAATTATTTAATTAATTTTAATGATTTAAATTTTTTGATGATGGTTTTTGTTTCTTGTTGTTGTTGTAAAAATAAAAATAAGTTAAAAGAGATTTGGATAGAAATATATATACAGACTAAGATCAAACCAGAAAATGATTTGCTTATGGAGAGAGAGAAAAGAGTATGCAATGTAAATGGTAACCAATTTATAATTTGTAACTGGCTGCAGAATTAATTGGAAGTATCAATCTGTTGCTTTTATTTAGTTTACTAATTCTAAAGAAATTATATGGTTGTAAAAAAAATATTATCAACATGTAATTCCACCCAACAAAACAAGAAAACTGGTTAGAATCTTCACTATCTTTGTTGTATTTATTCTATGTGATACTCTTCTGATAGATCCGCAATGATAATAAGCCTGTTTAATAAGCTTTGAATTGGTACAATTCAATGGCAAATCTAAAGCCAAAATCGTAAGTAAAAGTATTTTTAGTTTTTTTTCGTTGCCGTCGGCTTATGTCAAAATTTATGGTTATAAAGAATAAATTGATCAACGGTTTTTATTTTAAATGATTTTATTCTTTTATCTATTTAACTAATCTAATCTACAGTAAGCATGGTATGAATTATATACAGGAATTGATATTTGTATGCCCAGTATAAAGTAACGCACCCAACTAGTACGATGAGTATATTCTTGTGTCTTCTTCTTTCCTGTATGCTTTTCAAGCCCCTTATATTTTGTTACAGTGAGTCATTTAATAACCATTTTTAACACGAGTTATATTGATTTCCTTAAATCTGACCAATTTTTATTCTAATTAAATTGAACTATTGCTACATATAATTTAATTCTAGAATACCACCCAATTTGTCTACAGTAAATTAAATATTGAATCTCATGGTTGGCTTTCGTAAATTTTCCTTATTATTAACTAAATAAACATATAAACTACTAAAACATAACATAATAAATAAGTCTCTTCAGGACATTTAAAGTTCCAACAAGAGACAAGCAAATAGAATAAAACATCCTTATTCTCCCCCCCATATTTATTTTACCAAATAATTACCTTACATAAATATAATATATTCACAATTTAATAAACAATAATGTCAACCGCACTTGTAACTCCAAAACAAGCATTAGCAATCGGTGGTGCCTTATATGGTATGG